ACCTAATGGTAACAAGACCTAACTAATGGTAACAAGACCTAACTAATGGTAACAAGACCTAACTAATGGTAACAAGACCTAACTAATGGTAACAAGACCTAACTAATGGTAACAAGACCTTTCTAACGCTGGCCCACGCTGTAAAATCCGGCACCGTGGAGGACAAATCCAGCCCACGAGATGGGCTCCTCCTCGTCCTTCTTGATTGCTAGAATGGCCTCCCGTGTCGCTCTCGCCACATTCAATACGCCCACAAAGTGTGCATCGTCTCGACGAACCTCATCTATCTGCTTCACCAGAGACTCGTAGAACAGGGCCGTGAACATTCTCCCTATGCTGCTCTCCATCGGCCACAGCGTGCCCAGAACCGACGAGGCTCCCGCACAAAACAGCGCCGTGACGAGTCCCAGTGGTTCGTCTCCGGCATTCACGTCCTGCACGCCCGAGTCGCACGCGATGGAGCACACAAAGGGTTTGTTTTCCCTCAAATTCATGGCGAATATGTCAGAGACGTTGAGCCTGGACGACCCGTCTAGAAGCGTCGAGAGCAGGTCACGATGGCCCGGCTCTGGGTTGCTCTGTGGAGGTTGCACTGGCTCTTCAGCCTGCTCCAACGACCTGGGGAGCGAATCGTCGAGAGCAAGGGCTTTTAGAGAAACAGGAAGCTCTTCCCCGTCACTGAGAATGAAGCACTGGTTAAGCACCTCGGATGCGTCGTAGCACGCGTGGCCGTGGTAGTGCACCCACGGCGAGGACCCGAGCGCCTCTTTGAAACTAGTGGCCGTGAGCTTATGTCCCAAGATTTGCCGTGCGTGGAACTCGTTCCCCAGCTGTTCCATCTGCTCGAAGATCAACTCGCGCTCTTCTCTCCGATCGGGCTCCTCGTACGCGGCCGCGAAGACAGCGCCAGACAGCGGTTTGTCCGGCAGGCTGTTGCGGGGCTCGACGCGGCGCAGGCACTCAAGATATAGTGAGAAGCTCGACGCGTAGACGACCGGATTGCGCTGGATCAGAACCGGCTCACCGAGACCGAGCGGGATGGCGTGCAGGGGGACGGCGGCAAGTTCGGCCGGGGGCGAGAGGACGAGCAGGTCCTCGGGCTTCGACATGAACGCGAGCGCCTCGACGAGGACTGTCAGCTCCTTGAGAGGCTTCTCACTCTCGAGGGGCTTCGTGGCACCTTGAGGGAAAACTAGATTGCGGTCGATCCACGCTTGGATTTGAGAAAATCGCAGCTTCAGGCGCGCACGCGCTTGGAGGTTGCGCTCACGGCAGTCCATCGCCATCAAGCAGATCCAGCCGGAGGGCTCGACGACCCAGTGAACAAGAACCACGTTCTTGTCGGGCAAAAGCCAGCTCTTGACGTGCTCGTAGACGGCCGCGGCCTCTGCAAAGCCGAAAGTGTCGGCTGTGACAGGCGCACCGAGGAGTTTCTCGAGTGCAGGGACCGCCAAAAGCCGCCGTCGCCCCGAGGCGCTTTGGAGTGCTGTCCTCGCACGCAGCTGCTCCATTGCGGTGCTTTGTTGCATCTCCTTCAACAGCAAGTTGTCGGAGGCAAGGAGATGGCACGTCTCGGCGTCGTTGCCGAGAGCCGATATTAGGAGGTCGGACGAGGTAGGCTGTCTTGTGAGGATGCTGAACAGGGCGCGCGCGCGGCCCTTTTGTGCCCACGTCCACGCCATCGGGGCGTCTTTCCGGTCGATGTAGAAGGACGTGGCGACGGCATAAAGCATCCTCGTGAGCCCAGCCGAGACGACTTTCTGCATCCGCAGAAGCGTGGCGATGGCGTGAGATCCCAGCACGCTTCTGCGGTACATCTCGGCGGCACGTTCCGCGCCCTGGAAGTAGTGCTCGGTCTCGGCGCTGAGTTCCGGCTCCAGCTCTGGATGGCGGATGATGTACAGCTGCATGAATCTCTGGAAGGGGTGTACAGACCGCAGGAGGCTATGGTGGTCGCCAACTGCTTGGCAGAGATCACGCTGTTTGCGTAGGTATCGAATCTGGAGCGCGAGGTTGTCGTCCACTTCCTGTGCGGACAGAGATGTCGTCTTATCGAGGAACGCGGCAATGTCATATGAGAGAGCGCACACGTAGTACGCGTCGCTCCGCTGCTTAATGCATGCAGCCGGATCGTTCAAGACTCGCTCGAGTGCGTCGTTGGCCAGTCGAATGCCATCCCGTCCTCGGCCCTCCTTCGCGAGCCGCAGCAGATCCCCTACGTCAATCTTGACGCTCTGGTCGGAAGAGGCGATCATCTCCGCCAGCTGGCGGGAAGAACGGACGAGTGAGTCGTCTTCCATGACATCCGGGAAGTTCTGCCTCAGGAAGTCGAAGACGTCGCTCAGGGTCGCTCTCTTCTCTCGAAGCAAATCCTCGAAATGATTCTTGGTGTCGATTTGGATCCAGGGTTCGAGACCAGCAGCTTCCTCCAAGGCTATGTCCTTGTACATTTTCTGATACGCGGAGTAACGGTCCCAGTCCTCCTCGTCGTCCAATCGCGAGCTCTGATGGGGTTTGTATCTCCTCAGAATGGCCACTCGTGAGGTTGCAAAGGTGTGTCGAGCTCTGGAGCGCTCTCGGAGGGTAAAATTCTCGATCTTCGCAACGAGGTCGAAGTTCTTCTGAGCGTACTTGCTGGCTTCCTCGGGCTCCGTCAGCGCCGAGTAGGAGTTATACAGCCCATGGTAAACGTCAGAGAGTTGCAACGGGGTAAGTCGCTCGGAGTGGTCTTTGAGCAGTTGCTCGAACCAAAGGCGCGCCTGATCGGTAGACACTTGGTGTTTGCTCGAGTCGTACGCCTCCAAGATATCGAGGCGCATGACGTTGAACTCGTCGTGGACCTCTCTCAGCTGATCGCACAGTTTCTCTTTCAACGGAGAGAACTGGGCCAAAAGGCTCGTGTCATTCACAACAATACGAAGGGCGTGGTTTGTCGCGAGGTAGTAAAAGTGATGATTCCCTTTCTGGAGGAACCTGTCGGCCAGAGACAGCGTCTGCGCCAGGCAATCAGCCGGGCCGTGCCTTTTGAGCTGGAAGAGACGTATCTGGTGGAACTCGCATATCATCTGACCGGTCTGATTCTGATCCTCTGAAAACAAGGCCAGTGATTCATCCAGAGACAGAGCCCCCAACTCGGAGTTTTCGGTGGCCTGCCACCCCGCTATGTTGATGAGAGCGCTGGCTTTGTGTGTCACGCAGTCGGCGGGAAGGCTATGGAGGTAGTCGCTATAAAAGACGATGGCCGCGGGAACACTCCCAAGGTGCTTGGTCATGTCGGGGGTGAAGGTGAAAAATGCTTCCAGAGTTGTCTTCCCATGGCTCTTTAGATATCGAGTTATGCGTTTGTACCTTTTGATGTACCTTTCGTTGAATTCGTTCCAAGATTTCCACCCCATCATAGTAAGCATACAACGAGCATCCATGACAATGTATTCCAGCCAAAGCTATTATGAATTTGATATTAGCGCATCTGTACAAGTGGAGGAACACATAGGGTCTTCACACCCGAGCATCGCCAATGGTAGTTTGACTCGGCTGGCCTTCTGCAGACGGCGAGTCAGGTTGATTGAGGAACTCCGATTCGGAATGGACGCGGGCGGTATCGACGTCGTGATTCGTAGGACCCTCTTGTTGGCTGTGATCTGCATGACGGCCATTAGCACGCTAGGTAATTCCCTAAATACCTATACAAGGGTGACTGAGCTACGGACGGCATACCTGGGTTCATATAAATGCTCTCCACATCCGTGAGTAGCTGAATCAGGCCCGCGAACTCGAAAGTTCGGTGTATGTTGATGATACCTGATAGCAGTGCTAAGCTCACGGTTTGTTCATGAAACAACCACCTTCCTTCCTTCATAGCGTCATGGAAACGGGTCGCCTTGATTGCCTTGTCGGCCAGCCGGTAATCCTGGTCTTCCAAGTACGCTATTGCGGCAGCAATGGCAACGACTGGGCATGCTTTCAGTGAAGCATCTAAGGAGGAGATATATTCGTGGGTGCCTTTGGGGTCTAGCCGCCATATGAGACGGTGGATCTCGGCCTCTGCCGCCTGAGGACTCGGATTTATAGTGATAGGAGAACTCGTCATTCTGGCTGCCCGGTGATAGCTCCTCGAGAATTTCTGATTATCTAGAATTCTGAGTCGTGTGAGATGACTGAGATACAGTTAAAAGGCATATACTAGATACATATGTGATTCTGGGACTTCTCGGGGTGAGGGTATAGGGGGAGGAGCGGGGAAGGAGAGAGGCGCGGGGCGGTCAATATTGGCCCCCCCCCCCGAGCACAAGCGGCTTGGATGTTCATTCGCTCCGGCGAAACGGGCGTCTCAGCTGAATCTCACTAACCTACTCCGGACTCCCGGCCTACCCCTCCTTGCTGCATAAGATGGCTCACACGACCTCAGACAGTTGCAACGTTTTTACGAAGCCGACTTTGAAACCGACGCTCGAAGCAGTACGTCACTACCAGCAACTCCCATCTCTTTCTCCCTCAGTGCATCTCCGTTAAAGGACACTCTCTTCTATCTTTCAGTTCTTGGAATACATTATATACGTGGGCCAACGCCATGGCCTCTCCAATGACCGATCCCGGCCATGAGGTGCCGCCGAACACCGTCTTCGAGACTGAATTTGAGCTTGATCCTAAGGCTGGAAGCACCCTTTCGAAAACGATTCGTCACCAGGAAAGAGAGGTAAACCGAGTGAAGATCACGTCTGACCGAATCCGCAACACAAGCTTCCGCGCCGAGTTGGCCAAAGTGCAATACGGCACATACAACTGCCAGCAAGCAGATGGCACATACAAGCCTGAGCCGGCAGCGCTGCTGATTTTCAACTTCCGCTTTCACTTCAGAAGTGAAAATCGAGACCGATTCACGTCGGTGAAGATCGAAGTGGAATTCAAGGAGACGCTGAACACGAAGCTCGAGAGGCCGCCGGACAGAAATCCGAATAACGACCCACAAGTCAGGTTTGTCGCGCCGCACCAGATTTGTGGAACTCCGACTGAGGTCGACGTCAAGAAGAGCTGGAAATTCGAGGGCCAGCTGGGGTATCAGGTTCCTGCCGGTCCTAGCCTCAGTGCCACCCCGTCTGTCCAGACTGAAGCGTCCTTCCAGAGGCACCACCGGATGTGGATCAAGGGCGACACGGATGGTGATAATGATCATCGTTGGGACAATAAGGCCGTGTGGGTCATGCAGGAGAACCGGATGCAAGGCAGTGGAGTACTTTCCAGCTTCCCAGGAGCAGTTGTCATCGTCCTACCGAAGTCACCGGAACATCTTGTCAAGGCCAGGGTGACTGTGGTGCCCCATCTTGCCTTCTCGCTGAATCCGCTCAGGTTGAAGCAGAAGCGTGATGACCCAATCCTATTAGATAGAAAGACGTCGTGGGGTCCCGAATACGAGCCAGGGAAGGATTTCAGCGACCCAGACTATCCTTGGAGTAGCATCATCAAGATACCAACCGAGTACCAGGTACGTCGGACTCTTACGTATTGCATAAACCTCTGCTAATTAACGATCCGATTCTAAATAGGACATTCTGCATACTTAGACATAGGGAGACAGCCAGCTTAGCATAAAGCTTAGTCTAACAAAACGAGAGCTTTGGAACAAAAGTTAGGCTTTAATTATATGCTACGTCCTCGAAAATAATTAGTTAAATTTGCGCTGCTTACCATTAGCAACCTTACCAACAGCTATACGTGGGTAGAGCTGCTAGCAGCGTGCAGCTGTTGCGGCCAAGCAGGAGGGAGCAGCACCTAGGTAATCTGTTACGACACAGCAATACCTACCTACCTAAGATACCTAGACAACCAGGCCTACAGATACTAGTTATTTCCACCTTTACTTGATATTCTCTTCTCCCAATATCGGATGAGCATGTTTAAATGGATGCGGGCCCTCGCGCCTGCGACAAAGTACCCGAAGCTGCTACCAATGTAGGCATAACCACCTTGGATTGTACAGTCAGTCTAAGCTAACACATGGTATCAAGGTAGAAAGCGCAAGGTCAAGTGTCAGCTCACCGATGAGAACGTCGAAACTTGCGCTGAATGCGTAAAGAGTGGGACGCAGTGCACTCTTCAACCGCCTGAGACGGAGCTAAGTAGCGGAAGCTCACCCGCTCATGTCGATAAGCAGGAATATGAATCAAGACTAGAGCGTGTTGAATCTCTCTTGAAAAAGCTGGTTGAGGCCCAAGAACGATCCCAATGTCCATCCGAATCCGAGCCTACCGTTCCCGCTTCTTTTTGGGACGATTTTGTAAGTTCTGTCAAGCAAGGTTCAACGTGAAGGTCCAATTACTTAGACAATATCAGTTTGTTCATTCGCCAGCCGATGGAACTCTTCCTCTCGTCGACGACCATGGCCCTATCATGCCCCAACCGCCGGATACGCCAGATGCCAAGCAGTCACTTGTGGTCCTTCTGCCGTCTACACAGGATGCAGTTACCATAGTCGCAAACACTACTGCTTGACTCTGGGGGGCGGAAAATCGAAATTGCTGCCATTTCGAGAGGCAGTGCAATGCATGTCGCTAAAACATGACTATTATTTGCGCTATACATGCAACAACTCCCTGCGAATTTCGATGTGCAATTTCTAGAATCTCAAAGCGTCGAAAGGGCCATTGAATTGGTTGTCGAGCGAGTCAAGTTATTCGTCCTATCCCACGAAGACGAAGCTTGCTCGTTGGATGGTCTAGAATGCTTGATTCTGCTAAGCTTGATTCAACTTGACGACGGTGCAATTCCTCCTGGCTTCACGATGAAAGTCTCCCATATGGTGGCATGACTCTCTGCGAATGCGAGAGCTCTGGTCTCAAGCAAGCCCTGAGACGATGTTAGATGTGGAAACCCCACAATGGATTGGACCACACCTTGATCTTGCGCGGTTTGTCTAGAAACCACAGCTTCTCTTCTTGGTTCTGACGTACAAATTTGCCGCTTAAATGGACATATCTAAATCCGGGCCTGCTGGGTTTTGTTTCCAATACTCGTGCCATGCTTTCCAAGAAGGCAAGGGACACTCCAGGTCAGCAGTGAGGCTCCCAGTGTTCGTTCCCATGGCCCTTTAGACACCCAATTAGTAAATAAAGAGTACGTAGGTTTGGCTGGAATGACCCGTCTCCATCTCTTTGTCAAGCGTACCAAATCATGGCAGCGGCATCTGCATGCGCCTGCAATACCTCTTCTGACCATATTGCGAAGTCCTTGACCAAGACACACTCAAGCTTCGGATGGTCAGATACGTCGGCGGGCAGATCCCGACGGACAAAACGCGACGACACTCGAGATGCTTGGATGGGCGAGACATTGAATGAGGGCTTCGCCTCCAATCATTCCGCTCGCGCCAACGATGAGGATTTTCATGGCGACGGAAATAGCGGGGTTGATGAACGTGCGTCCAATGTTAAAGACGATTCAAAATTCAAGACAAGTTTCCATTACATTTTGATTCGGGAACCTTGGAGGATGGTCTTGGCAGGAGTTTGAGGACCCAATTGCTGTCGGCCGAGTCGGCCGAGAAGGATTGGATCCTCCCGTCATATTCATCACCACCTGAACAAGGGGAAATCAGAATAAGCCAAAAAGCCAGAATGAGCTATTGTGCTCTTGTAGCTTAAGTAATAGCTGCTAGTTACTCTGAAACTCCCTTATTACAATGTCCAGCAGGTTTGATTTCGAAGTTGCGCCAGTTCTGGCTGTCTTTGCAAATCGAAGCGCAGATCGCATTAAGGCCCTTTCCTAATGCGGATCCGTAGGATTGTTTCAAGCAAGGAGGCGCCCCTGTTAACGTGGCACTGGAGGATCCGAGCTCCCGGACTCAATTTATAATTCGGGCTGCGCCGATCAGGCGCATCAACGACTAGCGCAAATCTCGGGTAAAATCCAGGGGCCCTTTGGGTCATATAATAATAATGTTGTTTCTGCCTAGGACGCTGCCTGTCAGACGCGAGGGTATTTTTATTTTTTTGTCCCATTCAACTACGTCATCTGTTTGATGGCAAATTTTGGCGACATGCGCGGCTCTTTCCTTGTGTTACTGATTGGGTTACTTGGGCTCTGTCACAGTAAGTCCAGATCGAGGAAAAGTGCACCTTTCTTGAAGTCTACCTACCCTAACCATCTCAATAGGAAGCCTAGCAGATGACTGCACAAATGTCACCATCGCCAATGCAGCTGATGCAGAAGCGGTGCGCAAGAGTTGTCCAGTGATCCAGGGCGACCTGACCTTCATGGGCGCTATCTCCGAGAGCATAAACCTCGACGGCGTAGAAACTGTCCTGGGAGGCATTCTCCACGACGGGGCCTGCGGGCGCACCGACGACGAGTGTCCCCATGTTCAGCCATTCACCATCTCGAGCTCCACGCTCACGACAGTCAATCAGACGATAGATTTCCGGTATTTTCCGGGCCTGGAGAAGCTGATCCTGCCAAACCTTACTACGGTAAACTCGGGCCTTATGCTCAGGCGATTGCACGACCTCACGCACTTGGACATTACCGGGCTTTCGTACGTTGGATGGGTCTTGCTGGAGACGACGAGTCTCAAGACCCTGCTTCTCGATGGCTTGAAGGGTTTTACTGGGACAGGAAGCAACGGATATGTAGCGCTCTGGGATGCAGGTCAAGTCGAATCCGTCGACGGTTTCTTCAAGAATCCCATTGATCCCGTTTTCTATCCGGAGACCTCCCAAGATTCGAGCTTGTCGACGAATGCCGCAGTAATTCCCAACATCCGAAAGATTACCATTGGTTGGACCAGGATTCCAAAGCTTAGTCTCTCCGGGCAGAACCTAACCGTTGTTCTTGGAGGGCCGTCGACCAAATCCATGGAGATCGATATGTTTGAGGTTGGGGATGGTGTCGTCGATTTGCAACGCAGTCCAGAGTTGAAGAATCTGACACTCACGACATTTTCGATGGACAATAACCGCAACATGACGCATCTGAAGGCCGATTTCGATCAGGTCGCCAACTTTGCCGTCTACGGGTATCCCTCGCTACGCACTCTCGAGCTCCCGCCGCAAGCAGTCAACTGGGCGAACCTGAGCATGCGCCTGACCCAGGACCCGTCTGGGCCCTTGAATTTCAGCTCCGAATACACGGTCGACGCCTCGGGTCAGAAACAGAGGACGTGGTACTGGCCGGAAAAGGACATGAGAGAAGTCGTCGTCCATGGAAACATTGCCACAGATTTCTTGTAAGCCACATCCCAAACCCCAAACATCACACGTTTGTACCATCGCCTAACCACTGATCTTTTTCTTTCCCCCAATCACAGCCAATCTTTCCTCGAGTACCGAATCGAGAGCAAAGACCCATCGAGCCGACCGCGAGTTCTCGAGACATTCGACATCCGGAGCGACTCTCCAAGGCTCAAGCTCAACTGCTCCGTTTTCGACGAGCTGCAGAATAAGACGGGCGTTTTGCCGGCTAACTACTCGTGTTCCTATAAATCGGCGGCGGCCCTGGCTCAAGGCTATGTGATGCGGCAGCCCTGGCAATTTGGACTGCTGGCCTTGGGGCTATCTATATCGTTTCTGTGACCGGACAGACTGAGTTACTATCCTAATTATCCCGTTAATCTATAGGTGCCTACCTAGTTCTATATCATATCATTCTAGAGTTTATTTCGCAAACCCCAAGAGTCTATGATCCAACTGTGCCGTCACTCAGCTACAACAGCATGAGCGGAGCCAAGATCGGCGTAGTCACCCAGGCAAATGGAACCGCGCAGAGGGAATTGGCGAAATTTGGGAGATAGATCCGCCATTGAGGAGTGGGTGGCCGTACTTATCTACGCGCCCAGCTCCGCTGTAGAGTCGCTGCTTGCCGTCAAAGCGGGTTGGACCACCGAATTCGGCACCTTTGCCTCACTCGCTGCCTGTATTTCGGCACATCTCTGCTCCGAAATCGCACGGAACAGTGCCATGTCACTCGGTTTAGACGGGTTCAGAGGCACTTCCGGGTGCGCGCCCAGCCAGAGCACCTCGCTCAGTTTGAGATGCAGCCTCTTCCATCGCTTCCGTCCGATATGCTGTCCCATGACGCTGTCAAATGTGTCCAGATGATCTTCCACCCACTGCACCTCGGTTGTCGAGAATATCCTCCCCAGTCGTAGATTATGCGAGATTAACTGCTCCATCATGTTGTCCCACGCCTTGTCGTCCATTTGTTCTCGAAGTTGCGCCATCGACCAACTTTTTGACGGATCCCGTGGCGGTCGAGGGTTCTCCTTGAACTGGTACTCTTCGTCAAGACAATGCTTCGTTCTCGCGTCAAGATCCCGCTCAACTCTAGATAATTTCGATTAGCAAGAATTGCGACATGCCACAGAGCCTGTTCGGGGCCCTACAGCTTCTCCCCAGTCCACTTGTACATCAGGACAGGAATTCTTTCCAGATCAGGAGTCACGCCAGGCGGCCCACTGTCAAGGAGAAAGCGGACCTTCTCTCCGTCAGCTTCCCAACAGCCCCGTGTTCGAATGGTTTCTCTCTGCCAGTCCATGTCGCGGCCCCATTGGTGTTGACAGATGATGTTGGCCATCGTCCTTGCTCGCTGCATTGGAGGACCGGGAACCTTGTGTGATGCACAGCGCACAACGATCCGAACGACGTTGGCTACCGTTGCATCCGTTACTGGGCCAGGTGAATTATCATTTCGACAGGTTGAGATGTCGGACTGGCCAAGGTCCTCAGCACACAGGTGTTCGTTGGTTGGTTGGGTAGTGCCGGTATCCATCCTGTTTCAAACAACTGTTAGCCACGAAACTCGGGCACATGAGCAGAGCCATGGCATACTTGAACCACCAGATCCTGATGACGCACGAGGGTTATTTCTGGATCCAAATCTCCCTCCCACCTTTCTCTTGTAGTACCTTGTTGCCAAGCCAGTGCTCCGTTGTTGTCTTCGCCCACTTCACTGTTCTCGCCCTCTTCACTAACTCTAATTTGTCCCGAGGTAGGTGGGGCGATATAAGCATACCCTTGACATACAGTCTTTTTAAACTCAGTGTGGTGTCGGGCGTCGTATACCATGCCCGGTTTGCTGTGGAGAAACCAGGATACGAGACGGTGTGGTGTTGGTCAAGGCATCCATTGCAGATCACATGACTACTTGAAATGCATAGTTCAACACAACCCCTGAATCAACATACCGAAACTGTACAGTGATGGGTTGAGCAGTTCACAGCCCTTTTCCTGCAAATATTATATCAAGATGGTTAATCTGCAATGCAAGCTGCATAATGAAGACCATTGGATTTCATTCTCCTTATTGCAGGATGCCAGTGAGTGTCATACCAGAGCCTTCCCCTTGAAGCCTTTCCCCTTGACGCCTTTGCCAAAGTGCAACACACAGATGCTGGACCATTGCCAAGAGATAACAACAAAAGGCTGACTAAAGAGATCTGCCTCCCATCTTGTCTGTGACAACATTGGCAAGGACAAGCTGAACAGTTGCCCACAATAGCCAGAGAAGGGCTGGCCAGTTGGCAGTCCACATTTCCTTGCCCAGTAATCTCAGGAAAGATTCCCCGAAAATGAACTCCAGAGAGTCAAAGATAGGCAACATTTCCACACAATACCCAGCAAACAATCCCCAGAACACCCATGTAAGTACCTGGGGCTTTGTGATGCCCAACCATGTGGTCCCAATGTCGGCTAGCTTGAAGGATCTTGGGAATGCGTAATCTAGTAATGGTAAGCCTTTGTAGGGGTCGGGGGAATCTGGGAAGAACGTATCGCAGCCTACCTCCCATAGACCACCACCAACAGGTTTCGCCGACAGCCGCCCTGTAAGTACAAATCCAGTCAGCCAGATCCTAGGCTTGTCTCGGCTTGTCTTGGTAGAGACAATAGAGTACAGGCATGTAAAGCTGGGGAGACGGATCTAGGGTACCAAGTCTCCCCAAAAATACAGGAACTGTGGGGAGAGTGGGGGTGGGAGTGAGACCTGGGTGATGATAGGTGTGAGGGTGGGGGTGACTTGGTACATACAGAGAATCGCCAATGAGTCTTCCATTGTGCCACTCAGCCAGACACCACTGGAGATCAAGCTCAGGCCAGTCACCAGTAGCCCATTCAATCTCCTTGATGGCTGGTTTAACCTTGTCCATCTGGGAAGTCAAGTCGTAGAGATCAAAGCCAAGATCCTCTGTGTCAGGCACTCCATGCTCCATGTCGATTCTCATCCAGGCCAGGGTGGCTTGTTCAAGGTCGATCATGGTGGGCCTTGTAGCCCGGCTGACCCAGATGATGGTGCACGAGTTAGTGCAGGTGAATGGACAGGCAGTGACTTTAGAGCCATTGGCAGCTGCAAAACCAAGGTAGCAGTCTGCGAAGGAAGTTCCAGCCAGGAGCATAACCATGACCATAATGATGATGCAGATGGAGGAACACATGGTGGGAAAGAAAGAGGTGGTACCGTGCAGCAGACGGGCCATGGTCGATGGTTGGAAATATCGGCGTAAACGTGATTGCTAGGGTAGGTTTGGGATTCGAGGTGGTGCTGGAGAGGGTGCAGTGTTGGCCTATAACGATGAGCGCCGTGAGGTTTGTGGAGTGAACGAAGTCAGTCAGTCTATCTCGGCCTGTAGGAGTAGGAAGCCAGGAGAGAGACAAAGGAGGAAATATCTCGGCGAGGCAAGGGGCAAAATATACCTGAACGAGTGCCCAGATAATTTGACGCGAGGCATAGGTAAGGTGTTGTGGTTCGAGGGAACACGTCGACACGATAGGAGTGTGGACAAATTCTGGGGACTGCTGAGCCAGACAGGAAGTCTGAACTTTTGGAGGGCCATTGACCTATCACATCTAGGTATGGTCCAAATGTTCCATCTTCTCCTTCCCTATTCATTTGTCCTGAAAAATACCTACCTACCTAACCGAAGCTAGCCATGGGAAGCCAGATCCAGGTTCCGCTCATAGACTCGTGCTTTCCATATGAACCACCAGGTCCTCCACTAATATAGGTATCCTCCACACAAGCATTTGTTCTTGTCACTTTCGGCTCACTCCTAGCTGTCAGCCTAGCTTCTCCCAACACCATTCAATATCGACGCATGCTTGGCATGAATGTGTCTCTCTGGGAGATAAGTCTACATTCACTATCAGTGCACATATCTGCTGCCGATTCACTCTAGGCATATCTCTCTACCTATATATACTCTCTCTATCCAGGCCAAGGCTTCATTCATCCCATCAGCAAACCCTCCTCACTCTCTGCAGTTGTCTCGAGAGGTTATCCATCCTTTCAGTAGTTCATTAAATCAACAAAGCAGACCAAGATGAAGGGCCTCCACAGCACATTGTTTACACTTACCATCCCGACCTTCTTTGGCCTCTTCAACCCTGCCGAGTCCGCCAAAGTTCCGCCGGCCGCCAACCGTGCCCCAGCCAGGCATGTCTTTTCCGACGCCTGTTACCAGTGGAACATCCAGACTTCGTGGTCTATTCTGGCCTGGTGTCAGAATGATGAGGGCCAGTACGGCAAGACCATCATTTCCATGGATGACGCCCTCGCCAATGACTACGGAGTGCTCGTGGCCAAATACAAGGGAGACCTCAGTTACTCCTGTGCCACCTGCGGGCCTGGCACAACTTGGGGCATGGTGACCTGCTTGTGTGGGAATGGAAAAGGCGTGGACGTCTATAGCTCGATTGACCTTGGCAAGCACCTATTCCTTGTTCTCCGTCTCTCTTAATTCCTGCTAACTCCCGTCGTTTCTAGACGATGCCCTCGAGGTCTATCATGGCATCCTATTCCCCAAAATGCCCACCATGCCTGAATCCACCGATTACGACCCCGACATCGCTCCTCGAGGCCGCCGCAGAAACTCGGTCGCCCCTGAGCCGGCCCATACGGATGTCCCAACCCCCGAAGGAGGAAACCCCAAGCATCAGCCTCGTGGTTAGCCGGCTTCACTTGCGGTGTAAGATGTCTCCGATGACTCTCTGGTTATGGTTCTTGGCAGGTCTAGACAGGGAATGGAGGCTTCATTGGCAGCCGGGTTTGGAAAATCACTCCATTAGGCTAGTTATTGATTAATGGACACCTCGCGGCATCCCTGATCCCAGTTGTGATAAACTTGTATTCCATACCATATTCCTAATATCATGGTGTCCAGTTCCGAAGGGGAGTAGAAAAGCGACTTGTGCAGATCAAGAACCGCCGGGATGTAATTCACGCCGAACGCGACTCCAAGTTGTTGAGTGTACCCTTTGAAGGAGTAAAATCCGAGTCAACACACCACGGCAACGTCTAACATTCTGAAGTTTCTAGGATCAACCACGGCTTGCCGCCAACGCCACAACCGGCCACATCGACGTAGGAATACAGGCCTCTTCGAACGCCGCTGACAACCATCACGCCGTACCATAAAGCCCAAGATCGCACTAGGTTTTCCCGAGAAATCAAGTACAGCTTACGCCACAACGCCCAATGCCAATCTTCCTACCCTATCACGAGACAAGCCGAAAGGAAAATTCAACTGTCGGCCAAGTAACCGTGGCGACGAGGGGAGTGCGACCGATGCCTCCTTTCCAAAGACGGTCTCCGAGGAACATACCCAGGCAGGCAGTCCGTCGATGCCATCCCCCTTACTCGCGTACTCGCCATCTGTCCCCCGAGGGAATCGCGCCGCCGAGGGTGTACAACCACCCGACCATCTCTCGACCGCGAACGACGATCCCGCCAGTCCGGGGAGCCACGCCCACGAGACCCCTCCCCGCCGCCCTCGGCACCCGCACTCGCACCCCCCCTTCGACCCCGACCCCGCCCCCTGCGATGCTGATCCGGGAATCCCCCCCCCTCCTCGCGACCGCCGCGCACCCTCTCCTCGTGCTCCCGGCGACACTTCTCAAACGCCACGAGCGCAAAGGCAGCGCCCAGCCCCGCCTTGGCGAGGTGGGCCGCCCTGTGACGGTGGTGGTGGCCGTCGCCGTGGCCGTCGCCGCTGCTCCGTACCGCCGCGGCCAGCTGGTCGGCGGCAAGGGCGGCGGCTGTGAGGCCCGCGACGAGGTCGATGTCCTCGCCGAAGTCAACGCCCTTGGTGAGGGCGCGGATGCCTCTCGGTGGTGGTCGTGGTGGGCTTTGCGTGCCTGGTTGGGAACGTTTCATTGGATTTTTTTTTGGTTTCTGGTTTGTGGAAGGTTTGCTGTTCGGTGCCTCTTTCTTATTTTGATTTGTTGTTTTTGGCTTAGTTGCCTCTCAATCCGAGGCGTACTCCTCTCATTATATGTTGTCATTCCGACCCTGAAAGTCCCGGTTGCCAAGTGTGGCGGGTATTTGCGGCCAGGCAAAACAGGGGCGAGATCACCTGTTCCTCCCCCGTGACCAAAAAGTTGTTGCTTCCTGCAGGAAATCAACGTGCCGTCTGCTTTGGACTACTCAGCAGCATTGGTAAGGTAGTCTGCTGACGGTTCCCTGATATCCGTATATTGTAAATTAATTCAACCGATGGCGTATGTCCTCGCCTTATCTGTCACCTGCAATGGACCACTGCCTCTCTAAAGCTGATGCCCACGAGATTTATGGCGGCCCTCGAGTCTGCTGGTGATTTGGGCGCATCGATTTGGACAAACAGTGGGGATATCCGAATGATTTCCCAACGGGTATTCGGTCGCGGAAACCCGACGTCAACCAAGTTTTAACCTTATCTCAACGACCTTCCCGAACTGTCAGCCCTGGAGGGGCTAGAATCAACGCCACATTGCAAGATGTGCCGAATATCTCGATTTGGTAAGACGGGTAAGACGGAAAGGCAAGTGAGACGGGTGAGACAGGCAAGACAGGCAAGACGAGAGAAGACGGCTTCGTCGTCAGCGGCGCCCAGCTGGTGCCGAGCTGGGGCCGGATTGCTTCCCATGCGTAACCCCATCTTTCGTGCCGGCTCCGACACGTCCTCGAGTCGGGTTTGGCCCGTAAACAATTGGGAGGGCGGCGGCTAGCGGATCGGCAGCGCCTGCCTCAAACGGGCGGTTTCCCGTCATCTCAGGGTTTGTTCACCAGAATGGGGTGGAATTGAGATCGACGAATAAGAATACCGGACATGGATGGCAGATTCTAATCGAAGACGAAGTTGTTGGGCCCACATACCTGGTGGTTCGTGCATGTATGCATGGTACTGTACTGTACAACGTCACTTCTGGCAGAAGATCGTCGCTCCAATGTGCCCCGATCCCCCGCAATCCTTTTGTTTCTGCTTGACGCTCTGGAAGCCGGTACAAGTGCCGCCTCCCAGTGTCCCGCCTCCCACATCTTTCCTCCGGGTTTGCTCATAATTCATAACAAGTCCCCCTCCCTCAACAATAGCCCTTCCCTTCCTTCTGATGCACCCGGACTCCGTATTTTATCCCGAAAGTGATGGCGACCGAAGACTTCCCACTCAAGCAAGGGAGCCGCGAAGCGGATGAGCTGGAGAAGCAGGGCAGCAGTGACGAGACGGTCGTCGGGAACACGAATCTCACACGGAAGCTTCTGTGGAAGCTCGACACCAGGTGATTTGGGGCCTTATTTATTTGTTTATCTACGCCGATTCAAGAAGGCCCCGGGGAAGGCGGGAAAGGGGGAAAGAAAGTCGTGGTGTGAAAGGAACGGTGCGGCTAACATGGGAGTAGAATCCTTCCCGTGCTCGCGCTGCTCTTCCTGTGCTCGTTCCTCGACCGCACCAACGTTGGCAATGCGAGACTGTACGGCCTCGAGGACGACATACACATCACCGACCACCAGTACGACGTGGGGCTGGCCGTCTTCTACGCGAGTTACATCTTCAGGTGAGACAGTGGCTTTAATTACATCCTGTTGCCCGTCCCGAGAGAGCCGGAAGGCGCTGACCCGATTCTTTTTCTTCTTTTCCTTTTCGCAGCGAGGTGCCCAGCAATCTGGTCCTGAAGAAGGTCACGCCGCGGGTGTGGCTCCCGCTCCTGACCTGTGCCTGGGGCATCATCTCCATGTGCCTCGGCTTCGTCCAGAACTTTGCAGGGTTCGTGAGCGTGCGGACCCTGCTCGGGCTGGCCGAGGGAGGCCTGCTTCCTGGAATGGCGAGTATCCATCCATCCGGGAAGACTCCCGAGTACTCATCGCTGACTCGGACAAGTGTTTCAGGTCCTGTATCTCTCCGGCCTATATACCCGAGGAGAGCTGGCGCTCAGGATCGGGCTCTTCTACACGGCCGCCTCTCTCTCGGGCGCGTTCGGCGGCCTGCTGGCGCGCGGGATAGCCGAGATTGGGACGAGAGGTGGACTCTCGAGCTGGAGGTGGATCTTCGTCATCGAAGGCTTGCTGGTAAGTTGCGATGCAGAAGTGTGGGACGGGGACCCGCATCCACTGACCTCCAAGTAGACTATTGTGGCATCCATCGTCGCCTTTGTGCTGCTACCCAATAGCGTCGCCGAGGCTAGGTTTCTCACCCCCGAGGAGAAAGAGCACGCTGTCCAGAGACTCAGAGGAGGAGAGAGCGGCAGTGGAACTGAGGAGTCGTGAGTATCTAGCCTAGCTCGTCAGCATTATCGGAACTAATTGAAATGCGGTCACAGCGAAGTTGTGGAGAAATTCTCCTGGGGGGAGGTTATGCGTGGAATCTTTGACCTCCAGACTTGGCTCACAGCTTGCGCATACTTTGGGATCCTGGCCGGGCTCTACTCGTTCGGGCTCTTCGTGAGTGATGACCCCTATCCTTTTAGGGGATATTCAGATTGGCATGGCTCATACTTCTCAGCTTCCGACGATTATCGCGGCCTTCAACTACACTCCTAACGAAGCCCAGCTCTGGTCCGTCATCCCGTATGCCGTTGCGGCGGTCGTTACAGGTATGTTAGAACACGCCTCTGAGAGAATCCACGTAGCATGTAAAACTAAACGTTATCCCCCTTCAAGTCCTCGTTGCCCTTGTCTCGGACAGGCTCAAGGTCCGAGGCATCATCATGCTATTTACCCTGCCCGTCGCCATCATCGGCTACGCTGTCATCGCCAACACCACAAACGCCAAGGTCAAGTACGGCATGACGTTCCTGATGGCAACCGGCCTGTACAGCAGCGTCCCGCCGGTCCTGGGCTGGCTGTCTAACAACTCGGCCGGCCACTACAAGCGGGCAACCGTGTCGGCTCTGCAGCTGGCGATTGCCAACTGCGGTGGGTTCGTCACCGTGTTCATATACCCCAAGGTGCAGGGGCCGCAGTACCACAAGGGCCACACGATTGTCCTGGGCTTGCTGTGCGGCGGGTGGTTCCTGTGAGTACATCTCTCCCAATTCTCGATTCAGTCAAGCCCAAGTCGCTAAGACAGGATAACCAGGATCTTGCTCAATGTCTTGCACGTGGCAAAGATCAACCGGGATAAGGCGAGAGGGAAGTATGATCAATTCAGGGGCTATGGCGACGACCGCGATCCCGATTTCAAATTGGTCACTTGAGCTTTTCCGGCAGATCAGGGCGGCTTGGGAATTGGACCATCTCAGGCTGGGGAGCGGTCAGGTATTAAAAAAGTTCCAAGCCGGCGACATCTCTTCGCATTCCAATGCCAACTATCCCCGACCAAGCACCAAACCATAGCTAACTGGGGAGGACGCAAGACGGAAGTGGGGTTAATATAATAAAGGGATAATATTTCGATACACGCTCGAAGAGATCCAGATAACTCCAAAAGAATCCGGGGGCGGGCCGGGATCGAAGCGGCGCCCCTTTAAATTGACAATTGAAGTCAAGCCCCAGTCTAACGTGAGCTCAACAACAACACCATCCATATCCCGATTGATTCTAGACCAACATTTGCGCGGACACTACCCATGCGGAGAGATCTTGGCAAGCCAAGAGGATCTCGTCACTCCCCAATGCTGGTGATCCCAAGTGCATGCCAAGCCTAGACCAACTGCCGGCACCAGGCAGACCCTGGTCTAGGCTGTTCCCTTCCAGCCTGCTGGTGCACAACTGATAATAACTGGAGTTAAAGCGTTTCTTCAATCTGGAGATATGTTGAGTATCATGAAGCGCGTTTATATTGCGCGGGGTCGCGTTAATTGCCAAGAGCCAGCCTATATACAGAGACCACAAGACGCCGAACCTCTCCCAATGACTAGAAATACGTCCAGATGCCCCCAGGTCCTCTCAACAAGCAGTCTCCCCGCAACGACCACCCTCTCCTCCCAACCAGCTAGAAACACCTCACCATGACTCGCCCCAGCCTCGGCACGTACCCGTGCCTATGCCTCGCCCTCACCCTCGCCCTCACCCCCCTCGCGAACGCCGCCCCGGCAGCAGCCACGGGCTGTGACCGGGCGGCCCTCCTGGCAGCGGCGGATAAATACGTCGAAGCCCAAACGGCCGGCAGCCTCGACCCTCTCCAGGACATCCTCTCCGCCAACTTTTCCTACGTCGAGAACAACGCCGCCACCGACGTCTCCTCCGGCGTCCTCAGCCACGCCCTAGCCATCGACCACCGGCGCAGCACAGCCGACACGACCGACTGCGCGACCTACACGGAGCTGATCAGCACCGGCGGCAAGGCTCCGGGAACGGGGGCGGGGGCGGCCAAGCCATACGTGATCGGCACGCAGCTCCGGCACGACCCGACCACGCTCTCCATCGTGCTGATCGACAGCGTCGCCTCGACCACGGGATCATGGTCCTTCGACGCGGCCAAGACGCTCTCGCACGTCCTATCCGAGGACTGGCCCGCCATCCCCGCCGACCGGCAAGACGACCGTGCGGTCCTGCGGCGCGCGGCGGACGCGTACCTGGACATCTGGAGCAACGCCACGGCGGCGGACGCGGTGCCGTGGGGTACGCCGTGCGCGCGGCTCGAGGGGTCGGCGTACACGGGGCGCGGGAGGGCCGACGACTCGTGCAAGGCCGGGTTGCCGACGAATCACAACCAGGCGCCCAATACGCGCCGGCGCTATGTGATCGATGAGGAGGCCGGTTCGTGCGACGTGCTGTGTGTGTGGGAGCATATGATGATGGCGGCGGACAGCCATGAGTTCCGGCTCGAGGGTGGGAAGCTTCGATATGTACATACTATAACTGTCTGTCCTGGCCAGACTTGTCGACTGTAGAGCATTGGCTGGGCTAGCCTGCCTTTCTTGATCTCCATGTCCAAACTGAATGTGTTGTTCTCTACTGTGGGTAATGAGCCCCCTCTTCTGTACTGTGCAGGAGGGCGAACATACGGACTCATGGAGTTCACATGCCGGGCAGCCGTGTGTGAAAGCTGAGGGTATAGGTAGGTGCAAGAGTTGATAGGCATGGATCTGTCGTGACATTCTCTGCAAGCAATGAAGGGAGTGCGCTCACTTAAACGCCGACATCGCCGCATACCAAGGAACAACAAGGAACAACTGGTACGTTTAGTAACAAGTCAGAGCTGGCGGGGCGGATATTTTTCGTACGCACTAGGCGGGCAAGAGATAGCAGATTGAAGCACAGAAGCACAAACACCATGCGTCCGGTATCGGGACGGCCGCAACTGCTCAGTGGGACTGAAGGGAAGAAAAGGTTTCGCTCGGCATGCACACGGCTTGGGGGATGCGGATAAGCACGGCGGAGAAATCGACCTGCAAGGCGTACACGCCAACAGACATCATTGCAGAGCCGGAAGGGTATAGTAACCGAAGCAAATGCCAGCGGACGACATGCACCCCATCGCTACAGTTGAACCCGCGAACCGAGAACGCCTCAGAACCCCCCAAAAGTCCCTCACACCGTCTCGATATACCTCCTCACCTCCCTGTCAGAGAAGTAGGGTCAGCAACTACTCCAGGGTGAAACGGGAACGTACCGGCAAAAAGAGAAGAGAAAACTCACCAGTCCGTAACGGCCTCCTCCCACAGGCGAATCTCATGCTCCCTCGTCCCACCAAAGTGCTCCACAAACGCGTCCCCAAACACCTCCCGCGCGACACTCCCGGCCCTCATGAACCGCGCATTCGCCTCCCCGAGGCTCCTCGCCAGCCTCTCCCCCGCGTCCCCCGCCCCGCCGGCGTCCTCGCCCCTCCCCAGCGGCGGGCACGGCAGGTCGAGCTCCCTCTCGACGCCCCTCCACCCGAGCCCCAGCAGCGCCGCCAGGACGAAGTGCGGGTTCGCGTCGGCGCCGGGGACGCGGACCTCGAGGCGCGTGGCGGCCGGCTTGGCCGTCGGGGGCGTGATCAGGCGCACGCCGGCGGCACGGTGCTCGAGCCCCCACGACACCGTCACGGGCGCCCAGAAGTTCTCCACCAGCCGCTTGTAGCTGTTGACCGTCGGCGCCAGGAGCGGCATCACGTCGGGCAGGCCGTCCAGGATGCCCGCCAGGAAGTGGCGGCCCAGGTCCGACAGGCGAGCGACGTCCGGGTAGGGGGGGTCCGGGTCCGGAGGGTCGCGGACTAGCAGGTTCTCGCCGCTCGTGGCGTCTACGAGCGATATATGCATGTGGCCCGAGTTACCTGGTAGGCCCTGCTTTGGCTTTGCCATGAAGCATGGCGTGATGCCGTATTTTGTGGCCACCGACTTGACGACGTATCTGCATGCGTTGTTTAGCAGGGTGTCTCGGGGTGCAGGGGAGGATGGAACTAAGACGAGAGGGTATGGTGGGTTGGATAAACGGCTGGATGGGGCATGGGGACGACCAACTTGAACAGACTCGCGCGATCTGCCATCTGCTTGATCTCGCCAAACTCCAACGCCGCCTCAAAAACCCCCGGCCCGCTTTCAGTGTGCCACCCTTCGATATTACACCCGAACGTGTCGCAAGTGTTGAAGATGTCGTAGTAATAGTCCTTGTTCTCCATCGGCCGGGTCAAGCTGTACCCAAACATGCCTTCCGTAAGAGCGGGTAGCGTATGGGGTGCGTTGTCACGAAGGTAGGCGGCCGTCGAGGTCGTCGAGGTGCCGGAAGGTTCGGTGGGAGCTTTGAATTGGTAGAACTCGTACTCGGCTGGATGGGGGGTTCAACCCGTAAGCTTCGATCTCCTCTCCGGGCCGGGGTAGGAAGCCTCTTACCACCAGCCATGGCTCCATATCCCCGAGCTTTCAGCTTCTCCAATTGTGTCTTCAACAAACCCCGTGGACACGCCGAAACGGGTTCGTTGGTGTCGGGGTCGTGGAAACTGACCAAGAAGAAGGGCACATTGTTCTCCCAGGGGATTCGTCGGAAGGTGCTCAGGTCTGGCACGGCAATGATATCCTGGTATCCGTTCTCACTGTTGCTTATTTTGAGCTCGCGTATGTACGTCTTGTCGTGCATGTCCCAGCCGAAGATAACAGAGCAGAAGCCAAAGCCGCTGGAGGCGATGGAGAGGAACTTCTTCTTGGAGACGAGCTTCCCTCGCAAGATCCCGTCGACGTCGATGCCGGCGAGCTTGACAGAATTGTCGCTGGCGAGGAGATCGGGAAGGTCTTCAACTGTGAGCTTCTTAGCTTCCGGGTTCGAGGCTTCGGATGCCATGGTGAAGGATCCCGGCCTTGCCGCCAAGCTGAAGAATGGCTGGGTTCTACGATGGGTTTAGCAATGCCGCAATAGCAATCCTATCACTTGAGAGATCACAGTGAGCAATGGCAATCGTGAGTCCGTGTCATCAATCCGAGTTCATTGACAAGCTATTGATTGTCTGGGGAGGGGTTTCCAAGGTTTGTGCATCGCGACAAGTGACGAATCCCGTGGACAGCTAACGCGAATCAATGACCCCCTGGTAACGATAAGCAGCTCCCCATCTCAAATTGGCAGCCACAACCACCAGCCACACTACGTCATGACTCTGCAGGCCAGGGTCCCTCACCCTGCTCAATTGGAGGCGGCCATTGGTCAGTTTGAACCTCAGCGATGGCATCTTAAAAGGTCGCGTAATTATTCCTCAAGGTCCATCCAGTTCATGAGAGGCCAGCATGCCTAGTGTCCGTAATACTTCCTCCCGACTGCTGCAATGGCTTTCAAAACCCACCAGGTCACCCCTGAGTCGGTGTGGGGATTTACGCCCCAATGAATGACTGTTTCTGATTGGCCAAAACGTAGTCAGGCGTCCATATCTGAGAACAGTGGTACCTGAGGTACCTATCTCCTGGTTCCACCATGGACCCCTCCAAAAGGAGGGAAGGCATCGGTCACGAGAACAACTCTGAGCCCGCCACCAGCTCACTGTTCCCCAGCTCCCATCCTCCTTCCACTTCGCCTATCTGAATCAACGATGGCAGAGACACGTGGCCGTCTAGCTGGAAAGAATGCCATCATCACCGGCGCAGCTGGGTAAGTTGGGCGTTCTTATCGTGCAGCAGCGGTGAAGAGAGATGGGGGAGATATACCTATCTCCCGAGACGAAAGACCGCCATTTGCAGAGAGTACTGACCTCCGACGCAAGTGGCATTGGTCTCGAGACCAGCATCCTGTTCGCCAATGAGGGCGCCAACGTCCTCATGGCCGATATCTCGGCGCCGGCTCTGGAGAACGCCCTGGCCAAAGTCCGCCAGCTCGTGCCGGCGGCGAAGCGTGTCGAGGTCATGGTAAGCCCGATGCCTCCCTCCTTTCCGGTTCTTGATTTGCGACTTGTACCTCTCTGCATTTCCCTTACTAAACGCCCCGCCCCCTTCTTCCCCAGCTTTGCGACGTCTCCAAAGAAGCCCAGGTGCAAGCCCTGGTCGAGTCCGTCGACAGCTGGGGCGGCGTGGACGTAATGTTCAACAACGCGGGGATCATGCACGCGCTCGACGCCGATGCGGTCGACACGCCCGAGTCGATCTGGGACCTGACGCAGGCGATCAACGTCAAGGGCGTGTGGTACGGGTGCAAGCACGCGGTGCTCTCGCTGCGGCGGCACGGCAAGGCGCGGGCCAGCATCGTCAACACGGCCAGCGTGGTCGGGCTCGTCGGCTCGGCGACCCCGCAGCTGGCCTACACGGCCAGCAAGGGCGCCGTGCTGGCCCTGACGCGCGAGCTGGCCATCACCCACGCCCGCGAGGGGTTTCGCTTCAACAGCCTCTGCCCCGCGCCCCTCAACACCCCGCTGCTGCAGGACTGGCTCGGCGACGACGCCGCCAAGCGCGCCCGCCGCGAGGTCCACTTCCCCACCGGCCGCTTCGGCGAGGCCGTCGAGCAGGCCCGCGCCGTCGTCTTCCTGGCCAGCGACGAGAGCAGCTTCGTCAACGGCCAGGATTTCGTTGTCGACGGCGGCATGACCAAGGCCTACGTCACGCCCGAGGGCCCGCGTGCCCCGGCTCCGGTCAATAATGCCCTGAAGGATAGCCTCGATTGAGTCATCTTTGCTTTTGGGAGTTGACATGTCTCTCGGTTGGGTTTAGAAGAAGGGGAACGACAGCGAAGGCTGGGCGATGATGCATGTAGGGGGCCACGTGAGTTCAGTCAGCCCAGATAGAAACTGGGACAGGTGTCAGGATGCAATGAACCTGCGCCTGTATCGCCTTTCCCTCTATTTAGTAACTGCGACATGCTTTTCCAGTCCCGCCGTGGTAGAGCACGCATCGAGTATTGCACTGTGGCCCCGGTCCGGACTCGGCTTCAGTAACATAGCAAGATGACATATATACTACAATATACGTAGTATATACATGAATGGTCGATAAGTCTATCCAGTTAAGACCACAAGACGCCTTTCCCAATGCTTTTACGGACAAAATGCAAAACTAGACTGCCACTCATTCAAACTGGCCCTCAGTATTTCCCTCCCCCATGCTCTTGCTCCCGCTACTCCCGCTCTGAATCGCCCCAAGTATCCCATCAATATAGCTCGCGCCACTCCACTTCTGGTGCGTGAGCACGTCGCACCCAAGCTCCTTCTCCCGCCTCTGCACGAGCTCCACATACGCAGCCATGCCGTCCGTCTTGAACCCCTTGGCCAGCTCGTTGGTGATGGTGGCTGTGCTGTGCACCCCCGCCAGGCTGACCAGCTGCAGCACGAACCCCTCGCGCGCAATGTCCCACACGAACCCCCTCAGCGTCTCGGGCGTGAACCCGTGCGCCATCCAGTTGAACGACGGCGACAGGTTGTACACGAGTCCCTTGCCCGGGTGGCGAGCCCGCACCGCCCGCGCCAGCGCCGTGGCTACGCCCACGTCCGGGTCGCCCGTCTCCACCCACAGCAGGTCCGCGTAAGGGCCGAAGGCGATGGCCCGCTTCGTCGCCGCAGGCATGCCCGCCCGGAAGTGGTAGAAGCCCTCGCGCGTGCGCGGCACGTCCCAGCTCCAGTAGACCGGGGGCGCGCCGGAGGGGGTGAGGGAGGCGGCCAGGGCGCGCCGGGCAGTTACGCCCAGGTCGCGGTCGGCCTCTACCTTGGCGGTGTAGCCCTCGGCGATCTTGGCGTCGGGCACGCCCTGAGATCGCAGGTGGGCGACGGCGGCCTCGTCAAAGGTCACGAGCTTGGTGCTCTTGACCCAGTTGGCCTCGAAGGCGTCGATCTCGGCACCGGATGCGCCCCGGGCCTCCATCGCCTGGATGGTCTCAGCGAGGGGCTCGAGGGCCGGATCAGTGGCGCCGAGGATGAACTCGTGGTCGCGCACGTCGATGGCGCTAGAGATGAGCTTCCCGGACTCGGAGTCGGTACGGGCGATGACGAGATTCTCGGCGCCCATGACGTCCCACTGGAAGCGGGCCGCCACCAGGCGATTGATGTGGTCGCCCGTCGGCACCAGCACCTTGCCCGCCAGGTGGCCGCACTTCTTGCCGCCGTGCAGCTGGTCCTCAAAGTGCACCGCCGCCGCGCCGTTCTCGGCAAACAGCTTGGCCAGCTTCAGCACCGCCGACAGCCCGCCATGGCCCGTGTCGCCGTCGGCGATGATCGGCCGCATGTAGTCGATGTACGGCGTCTGCGCCCGCTGCTCCGCCGTGAGCTTCCGCCGCGCGTCCCACTGCTTGCGGTCGTGCATCGACTGCGCCTTGGCCATGCGCTGCACCTGGTTGGGCACCGTGTTGTAGGGGTAATCGCCAAAGTCGGGCGACACCTCGTTCGTCGTCGTCAGGACCGAGGAGCATGCCCAGCCCGAGAGGTACAGGACCTCTTGGTGAGGAGCCTGCTGGGTCATCTGGATGGGGTCGATCGCACCCACTGTGAAATGTGTCAGTGACTGACTCTCTAACAATCCCGGGCGGCAACCACCGACGAGGTCAAGACTCACTTGTGTGGATGGGCTCTCCCTTTGCCCCACGTTCCCGGAGCAAGTCCCACAGCTTCCGAGCCATCACGGAGCTCGGGTACGACTGCTGGAGCGAGCCACGCTTTGACACGACATCTGCCGCACTGTATGGGCGCTTGATGCCCTCGTACCGCGGGGATGCCCACCATGCCTCGACATCCTTGAGCTGTTGCTCGTAGAGTGCGTCTTCTGCCGCTCCGGCCTTCTCGGCTTCAGGGAGGAGTTGGAAGGAATCGGACGGGAGGGCAGTCGACACGGGAGGGCTGACGGGCGGCAGGGACGCCATCCTGCTTGCGACAGTGGCCGAGAAGAAGCGCTGGCTCGCCCTGGCGGAGGGTTTGGCCAGAAACACGGAGGATCTCACCGGAGTGGCCCGGCGAGGGATATGTCGAGGGATGCTTCGCAGCATGACAGCGAAGATTCCTGTCCAAGCTGGTGGGTAGTAATGTTATTTCTCCCGGCACAGGATCAAGTCAGAAGGGAAAAGGGGTGAAAGATGGGGTAAAAAAATGTGACGAAGTCGTCAGCAGCTTCTCTGTGATTCACCTTTCGGCTCTTCAACAGGCAGGAGCGGCTTCGGCCGATCGGCGAGTCGGTGGATTGGGTCAAGCGGCAAAGCATTACCGAATCGACGGCTGATGGAGGTGTTGGGCGGGACCAAAGGATGCAGTCTGATTGGCCAATGCCTGTGTCACCCCACTCTGTCCGGAGAACGGGAAACCTTCCCAGCGGCTTTCCTCGGCTCCCTGGACGTGCCAGCCCGAGCTCTCAACAGCAATGAAGCTGTCAACGTTTAAGTTTTTTCCCACAAAACCTTGACCACGCCCAATATTTTCCTGCCCATTCTTCCCCTGCAGGGAGATTAGATACTACAAGGCTCAGACTGAACTATCAGCAGACTCCGCCGGTTCTTTTGAGCAGATAGAGCTTCCTCGGCTTAGTACCCCGCAATTTGCTGTCTCTTGACCAGTGACAACCTTATAACATGGCTATGAACTTGAGCAAGAGCTCGCGAGCTCTGGGAGCTCTCCGGGTAAGCCCCCTTCACACCTTCCAATTGGGCCACGTCAGGGTCTGTATGCCAGACCTCCAAACTGACTTCACCAGCCCGTCGCCGCCGCCACTTCAATTGCCAATGGCCCCTCCTTCTGCTCCAGGAGGAACTACTCGGCTTCCTCGGAGCCCGACCTGAAGGCGACGCTGAGGGAGGCGATACCCGCCAAGCGCGAGCTCTTCAAGAAGGTCAAGGCGCACGGGTCCAAGGTCATCGGCGAGGTCAAGGTGGAGAACACGATCGGCGGCATGCGCGGCCTCAAGGCTATGGTCTGGGAGGGCTCGGTGCTGGACGCCAACGAGGGCATCCGGTTCCACGGGCGCACCATCAAGGACTGCCAGAAGGAGCTGCCCAAGGGCAAGACCGGCACCGAGATGCTCCCCGAGGCCATGTTCTGGCTGCTCCTGACGGGGCAGGTCCCCTCGGTCAACCAGGTCCGCACGTTCTCGCGCGAGCTCGCCGAGCAGGCGCAGCTGCCCCAGTTCGTCAACAAGATGCTGGACGACTTCCCCAAGGACCTGCACCCGATGACCCAGTTCTCCATGGCCGTGTCGGCCCTCAACTACACGTCCAAGTTCGCCAAGGCCTACGAGAGCGGCCTGGCCAAGGCCGACTACTGGGAGCCCACCTTTGACGACTGCATCTCGCTGCTGGCCAAGCTGCCCACCATCGCCGCAAAGATCTACCAGAACTCGTACCGCGGCGGCGGCGCCCTCCCCGCCGAGGTCGACCTCGAGCAGGACTGGTCCTACAACTTCGCCGCCATGCTGGGCAAGGGCGGCAAGGAGAACGAAAACTTCCAGGACCTCCTCCGGCTCTACCTCGCCCTCCACGGCGACCACGAGGGCGGCAACGTCTCGGCCCACGCCACCCACCTCGTGGGCAGCGCCCTGAGCGACCCCTTCCTCAGCTACAGCGCCGGTCTTCAGGGTCTCGCTGGTCCTCTGCACGGGTAAGCACGCACACCTCTCCTCAGGATAACTGCCAGTAATACACATATCTAACCCTCTCCCCAGCCTCGCCGCCCAGGAGGTCCTCCGCTGGATCCTCCAGATGAAAGAAAACATCCCCTCCTCCTACACCGACAAGGACGTGACCGACTACCTCTGGTCGACGCTCAACAGCGGCCGCGTCGTGCCGGGCTACGGGCACGCCGTCCTCCGCAAGCCGGACCCACGCTTCGAGGCCCTGATGGACTACGCCGCGTCGCGGCCCGCCATCGCCAAGGACCCCGTGTTCGAGCTCGTGCGCCGCAACAGCGAGATCGCTCCGGGCGTCCTGACCAAGCACGGCAAGACCAAGAACCCCTACCCCAACGTCGACAGCTCGTCGGGCGTCCTGTTCCACCACTACGGCTTCCACGAGACCCTCTACTACACCGCCACCTTCGGCGTGTCGCGTGGCTTGGGCCCGCTTGCCCAGCTGGTGTGGGATCGTGCGCTGGGGCTGCCTATCGAGCGGCCTAAGAGCATTAACCTCGAGGGTCTCCTGAAGCAGGTTGAGGGTGCTTAGGCAGGCGAGTTGGGGGGGAGTTTGGGGGTGGGTGTATGCTGTGGGTGATTGTTTGCGTTCTGGGCTGGGTTTGAGACAGGCCTGGGAAGAGGAGTGAGTTGACAAGAGTATGGGGGGTGTTTAGACTACCGTTGCAGCTCAGTGCTCGACGATGACCTCCGCTCGGATCCGTGTGTTGAGCTGGGTGATGTTGTTGACACTCACCTTTCACTCACTGACTGTCGGTCTTTCTGTCTTGTCCGTCTTTCCATGTTCCAAATTTTCTGTGTACTCAAGGAAGGTAGTTCAAAAATAGAGCTTGGTCTGGTCATCTTCCCCCGCCCTCCCCACTGTCTATACTCAACCTGATATCACCCCGCCAAGACCCCACGGTCAAGATGCGATCGTTCTCCCGTCCGTTTCGCCGCCAAGATATCAGATTGAACCCGCTCAAAATAGACCTCACTCTCCGCAGGCATTTACCATCGTTCAGCCAGCGTTACATCGCCATCCCAGGGGCAATTCTGCTCTGCGCAATGGTCCATCCGAACTCGCCGAAAGCGGTTCAGGAAGGATTGCTGGTCTTTTTCCCCTAAAAAGGGTTGTGGGGGGGCAAGTGGGGAGGTCGCAGTTGATCCCCCGGTGTCGTCGCGGTCGAAAACTCGGTTGCCGGAATACGTACAACAACCTTGTTCCTGGCCTGAGCGGGAGGTCGGAGGACGAATGAAGTCCTTCAATCTCAGGGTGGATCGAGTCACACGGGTTGGTCAGGTTTCGGGGGCCACCCCTGGCCGGCGAGCAACGGAGAGGAACGTGGCAATATGTCAATATCGACCCGCAGAGCCTGGAGTAGGTAGTATTTCTTCATATCCCGGCATATCCTGGGGGGTGATGACGGTCTGCCTGTTCTATTCTTGGGGTGTTGCCCAGGCCTCGTCCCACATCGGTCGGCAGGTCTCGATAGTGGTTGGTGCTGCAGGGTGAAGCCTGTGGCCTGGTTGTCGATATACCCCCCAAACTTGGCAATTGGCTGGACCACGGTTACAACCCGGGATCTAGGAAACAAAAGACGGCAGACTCATCACGTGTAAGACGATCTCTCACCCTTCCCTCCCCACCTTATACTCGTGTAGTATATAGGTGTGGTAGGTACACTACGGGGAGACATGAGGCGAGACTAGACAGGGCCGTGCATGCAGCCGGGTTGAGCGGGTCGCAGCAGGAACAAGCACCACCAGCAGAGGTAACAAGCAGTCTGCAGGTTCGGTTACATCCTGCGGTCAGACCCGAGTTCCTGGCTGTGACGTACCTACCTGTAGAGAGGTGCACACACTTGAACCCGAGGGGAAGCATGCTCTCAATGAAGCCCCTCAGGCGAGGCGTAATTCTGTCTAGTACACACTTCACTGCTTCACTGCTGAAGAACGACGAGGGCGTTTTATCCGGCCCCGACGGCTCAGATAGTCTGTGCTGGAAGTCGAGGAGTACGAGGGGGCTAAAACACGCGATCAGGAAGGCCCGATCAGGAAGGCAAACTCTATCGTCACCCAAGCAAGCAAGTTCCTTGTCTAGGCCTTCATCTAGGCCGAAGTGGCAACGAGCCATCATCAAGACCAAAGAGGCTAAAAGCGAGGGGCGAAGACATGCTCCTGGTATGCACGGCCGCCGATCATAAGACGCGGGGGGATCGTGAAGAGAGTTGACCAGAAACGAGGAACAGGGATAGCTATACTTGCCCGGCCCATATGCAAGGGTCGAAGAGCCTCGTTCGCGGAACCAATCGAGCGGCATCGAGGCTCCGCTGCGATCCCGTGTCCTCAGAAGCCAGACAAAACAGGTAAATAGAGAAGTCCCGCTAAAAGGAGGCCTTGCAGATGTCTGTGTCTTCCAGCCCGTGACACGGCACGGGTCAATTCAGGACTGCAGGCATGCTCTTACCCAATTCGGGGGTGTAACCACATCGGGAGACCGATGAGGGGGAACATGTGTATAGTACTGAGCCAAGGTAGTGTCTTGGCTCCAAACAGTAACCCAGTAAATATCCCACTCCGCTTGCAGGGGCAAGAGAGCTCGGCCAGGGGGGTAACGAGCGACGAGCGACGAGTGACGAGTGACGAGTGATGAATGACGAATGACGAGCAATAACGAACTGAATGCCTAGGTAGGCTAAAAGACGGTTCAGTTTAGGCCCTTCTCGTCGGATCCAAGCGGCTATCCACAAGTCCAGGGTCTCATCAGGTGACCACCTGCCATAGCGAATGGCCTGATATAGGCCCGGATGTGTGTTGCGAGTGTGTTGCGAATGCCACGCCTCAGCCGGGTTCCAGGGAAGTCTCCGGGAAATAACCACAGCCTGCCAATTAAGCTTAATCTATCAGGCCCTGACATGGGCACCAAAATAGCAACAGGCCTTCCGCTCTGCCCAGACGGTCGGTGGCTCCAGGGGCATCTCGGGCAAAAAAAAAAAGAGGGCCGCGCCAAGGGCCGGCTCAAGAGCTGGCAAAGGGGGTCTTCGCTAGGCGTGTCGAACGAAACAGTCGACATCCTGGAGGCCGAATTGATGGGACGCGCATCTTTTTTCTTCCTTCTCTTTTCCTTTCTCTTCGTCTTTGCCTCAATTGTCTCGATCAGGGGGTTTGAGGCCGTCCTTCGGATGCATGGGGATCCTCACAGGTGCTCCTCGCCATCGGGCTGTCCGAGATGCCCCGAGGCGGTCCATCGATGCCAGTTTCAGGATCAGGGCAATCCTAGCTGGCGGTCCCTCAATCCAGACCAACACCTAGGTTAGTTGCCAGAACAACCAAGGTGGCATCGAAGCTCGTCGTTCAATAAAAACCCAATATCAACAGCAGACCTCGGCCGATCTGCAACGGGCTAGAATGCAGCTTGTCGCGGAGGCGAGTTTCTATAAAAAGAATTATGGTTAGTTGCGCCGTGTATGGGTAGCATTGTCATTTGCGTGTTCTGGGGGGTTCGTGTCCGCTTGGGGTTGAGTTCATAAGTGGTGGGAGTGCCGCTTAATATGATTTCATTTATGCCCACTTCAACCGCAAATTTGCAGAACCGTCGCGCCTGCGCCCATCGAGGCTGATGATGGACTTGGTCGACTTTTGGGCACGCCACTCGATGTTTTTCGAACCTTCAACAGTGCCTCCGAGATTCAGAAGACGGGATCATTGGTGGAGGCCGCAATCTACCACGCAAATTAATGATCTCGACCAAGGGCCTACCCCTTGGCCCTCACCACCACGCCCTGCCGACCCGGTGGACTGTACGAGGGGCAATTTTCCGCCTTGGTATCCCGAAACCATCAATCTAGTCCCTGGTCAGCGGAATGTGGAGAGACGGGGAGGGGAGGGAGGGGAGGAGAGAGGAGGGATGAAGCCAGGAACGGAGGCAAAATGGATATAAATACAGACGTCGCCGCGATCATCCTGACTACTTTCCTGTTCTGCATCCCAGCATCAATCCAGCCTTCCAACCTTCCAGCCTTCCAGACTCAGAAGCCTCCAGATCTGCAAGATCATCGTCTCTTCAACCTTCAAAACCCACCTTTTTACCAACAAAGCCAATATGCGTTCTCTCGCTTTCCTCCTCCCCGCCCTCGTGGCCGCCTCTCCCATTGGCCCCACCGGTCCCGATGGCTGGAATGATGGCCCGGACCCGAATGAGATCCAGATCGTCGATGCCAGCTTCTCTGGCAACGGCTGCCCTCAGGGAACCGTTTCCACCAGCATCTCTCCCGACAAGACTGTAAGTTCTGCGCAGAAGGGAAAAGGCGGGGCAAGGCCGGGCTTCCGGCCCGGGATCGGCCTCCCAGCACCGACCGTGAACATCGCACTGACTCTTTTGCCTACGATAGGTCATCACTTTCGGCTTCGACAGCTTCCAGACCTACATCGGGCCCGACTACAACCCCACTGACCGCACCAAGAACTGCCAGCTTCACTTGAACCTCAAGTACCCCGGTGGCTTCCAGTTCTCCGTTGTCGACAGCACGTACCACGGCTACGCCCAGCTCGACGCGGGCGTCACGGGCACCTTCTACTCCACCTACTACTTCAGCCAGGACGCCTCGGCGACCACGACGACCCAGACCTCCATCTCCGGAGGCGGCATCTGGGAGCAGGGCCAGGTCTACACCAAGGCCGACACCGTCCCGACCGCCAGCTACATCTTCTCGCCCTGCGGCGCCAACGGCATCCTCAACATCAACAACCGCATCGCGCTCACCAGCACTGACAAGTCCGCCAGCGGCCTGCTCACCGACGACGACGCCACCGTCGCCTTCACCCAGCAGATCCACCTCAGCTGGAAGTCGTGCAAGAAATAAATGGCTGCATCGGGGGTTCCCGAGGGCGGGGACAACGCGGAAGCGCATCGAGGGCTGCATGATCGCAGTATCCTGACACTTTCCCAGTGGCCAATTTCTTTTTACCTCATCTTGCATAGGACCGGGGGTCCGGGGGCCTTCTCTTCATTCTTTCATTCTTTTTTTTCTTCCGGACAGACGGATTGGGTTGTCGGGGGCGGTTGACACGGAACTCAAAAGGACAAGGAGTACTTGCCTGTTTGGAGGAATCCCTGCCATGGGCGGGACGGTTGAACACCATTGGCAGAGGCCCGCCGAGAGTGACGGGCAGAGCGACGGCATGATCCCCCGCCACTTGTTTCCAGGTCCATACGTATCTATCTTGTTTCTACTTCGCATCAGTCAATCAAGCCTTTTCACTGAATGAGCCATTTGCAAATACAGCATGCAATACAACATGCTTCCGTGAGGCGGCGCCATCCAGTGGGAGAATGGACAACCCGGAGCTGTGCTGATCTAATCTGATTGGGTAAGTAGCTCATCGGCTCCGAGCTGGATCTGGCTTCATCCGGTGGCTGCTAATTGACGCTGCGGGTTCCTAATCGTCTTCCGAGTCCGACTGTCATGCTGCCATGCCTGCAAAGTCAACTTCGCCAAGGCAATGCAATATACGGGGGTCCCGTATGAAGCGAGCAAGTTGGGCGGTCTTCGAATGCAAAGTCATGTTCCTGGACGAGATTGAATGGCCTTTCAATCAAAACGCAGTCGCATCCATCGATATTGACGGCAGAAGGCATGCGTCATTCCAGATCTGGAGCGACGAGGATGCATTTTACCGCGCCGGCAAAAGGACAGCCCTTAGCGTGACGGATAAGAATAGAACTGGGTAGGGCCTAGGGCGATAGATTTGGAGAACAAATTGGAGCTGGCCAGATGGAGCCATGTATCAGCATGAGCAAGCTGAGAGCGGTAGATTATCCGGTATATTGCTTACCAGGAACCACGGTGGAATGACCTGATTGATGTGTGCGGGATCTGGATTGCACCCGACTGGCTCTTCCGTTTTCGGGCCGTGGCAAGATTCTCTTCGAGGGTAACAACCGTGTGGTAATTCTTCGCTGTCCTAGGGCAAATCTTGTTGATCAAGCTCGATGGTTTCTGACAGCGCTGACATTGAAATAAGGTTTATCGCCCAGTTCAACAGATGGCAGGAGCTGCACGATGCAGGTGGCGCAGGGTTAATGCGCCACATTCCCATAATCCATGTATGTATGTACCGCGTTCCAGGTTTGCTGTGGCATCCACCTCCACCGCCAAGCTACAGTGTTGTGTCATAGGTATTTACGGATCGCCTAGGGGCGCACCTTCTCTGTGCCACATTCGCTCTCCAGGTATTCTAGATGCCTACTATATATGCCCATAAGGCGTCCGACCCTGGTTTCAACCAGGTTAAAGTCATTTTTATCCTCGTCGCACGCATAGTCAAAGTCGAAAATCATCACCTTATCGCTCACAAGTAGGACGATGTCGAGTTTCGTGTCGCCTTGCTCAACCCCGTAGCTGAGGAGGGCACTGTAGGTCTCCGTCAACATTCTCTTTAGGTCCGCTAGTGGCACAATGACTGGGTCTTCTCCCACTAGTTCCAGGCCGCCTAGATCTGAGAGGACGAGGGCGCGCTTCCCGCCACAACGTGCTTCCCCGTAGCAGACCTGTATGTATTTTCCCTGCAGATCCTGGAGTTTCGCATAGTATTTCTTCTCGTTCTCGAACTCCTCGTCCCAGTCCGGCTTCTCGATCTTGACGATAACAGTTGACGGCAAGAACCACTCCGGGAAGCTGGGTCTAATCCAGTTTTGAAGAAGCTGCGGGAGAAGGCACAGGAGCCAGGATATAAACCGGTCGAAAGTCCCAGGACAGAGGGCTACCCGTTGCACGTTGGAGTGGATCCAAGTTGTCGGCGTGCCAAATCCGGACAGCACGCATGTGCCAAAACGAACTTGCTAGGAACATAAGATTAGCAATGTAAAGAGCTACAACTGTTGCGGTCAACATATCATGAACGAAGTCGGCAAGCCCATATTGCAGACGGACAAGGAAATGGGACAAGAGCCCGTGGCGATCAAGTTAAACCTCCCGAGGCTGAGGGAGAGCACTTTAAGGAAGAAACAATTGTTGGCTGGGAGCTGATCCAAAAATTGGTCCGTGCGTGGTTGATACTGAAATGGAGCTGAGGCTCTGGCTCCCTTTCAAAAGCCAGCCGAACATCCACCATACTACAAGATTGTATGTCTATATGTATGTACGTCCGTAAGCTCGACCCAATCCGACTTTGTAATTGCCCACACATTCTCAATATTCCCAGCTGGATCAACAGTCGGCGAACTCTTCAACTCATCCCACGTGTCCGGTTCATGGTTGCCCGAAAGAGCTTCTCAGTCCATCTCCCCCTGAACCCAATGCATCTGGTCAATCTCCGTTTGCATTTCAGAGTGAAAAGCTCTCCCATTGCTATTTTGATGGCTCAATCTGTCCCTCTATACTACCATACAAAGCTGCAACCTTGATTCCAGCCCATTCATTACTCCCTTCGACAGGCCACAAGTTATGTGTGCTGTGTCGGCTTGATCCTGCGCCGTATCATATCCGTTCACCATTTTCATCCAGTCTGCGCCCCCCCCCCCCCCAAATTAACGCCCACTGTAACTATTGGATCCCTTCACCCCATGCTTCCCCGTGCCGCACTGGGCCTGGCCTACTCTTTGGCCTCTTCTCTCCCATTCTGGTGGTGGTGATGGTGATGGTGGCGAGGGTCCTCTTCATCATCGTTTCTCTTGTCCCGTCCACGAGCATCAACTTCTCCCTCCTCCTCACCTTTGACGCTGTGATGGTGGTGGTGGTGGTGGTGATGGTGACGGTGCTCATCAACCTCATCACTTCTCTTCCGACCGTGGCCGTCATGGTGCCCGTGGCCGTCATGGTGCCCATGGCCGTCATGGTGCCCATCTCCGTAGCCATCTCCGTAGCCATCTCCGTGGCCGCCGTCGTGGTGTCCATGGTCGCCGTCGTCGTATCCATGGCCATCGTACCGTTTGTCTTTATCGTGCTTCTTGTCCTTATGTCCTTTCTCCTTCTCATGTTCCTTGTTCCAATGGCCACCGCCCCCATAGCCGTCCCCATCCCAACCATCCCCGCCCCAGTGGCCCCCGTCATAGCCATGGCCACCGTAGCCACCCCAGCCGCCCCAGCCGCCGCGGCCACCCCAGCCATCACCGTGACCCCAGTTGACGTCGCGACGTCCGCCCCCGCCACCGTAGCCACCTCCGCCGTGGCCTCTCCCACCGCCATATCCGCCCCCACCGCGGCCGCCCCGGCCGCCCCGGCCGCCATAAGCCACCTCACCCCAATGGCCGCCTCCATTCCAACCATCCCCTCCCCAGTGGCCCCCGTCGTAGCCACGGCCACCGTAGCCGCCCCAGCCACTGTAGCCACCGCGGCCACCCCAGCCATCACCGCGGTCCCAGTCGACGTCGCCATGTCCGCCGGCGATGCAACTCTTGTCGCTGAAGCAATCCTTGTCCTCCTCCCTCTCGTTCTCGCCTCCTTGGACGACGGCGGTGTCAGCGCCCGTCGGCAAGCCCGTGGCGGCCTTGAAGGCCAGGGCGGCGAGGACTGCTAGGGTTGGGGGGTACATGTTTTTCGTTGTATCGCTGTTCGGGGGTGGGAGTATAGGGGTTAGGGGGTTTGTTTTTCAGAGTATGGTGATCAGGTAGTTAGGATGAGAGTGTTGGGTCCCGTTGCTTCCAAGGACTTTACGGAGAGCATGTGGTGGTTGCTGGCTCGCTGCTCGCTGCTCATGGGATGAGGGGTTGGCAATCTGCCTCCTTTTATAGGCGAGATGCCCGATGGGCTGTCCGGAGGGGGAGCTGGGCTGGACCGTGGTTATGAGGTCATGGTCTACCGGAGGTTGTGTGGCTTCTTCGGGCACTTGCTTGAAATAAACTCCAGATGAGGTGGATTAGGGGATGGGGAGACTGCTCTCGCCACAGGCCAGAAATTGACAAAAAGCTACGTACACTGCTACGATCTCCGTCCGAACGTGGATACTTGGGCCCATAGGCGCGGATATTGTCCGCAATGTATTGGCTTCTTGGGTCGGGCAGCCTCCACTGTGTTGTCTCGACCGTCTGAGAATGACCCGGAACCGAAGAACTGTGACGCGGATGTTGATGATTAGATGATAGGGCGATATTCACAATCCATGTCCTCATCCATATTCACGATGCGGCCCAGGTCTCCGGAGCTCGATCTCGATCACCTCCTGACGAAAGGGTCGCCGAAGAGCAAGCTCGATGGGAGAAGCTTGCCCAAGTGCTTACCGTGGACCCGGGCTGAAACTCTAAGTTCGACAAGGCCACAGCGACGCATTAGTGATTTAGTACCCATGGCTAAAGAAGACCAACCGGGCGGCACATGTTGATCGCGTTGAGGTCATGAGGAGTTGGCGTGGGTGTCATCATGATGGTGGTATTGAGTTGGGGTCTGAAATAGACTTCGCGGCGTTTGGCGGTAGCCGCTCGATTTGAGCCTCGTTTCTTTTTGGACATGAAAAAGTCGTATTTGGATCAAGTCGAACTGTCTTTCTCGGGCTCACGCACCAATACGTAACCTTTGGGTATCTTCAGGCTCCGCGAGTTCCGACTGGTGGTACGACGGGGACTTTAGATGTGTTTGTTGAACGAGTATGTGACAGTTCTAGAGGCTAGAAACATGTACGCTTTCCTTTAACAGGGCGTAGAGCGATGGCTCAGTTTGAAGGACCCTGGGCCTGGACTGTATTGGGCCTTTTCCGAGAAGCTCCATATAATCTAGCCTCGATCTTCTCCCAGCCGCTACCCTCCGTCCCAATCACAACGGCCGAGGCAGGTACGTCCCGGAGATGGACTTGTTGAATGTAAGCTAACTTTATGCCTGCAATGTGTCTTTGGCATCGGAAGCTTCTGGCTGGGGGCAGGACCTATGTGTCAGGGGCAGTTAAACACATGTACCCTTGAGTATTATGCTGGTGCTTATTCGGGCCAAGAGCTGTCAATTTAGCAGGAGGGCTGTGACTCAAGTAATTTTGATACTCTCTTCCATGGATGATAACGTGATGAGTCCCAAGTTGTGGCGCCGTTTTGGCCACGAAAAGGGGAGCATCTTAAGTCCAGGTGAGGCGTCGGAGTACTGTTGCACTGTCTAGCCAAGGACGAACAGCGATGGACCCAGTTGATTCAAGGTTGTGTTGGTGATTCTGGGGTCATCCCTCAGTTACTAATAGTGCTTCCATCTTCCGTGCGTTAAACTTACTTGGGGTCTTGGTACATGTGAGTCTCAGGCGCAGGGGGCTGAGATTCTCTATGCCCCATCGCGATTAACATGGGAACCCCTTGCAGCTTCTCGTTCGTATTCGCACTAGTGATTATGACCCGATTTGACGTATTCTCGTGCGTACTCGCAGACAACAGCTCTAGCAATGGAATGCTTCTCTGGCGGCTTGCCAATATCGTCACGAGCACCAGCTCTCATGAGTGCGACCAAACGAAGTTGTATAGAATCCTCAAGAGCAACCCCGTTACTTTATCATCACCAAGAACTTAGAACACGCACAGCTTCACCATGACCTAGCCCCTGAATGTGTGATGACTTGGTCCACGCCCGTAAGAGCTCACTTCTGCAAACAGAAGAGGAAATTAGGGCAGTCTGGAATATGTAGCCATGACCTCAGAAGTTCCTCACAACCCCATCCCGGGAAGAAATGTGGTAATGTGAGGATAATCGTAAAGAAAGGGGCCAAGCAGGATGGATATTTCCAATATCTCCACGGGCACACTGACGGATCTACCCGACCCTCAACAGACAGAACAAAGCCTAGACGGTTCCGCGTAAGTCTTCGCCCATCATGCCACAACCGCGGAGCCCACACCCAGGAAACCCTATTTTGTTGAGGCACGCAAGGCTCGACCCAGCCCCAGCGCGCAACTTCCCCTCTCAGACCCGAACCCACACCCAAAACCCCACTTCCTCACTCACTCAGAGACAAGCTTTTTCCCGCCATGTCCCGCCTGCATTGCATCGGCCGCAGGTACACAACCATACCTCTGATGCCGTGCAAGTGACGTGGACGTCTGAGCATTCCCAAGGGAGTGAGGCCATCCTGACGACGATTTACCTCGCTGCGTGGCGGGGGCTGAGATGGTTTAAGCATGCACCACAAGCGACTTCAGGCAGGCTCAAAATAGAGATCATATTTCATCCATTCCACCCACCAGAGGATGCAAGGATACCCACGCACAGCTGAGGGCATCCCTCCACATCCACCCCCCTCGTCTACCACCTAATGAAAATATCGCTAGAGTTTAAGAACTAAGAATAACGTAATTCGGGGGGGACGGATGGCAACACGGTAAACATAGCCGAAGCCCATATCGTCCGTCTATCTTCGTGGCAACTCTCGCTGATTGGGGGAGGGGGAGGGGGAAGAAGGAGAAAAAAAGGAACTTCGTTATATGGCGCTTCCATTCACACACTGAGAGACACGCCCGCACCAAGGGAAATTACCACTTGAGAGAAAACCGCCCCGTGGAACGATTACCTCCCAAGCCGGCAACGAGGGAGGGGGAGAACATCAAAGCCCCATTAAACAAGAGGCTTAGACCCGGTGTTCTCCTCCCTCACCGATAGCCACCAGTGCCCCAGTACCCATCATTCCCCCCCTGCCCGCCCCCGCCACCGTAACCCCCCCGCCCATCCTCATACCCGCCGCCACCCCCGCCCGGCCGCGGAGCGTATCCCCCGCCGCCCCCAGCGGTATAGCTCCGCTGCGGATGCTGCTGCTGCGCAGGGCTCTGCGTGCGCTGTTGTCCGCCAGGCCCGGGCGACCCGACCCGCATGTGTGCATTGGGGCTCGAGAAGCTGCGGTTGGGACCCTGCGGCGGTGCGAAACGCTGCTGCTGGTGCCCCGGGCTGTGCATGGGGCTGACCAGCGCTTGCGGCGACGCCGTGGCGGACCTGTCCAGCCTGGCGAGCGGGTACGCTGGCGACCCGGCGCCGCCCCCCGCCATGCTGCGGTCGTACGCCGGGTTGCCGCCGTAGGGGCCTGGGCTGGCGACGCGCGGGCTCTGGGCGCCGTCGCGCGAGAGGAGCGGCATGGGGCTGCGAGGGCCGGAACCCGCGGCGGCGGCGGCGGCGGCGGCTGCGGACATGCCGGTAGGTGTGGTGGCGGTGGGGGTTGGGACGCTGTAGCTGTCGGCGTTGGAGATGCCGTCGCGACGCATCTCCTTGGCGTCGTACTCGGTCTGCTCGACGACGAAGCTGTCCGGGTTGATGCCGGCGGCCTTGAGCGCGGCGATCTCGCGCTGCTCCTCCTCGGCCTTAGCCTCGGCTATCCGCGCCTCGCGGGCGCCGCGCCGGCGCTGGCGGATGCAGTAGAAGACCATCCACGCCAGCAGCGCCGTGCCGACGCCCGCGGCCGAGGCGTAGACTGCGATCTTAGCCGTGGGCGAGAGCTTGGCCCACTTGTCGCCAATGCTCTCGGGTGGTGGGGCGGTGATCTTCTCGTGCACGGTTGAGTTGCCGCTGTTGGAAATAAAATGTTAGTACACTTCTCCCATATACTCATGTGAGGTCATATCCTGAGAAGACGTGAAAACCTACCTCACGACCCTGATGCTCTCCCACGAGCCAGACTTGTCCCCATACGAGTACTCCTTGGCCTGGTTGGTGAAGTCGGTAACCTGGATGCTCTTAACATGCATCGAAAACGGTCCCTTGCTGAAGTCGGTGTCTCCGCCGGCCCAATCTCGCGTTCCCTGGGGCAGACTTGGATCGCCGCCAGCCCAGATACCCACGGAGATCCTCATGGGCGTTTGTGGGTAGTAGTAGGTGTTATTAGCCTGCTTTGGCAGTAGAGTCCGGATATGTTGGCTGTCGATGAAGAAGTCCAGGGCATCCTTGGTCCAGACAGCGGTGTAGTTGTGATAGTCATCCAAGATACCTCCAGCAACAGGGTGGTAGGTGGCGGTGCCGTAGTTCGTATCCACGCCCTTTCCAAAGTAGTTGGTCTCGGCGTGAGTCGCGTTTCCGCCCATGAACTCCCAGTCGATCTCGTCAAGGTCGTCGCTCAGCAACATGATGGAGCTGATAATGCCCGTTCCGGGTGCGGCTCTCATCCATATCTCGACACGGCCAAAGAAAATGTAAAACTTGGATCGGATTGTGGGCGACTCGCCCTGCTGGTTGATGGTGAAGGTGGCGCCGTCGTTCCTATCGTATGGAACATTGCCCTTCGTGGTCTCCCAGGTCCCGTCGATGGGCGTCTGGTTGAAGTTGAAGTTGTACTCCATGCCAAAGGCCGGATCCGGCGGGCAGTCGGTCCTGTTGAGGGGTTGGCAGTCGGTTGTCACTTGTGCCGCGGTATGTTGGAAGAGTGTCGCGGAAACCAGCAGCCCAAGGGCCGAGCGAATCGATTGTGATGCCAGCATGATGGCTGGTGTAAAGTATGTGATTTAACAAGGGTATATGGAGAAGCGAAGCAGTCGATTGATCCAGTCAGCCGGTCGGAAGGAGTGGATAGCGGCGATGATGCCGCGTGTAAAGAATGGTATATTGTTGCTTTGGGCCTGGTCCTGTTACTTCCTCATGTCGAATCTTGCTGGGTATATCGCGGTCTCCGATGCTCGCAGAGATCAGGGGAATATTTCGGCTTTGCGAAAGGAAAGTGTGGCAAGTGGATTGGCGAATTCCAGGGACCGCACGAGAAAAAGACGACTTGATGATGTGACGCGGGAGAGTATCCGAAGGTACACAGAAGTCGGGGCAACCGACGAGGTGACAGACAGGCTCGATTCAGAGAGTGTCGAGACAAAATGAGTGACAGTGAGCGCTACCTAGGTTTGTTTCCCCGCGGTGAGAAGCCCTCGACTCGGATGGCAATGGAAAAGGAGTGTGACCGGGTCTGGTCTGGCAAGCGAGTGGGTGTGAAAGTGAACGCATTCAGAAAATAGGGGTAAGTAAAAAAGCACAAGCCGAGTGTGGCTTGCCGGAAGCACGGGCCAGTTTCTGGGGTAAAGACGCTCATCTGAGACCAGATTCGTTTCCGAACCCTTGCTCAACGGTCGCTGATTGGGCGAACCAAGAGTCTTCACGAAGACACCACATATGGCGCTTGTACTTTCCGGGAAAGGACCTACCCGCTGATCAGCCGGCGGCCGTCGATCGGCAGGAACCCGCCAATTGCTCGGCCCTAATTTCACGGCGCCTCATCTCCATTCGTCTTGGTGCCGTCGGTAAAGCTTGGGGAGGATTCGCTTTGGCACAGACAAGGGTGCACGTGAAACCAGGCAAGAAGAAACAGCATCACCGCTACCCTGGCAGGGCAGTGCTACCAAGAAATATAACATCACCACCTGTTATTGGAAACCATAAATCAGTACAGCATGTAGTCTGTATATACATCCGTATGCATGGGTGTAGTAGTGAGTGTCGTCAAACTGGTGTGAGTCCGTCGGGTTTGCTCCACGGACACCGGCAGAATATCAAGAAGCCCTTTTTCTATTTCCCAACGCCTCTATCTAATACCGATAAACCAATATTTAGGTAGCAAAATCACCACCCTCCTGCCCGTCCGCATCCCCTGCGTATGCGTCGTCGTTGTCGTCTAGTAATAGTCTATGATGGCTTCCAACACAGATGCACACAAGTGAAAATCATAATGATCCAAGTGCCCAACAATAAGGGGCCCTGTCCCTCCTCCCTACATGTCTTCCCTAGGCTCCCCCGACCACAAAACACATAAAAAGTGCCCAACTCACTCCTCATCATCGGTATCAGGGTACTTGGGAGTACCCTTGGGGCTGTTCAGCCACTCGATGTGCCGCAGCCGGCGCCGCACCTCTCTATCCTTGAGATCCTTCTTCGTCATCTTCTTCTTCTTCCTAGCCCTGAACTTCATGCTCTCCCCCGTGACACCGCCGGCGTTGTCCTCGGTCCCGCTGTTGACTGCGCTGCTGACGACGCTGCTCTCGGCGGGGCTGTTGAACCCGCTCGCCACCGCGCTGGCCGGCCTGCTGTCCTCGAACCGGTCCATGCTGGCGGCCGCGTGCCCGCGGTGCGCCACCCGCCCGTCGTCGACGTGCCACTGCTCCGACGCCAGCGCCCCGACGAACTCGTCGTTGTGAGAGATCATGACCACGCCGCCCCGGAACTCGCGGATCGCCACCGCCAACCCGCCCAGGCTGTCGCGATCCAAGAAGTTGGTCGGCTCGTCCAGCACCAGCAGATGCGGGTTGTTCCACATGGCGCCCGCGATCACCACCTTCACCTTCTGTCCGCCCGACAGCGAGCCGATCTCGTTGTGGTTGGCGAGCTCCGGGTCGAGGCCCAGGTCGTCAAAGTGCTGGCTGATCACCGACGGCTGGAGGTCGCGGTAGCCCAGACCCTCCCGGGATGCCTCGTGGTCGTCAAACTCCTGAACGAGCTTGTCGAACCCGAGTTCAAGCAACGTCTCGCGAGAGATCTGCGCGTTGTGCTTCGGGAGCATGTGACGGAATTTCCTACAACCTCCGGTGTTAGTGAACGTGTGGCTTTTTGTCTCAAACAATTTCCGACGGGGGAGTGGAGAGATATGACTTACACCTCGTATTGGAAGGTCTTCTTCCACTTTTGCCGACCGACCAGGTAATCGATCTGGCGCTGGCCCTTGCCGTCACCCAGGTCGATGAACTTGTCCATCTGCTCCCGGTCCTTATCCGACAGCACACGAGTCTGTTTCATGTGGACCTCTCGGTCGTCACCATTGGCGTATCGCCACTGGAGATACTGGTTCGGCGTCTTCTCCAAGTGCATTTCAACGTGTTCGAGGGCGTGTTGCTTGATGTAGCCGATACGCAGGTTGGGATGCTTCTCAACCCTGCCGGTCGTGGGGATCACTTCGCCGGTCAGGAGCTTGATGAGGGTCGACTTGCCAGCACCGTTGGGCCCAATGATGGCCACCCTGGAAGAGAGTGACAGCTGGCAGGAGACGTCGACCAGAGAGGGTTTTGGAGCCTTGGGATAACTGTACGAGACATTCGACATGCGAATGATGGCCCGCGTCGTCGACTTGACGCCCGTGAGGATGCCCGGAGGGGGGAACTTGAACTGCACGTTGCTCGCAGACAGGGTGTAGTAGCTCTTCGCCTCAGGTCGGAGCTTGACGAAGGTGGCGAGATTGCCCCTGAAATGGGCAAGTTTCTTGCCCGGTTCGTAGTGGTAGATGTCTGTCGTGACCTCGTCGAGGAATCCCGAGTCGTGGGATACGATCAGGCTGGTGATTTCGGTATGTGACTTGAGATATTGCTCTAGCCACTTGACGTTTTCCACATCCAGATGATTCGTCGGCTCGTCAAGGAGGAGAACATCTGCCTTCTGCAGCATAGCACGGGCCAAGGCCAGCTTCATCTTCCAGCCGCCGGACAGGGAGCCGACTTTCTGCGACTGTCGGCCTTCGGGTCCGGTCGTGAAGCCGAATTCTGCCAAGACCGATGAGATGCGTTCCTGGCCTTCCTTGGCAATGACTGGGTCCTTGGAGACGAACTCCAAGATGCTGATGTCGGCGTCTTCGCCTTGGTTGTGCTCTACATAGCAGGTTCTCAAGACATCTTGCGACGGGAAGCCCTCAAGTTTCCCGCCGGCGATGCTCCTCATGAGGGTAGACTTTCCTGCTCCGTTCCGACCACACAAGCCATACCTGTGGCCCTTCAGGAGCCGGAGATTTGTGTGGGACAGCAAGAGCATGCCGCCGTACGCGAGGGAGAAGTCGGCATTGACGATCTCGATTTCGCCATCGTCCTCCTTCTCGGGCTGGCCATACTTGCGGTGGTCCTCCTCGACATAGTATTTCTGAACGGCATCCGCAACAGCCTCGTTGGCGGTAGGATCCTGCATCAAGGACTTGATGTACGGCGCAATCCTCGCCGAGATTCGGGTGAGTTGTCGGTGGTTGACGTCCTCCGCAACCATCTCGCAGACATAGGGACGGAGCAACTTGTACGTCTCCAGATCGTTCGCCAGTCCCTTGTGCTTCTTGATCTCCGAATCGAGGACCTTGGCAATATCGTCTGCGGTTGTGCGCTCAATGACTGCCGTCTTCTCATCGCCTATGGCCTTGTCCATGACATTCAGTGCCCGGGTTGCGAGTTCTCGAACCTCGGGGAGAGATGCTCGGTTGACGACGCTCTTGACACCGGGTTGGAGCTTGGGCAAGAAAGTACGAGCTTCAATAGGGTCGTGCACGAGTTTGGTGAGGTTTTCGGTAATGACCACGGTCTGCCGAAGTACTTCCTGGGTTGTCGTGGGGCTGTTCAAGGACCGCTCGAGGAAGGGCGTCAGGAGAGCCAAGACGGGCGAGGTAACAACAGCAACGAAGGTGGTCTGGGAGAGCGCATGGATGGCCTTCTGGAGTGTCTCGGACGACGGGCGTTGCATCGTATCGATCAGGAGGGGAATCCGAGGAGCAACATCGTCATTTGAGAGCAGGGTTGTGAGCGAGGTCATGGTCTTCACAGCCTGCTTCTCAACCTCGGTTTTCAAGTCGTGCATGCCGTCTTCGACAAGGGGGATAAGACGGGCCAGCTTGGTGCCCATTGCCTCCCTGAGGATATCCTTTTCTTCCGCCTCTTCCTTCGTTGATCCCACAGCGATCTGGGCCTTGTCGGCCATCTTCTGCATCAACTTGTAGGCGCCGACCGTTCCTTGCCATTTACCAGTCCTCTTGGACAGGTAGCTGATCAAGGCCGGCAAGAGACCGACCACCAGGGCCTCGGGGCTCAAGAGCGCAAAGATGGAATCGAGTCCGTACTGGGCAGCATCGCGAACCACCGAACCCTTGTCGGCCAAGGCATCCAGAGCACAGGCAACCATGCCGCCATCTTGGATTAGGAGTACGACTTCGCTGATGGGTTGCCGAGCGGGGAACCGTTCGAGCAGTGCGCCAAGGAGGTTCTGGGCGCTCTCTCTTCGAAGGCCGCTCTTCTTGTCGGCGGCTGCTTTCTTAATCTCGGCTAGAACGCCATACTGCTGAAGACCGCGGTAGCCAACCGAGTTGATGAGGATTTCGCACAAGCCATATGAAGCGTCGATCGAGGCGGCGGAAGACGGCGCTGTGAAGATTGTGTTGAGCAATGAGGAAACCTCGGCTGTGGAGGGCGCAGGCGCTTCGCCATCGGCGAGCTTGACAGGTACAACCATGGAGGGCTTTAAGGGAGGAGAGACTTGGTGAGGCATTATAGACGAGTCGATGAACGGCTCTTGCCAAAGTCTCGAGAAGTTTGGGCAGAATAGCCCTACGAGAAAAGTGGTAGGTCGCAAACTCGGAGATTGTTCCCAGAAATGTCAGCATTTTTCCTAACCTTTTTTTTTTTTTGCCTCCGCTCCTTATCAGTGCTTACTAAGGAGGGGTTGGTGCCTGATAACCCACTTTAGCCGCACTTGGTTAGGTGGGCCTGGGTGGGCCTAGCTCTAGATTGGGTGCGGAAGATATGCCAAGCCCTGTACGGACTTCAACTTCCCGTGGCATCGACGTTGCCAAGGTAGGCATCCTCCGCCATGTTAAAGCTTATATCGCAATGTGGACATCCCAGATCCCTTGGCAACTACCTACATTGCATGATCAGGACAGGGCTCTGTATCCGTATGGCTTTCGCTCCGGTGGCCTGCCGTGGTTCTTCACCCGGTCCGCAAGAGTCGTCAGTACACCTCCGGGCTGATCAGGTCGAGGAGTGGATGACTCTCAAGGCATGATAGTGCTCTGGATATAACATTTAATTGCATTTCTCATGTTTTGGGTAATCTGATAATGTAACTAGGCACGTAAGGACGCAAATGAAAAGAACAAAAAAGGAATAAAAAAGGAATAAAGGGATAAATCGCTGCATCATTTACTCCATCACCAAACCAAACCTACTCACTCTTCAAGCGAGGAGCGGAGGCTTAACCCATTCTTAAATATCAAGACACGGCAAGGAAAGTACTGGTGTTCCAGGTCGTTTATAGGCCATGACCTACGGACGAAAATCAGTATCCATTGAAGTCACTGTTAAGGGGCCATTCCGGGAGTGGCACTTACGACCGAGTTGCTTGCCCCGCTTCGATACCTCGCGGGCGTGATGCTGCTTGATCCTGGCCAGGCGCGCCTCCTCCTCGGCCTCGAGCTCGAGCCTGCGGACATGCTCGTGTGCCTCCCGCACGCTCTGGCGGGCAGCAGCGAGGGCGCGGTCGGCATCACGCTCGGCCGCCTCGGCACCGCTGACGCGCTCGCGAGCTTGCAGGATGCTGGGGTCTATCTCGGAATCGTTTCCGTTGCCGAAGGTCCGATGCAGCAGGCTGCGATGTCCGTTGCTGGCCTCGGTAGAGCGGCGGAAGATACCGCCGCCCCCGTTGTGATCGCTTGTTGATGAGTGGGAAGCCGTCGAGAGTCTGTTCGTGTTGTTGGTTGCCTGAGTTGCGCGGGAAGGGGTAGGGGAGGGTGAGCGGTGACGGCTTCCGAAGAGGCCGTGGCGTTTGGGACGCTCTTCCTCGACTCGAAGGGGCTCAGGCTGAGGCTCCTCCTCGACAGGTTCGCTATGGCGAGAGAAGAAAGGCATGTTGGCTGATGGATATTCTTTCGAATGATCTTGGATACTTATTTGTAAGATAGGCTTGGCTCTGCACAGAGTTGAGGGTGTGGCAAGGTTCTGATGGAAGTAAGACGAGAAGTAGTTAGTTCCAGAGGAAAGGTGCCAAGAGAGCGCCCAGTATTTGACCAGATGCACTTGCACCCCCTCCATCCCTTTGATGCCATTCCCAAACCTGATTCTGTGCAACACGCAGGGGGTTGACCAGTGATCACCCGCATGACGTCAGGCTCAATGGTGTTTGGACCCTGGATGCATCCCGAGTACCAATGGCTCGTTAAAATGACGGAATTGGTGATGCAGAACCCTGAAGTTCAGCCAATATGCAGAGTCCTGGGGCTGAGAGGGTGCATCACCGCTGGTAATCTCTACCATCATTGAACATTCCAATGATGCCATCCACACATTCGGTAGTTGCGGCCTTTCGCTGGAAATGTGAGGGCAGCACTTGGCCGTAATATTGTGGCAACCCAGCAGCTGATCCAAGGGTCTAGAAAGTTAATTGAGTCCAAATATGAGAGAATTATTCTTTAGAAGATAATGTATGGAAGCCAAAGTGTGTCGACGCTTGCCAACATAGCATGGCTGCTTCCAGACAAGACTGAATTGACCGGGCCAGGATCAAAACGGCATCAAGCTAGGACGTTATTGGAGCAGTTTACGTGCTTGTACTCAGTTGCATTACCCGAAATGGGGGGTATTTTAATGCCAGATGTGGAGGAATGTAGGCGCGAAAGGTCCAATGTGCCTTCAGATTCAAGATGCTTGGGACAGAGGTTGATGTGCTTCTGTCACTCTGGCTGGTGACGTAGTTAAAATCCTGTGGATGAAATGCATGTGCGCAGGAGAGCCTTACGTTGCCTATCACCTGACCATGCCTCCAATAGATACCACGGTCCAGGATCTGGGCCAGGTACGGTGGGGCACGTCACGTGCAAACTTTGGAATCAGAAAACATTCGGGAAAGCTGGATCTCACTCGCGGCAACTTTCCACCCACCAAGTCGGCGATACCCACCCCTCGAAGAGTCAAGGGCGGCTAGAAACAGAAACACCGCCACAAAATGGAATCTCCATCGATATCTCGAGCGGCCCATGATCCGGACCTTAGAAGCCGATCTCCATCCCTCCCGGCTCGATCTCCATCTGCATCTGGCAGCCGGCATCACCGATCACTCTCCCCGCGACGAAACGGAAGGTCTCGCAGTGACAGTCGCAGCCTCAGTCGAAGCCGTAGCGGTAGCCATAGCCGTAGCCGCGGTCGCAGCTTTAGCCGGGATCCCGAGAGTCCTCCCCGAAGCACCAAGGTATGCGCCGATTCCAATAATTCCAGCCAATACAAATGGAAGCTAACTCAAGCTTACCCATCAGATTGTCGTTGAGCGACTAACGAAAAACGTCAACGAGGACCACCTCTACGAGATATTCGGCGAGTATGGCTCGATCAAAGACCTTGACCTGCCCATCAATAGACAATGTGAGTTTCCCCGTTTGGATCGGGCCTGGCCAAGGCAGTACCAGCAAGTTGAGGTCAGGCTGACTCGAGGCGTGCCACGGCACTAGTTGGGACCAATCGCGGCACAGCATACATCCTGTATGTTCACGAGGCCGACGCGGAGGCGGCGATAGCTCATATGCACGAGGCCCAGCTGGATGGCGCCGTCATCAATGTCTCCATCGTGCTGCCGCGCCGCAAGTTCTCTCCCTCGCCTCCAACCGCCCGCCGCGGCGCGAATTACGACCCGCGACTCCCCGCACCGGGATTCCGGCCTGGCCCACCAGGTGGTGGCCCTGGGGGGCGCGGTCGACGATCTCCAGCGCCGCTCGCTGGTTCTGGCTCGGGCCGCTACGGGTCGCGGTCTGACACGTACCGCCCCCGGTCGGTTTCGCGCTCCAGGTCCAGGTCCCCTCTCCCGCCTCCCAGTGGAAGTCGCAGATACCGCAGCCGGTCAGCGTCATATTCGTCGAGATCCCGGTCCAGATCCCCTCCGACTCGTGGGCGTGGTGGTCGTGGCAGTGGCGGCGGTCGTGGCAGGGGTGGGGGCGGACGATACGACGATCACGACTATGACGACCGGCGACGGAGCCCAAGCCGTGGCAGCTACGACAGCTATGACCGCCGCAGCCGAAGCCGCAGTCGTAGTCGAGAGTGGAGCCGAAGATGATTTGCTCTTCCCAGCAACCCAGGCGGTCGCTGCAATCGGCCGAGCAAGATTGTGTGTTATTGGAGTTTTTGCAAGTGTAAACATAGGGCCATAGGCTAGGCCCATAGGGCAGGCGTTGACCGGAAGGTTACCAAAAAAAGGGAATTTCAGGTCAGGGGGCGGGGTGTTGGGTGGCTGTATCGATCAAGCACACGCCTGGCTCGCCAATACATGTACCAAACTTAATTGAATTTCTATTGACATGATTGATAAAAGCAGCTGCGAGCCGAATACTGTGCATCCGACACTAAAGTAGATTGTGCCACACACATCCCCGCTGACAGCCGTTCGCTTCTGCCTTACATCTGTCCATCTATCTTAAGGAGCCGAAAGTCCATTTTTACCATTTCTGCCTTGTCAGCCTTGGCCCACACAATCCTTACCCAGGCAACTGCCATGGCAGACGAGGCGACGTGCAACAATCGGATATGTCCAACTGTCGCGATCGTATCCCCCAACCCAAGTGGTTTCCAACATGCGAATATCCTGCAGATGCGACCGAACATGAGCTGCGCCCCCTCACATCCTCGATCCTCGTACTCTCTTCGTGGCCAGCCTACCGGTATTCTGTGCGGCAACTCGATCATGCAGCTTCCATGTCCATTCTTTGTCAGCGGTCGCTCACATGAGCTGCAGTCATTCCAGGAACGGCAGGTATAAATTTATTTATTGCGGCGTTTAATTCGCCAGTCACTTTGCCTTTCTCACCGGTTTAAGAGGCTGCCTATTGTCACTGTCAGCCTTAGGCCCAGCTCGTCTTGCCCCAGTCCGATCCCGTTTTCCCCCACTCATCTCATCATCCCTTGGCGCCTCGTGAACGACCATCCAGCGGCGCCGTTTTGACGTCTAACCGCCCAACTGTCAGCCCTTCTAAAGATGGAACTTGCGCCGAGAGAGAGAACTTGCAAGTCAAACAATCTGACCCACTGGTCCCCCTAGTATCCACCCTATTTCCTCTCCACCCTTTATCTTTTGTCACCGAGAACAAATAACGTGTGCCGGCCCGGCCCGGATCTCGGACAAACCCCACACCAGTCAGTCACTGGCGCCATGACCTCTGACTCAACTGGCAAGGTGCGAGATACGCTGGTTTCTGGAGCAGTGGCGAATTCTCCCGGCCCCGAGGTTACACTTGGATCGCAATGCCGGGTGTGTTGCATCCGGCGCTATCGTGATCGTTTCTGCTTGTCAGAGCACCACGATCAGCCTGGACCGCCTAGGCATACGTGTCATCGATTGGGGCTGTGAGATCTCGAAATAATTCCCCCTGGTTTTGACAGCACCTAAGAGATGCTACGAAAACCAACAGTGGACAACGAAGGATTGCTGGGCCGTAAACTAACCCCCATCCCTTCCCGGGCTGGACATTCTGAAGCTCTCATCGGCCGCTTTTGCAAACGGGCCTGACTCCTTGCATTGTCCGTCAACTCAACAACCAGGATTCTTGCCCAGATACAACTCGCATCGAAGGGTGTTGAGCCCATCATGTCGCCAACGTTACAATTGCAACCGACTCTCCGCGAAGGGTGCGGGGGGCTGTGGTAATGGTCGCAACCATGGCCATGGGAGGCATCAGAAAGGATCGCCCTGCCCTCAGCTTCAGCCCTACCCGATGGAACCAGACGGCAGACTTCGGATCATGTGCCGAGGCCAGAGCATGTGGGGGGAACGTCATGGCGGGCTGGCCGTGTTCGTTTCTGTTTCAGATCTAGTGTGGTGGGAGTGATATGAGGTTTGTTTGGGGGCCGGTGAGATTTCCGGGCCCTGCAAGACCAGCATCTCGAGTTGTAGATTGGATGATGCTGGGAGGAGAACACCGGCGGGTGGGAGCTTCGCCACATCCACGCGGCAACTTCTTAATATCGCGCGCTTCTCGTCTATTCGAGTCATTCGGTTAAGTCGAAGCGTCAACCTCACGTGTGTCCTTGAATCGACCTGCTCCCTTTTCACTCTCCTTCTACCTACCCCGTCACCCCCTCCCCCAATTCTGTTTCTAAATTATATACACTGCTTCCCACACATGACGCAGTGCGGGTGGACGATGGCCGAGCATATGGCCGGCCATCCAAGCCTCATTGCGCCGCAGTTGATATTATTCCAACCGTCTTCAGTTCCCAGGGTGTATCACAAGGTCTCGGCTGCTTTTGGGGCCTCAAGGCCCCCAATGATGGAGACACGAGAGGTGTCGTCTCTCGTCATGGACACACGGCCTTGGTGGAGGATTGTGTCTGTACCCGTCGAGGCGTCTAATTGAACCGTCGAGCTGGATATGCCCAGACTCTCCATCCTTCGCCAACCCATGTGTCACTCACCCTTGCTCTCCCTATTAGGCAACCCGCTTAACTCGATCCTTCGCCATGTCGTTTGACTTATGCTTGTATACTGGGCTTCTTACATCGGCCGCAGGCGTTACACCAGCGCTACCATGATTCTCGGCCAAGGACTTGCACCGCAACTGTGAGTCGTTCGAGCAACTTATATATAAGTCGGCCGTGAATCCCTTCAGGATCCAGGACATGACACAGACTCCCAGCAGTGTTCAAGAGCTTCAATTGACAGCCCTACCTACCTGAATTCGCGTTCCCAGCGCATTCACCAACATCTCACCAAGATACACTATTACCTCGTCCCGCCCTCAGCCATGCTCCTCCTCAGCTCTACCCTCTTCTCCCTACCACCGAATCCATCTCCCACGCCCACATACCTGAAGGGCAAGATACCCTTCCGCCAACCCACACCCCGCAACCCGCAGCCCATGCCCTTCCCCGGGACGCCCCTCCAGGCCCCGCGGCCCAACCCGCCCCCGAGCCCCACCCCGCGCCCCCGCCCGGGCCCGCTCAACCCCCGTCCGCCACCGGGCGTCCCGACGCCGCCCAACACCCCTTACGCAACAGCCTGCTGTTGGTCTCACCGCTGCTGTTGATCCCACCACTCGAGGGGGAGAGATATCCGACGTTGATTCGAACTTTTCCCCGCCTCGCCGCGGCTACTTGCCCGTCGCCTGAACCACGGCCAGACCCGCGTCTCGAAATCATCCGGCCAGACCAAATGGAAGAGGTTCTTTCTATAGGCCGTATCGCGGGGAAGACTCGAGACCGCCACCGCTTACTCGTGTCGAGGGGAGGGGTGAACGCGGGAAGGGAGCACCCGCCGTGGGTGCGCTCCCTCGGCAACCGTGGCTTGCCTGCCTGGTCCGGGAGTGCCGCGGGGGGTCCTCTAGGAGGACTAAGTGCTGAGTTGTCAGCCAGGGGGGCTTCCTAGAGGAGCAGCGGGCTTCGCTGTCATTCCTTGATGTTTCCTTTTTGTATGGGGGGTGAGTGTGGGGTTTGTTTGGGAAGGGGTGCAGAGAGGGGGTCGGCGGAAGACGGGATGAATTAAAGGCGTCTGCAGATCGTTTCTTCTTTCTTAACGTATTATTCTTTTTTCTTTTACCGTTTTTGCTCAACGGACATTTAGGTACTAGAGGTTGGGGGCTGGAAACATTAGTTAGGGGTATAAGGGGGGTGTTTGGGGATTGGTGCTGTCTCAGGGTTGTCCTTACGGTTTTCTTTTGCGACACTCGTTCGACCTCTATATTTCTCAGTCTCGGTAGTTGGTTCGGTTTCAGCTCCCTTGGACCAGCAGGCCATGGATATAATAATGATTATCCTTCAACTTGGGGTGTTGTCGTTCTTGATCTCTCAGGTGGATAGACAAAACACGAAATAACCCGGTTTAGTCACTGTGGAAAACATTGATGATTCTGGGACGGTCTGCTTGCCTATGCATAATTCTCTAGACTCTTGCCATACTCTATGTCTATGAGCAAAGAGACAGTGGTAGGCAATTGAGTTTGGTCTCATATAACGGCTGTCATCGTTACCCTCCCACAGTCACACCTGTGCCCTTGTGTAGCCCTGAGGATAATTAATATGAATACTTGCTGAAGACTACCTGATATTGAGTCTCCGTCTTATTTTAATGATCGGTTCGAACTCTAGTTACATGTGCTTGAGGGCAATGCCCAGCTGAGCTGAGGCACGGCTGAGCGCAATCCTACTGGCCCCTGCCTGACGTCGACTTTAGACATAAGAGAGGGGAACTTGGTGTAGATGTGACTGCTTAAACTGCCTTTGTTTATGCGATTCTTAGATATGATAATCACTTACCTCTTGTCGCGTAATTGCTTCCTACTCTACCGACCAAGTATCACCCAGCTGCCTTGAAATACCTCACCTATCACTGGTCTCACTCGGTCAAGTGATCGTAATTTGCAGAGAACCTCACTAGCTTATCCCCCGTCTACTGAGCGACAGCGTTGCCTTTCTCTCAAAAGGTCATGAGGTCTGAGATGATTTGGATACTTGCGATCCCGTCTCCGTCTCACCAATCTGACTTCAGGGGGTGGGGATATCTTCACCCAACAGGCTCAAAAAATCCCCTAATAAAGCAAAAAGAACACTGTCCCTTCGTCACCCGTAAAATAGGCTCCAATGAATGTCTCTGGTCACGGGCAATTTGCTTGGGATCCATCCTTCCTATTCATCATGCCCTGCCGCTCATCCTGCAGGATCGACTTCCCTGCACACCAGCCTTGCGGCGCATGTCCAGTCCCACAACCCCCAGCCAGGACTTCGAAGCCTATAGAAAATAATAAGGTTTGCAATTGTCCTCAGGCAGAGCCAACACACGCACCTCCATCGATGGCTTCCTGCCTGTTCATAGCCAAAGACGCGGTCATCGCGCTAAGCCGGCGCTTTGACGAGACAGCGTCGTCGGGTGTGAACTGAGACATGGCCGGAAAAAAACGAACTAGCTATCCACCGGCTGCTCCAGACTTCGCGGGGATTCTGCAAGCGCGTTCTTCCCAAGCACGCGATTGTCTCGCAAATACGTCATATAAGGTAACCAACCCTTCACCCCCTTATCAGCTCATAGATAAAGGGGTTCAGGGGTTTAGCCTGCATGTCTAAGCCCCAAATTTTCACATGTCCGGAGCTCCCAACGCGGAGGTGTTCTCCGGCGGATGAAGCTACCAAACGGGAATCGGTTCCATTCTGGGGATCCTGATTCGAAGGAGATCGGGCGACTGGCAAGATCTGTGTTGGAGGGGAGTGGAGCGCAACCTAAACTATCAAGCTCTCTCATTGCAGCGATTCTCCTGTTTCCCCCTTCTTCATCTAGGCTGTCACGCCAGCAGAGGACGAGTACACTAGATCTGAGTGTTAGGCCCTGTCTACTACAGTGCACGATTGGCTGGCTGGAAAGACCAGCGCAACTAACGAAAGCTTTTAACCCTATAAGCCTCTGAGACACCTCTGCCAATGATTCATTCCCAATATCAGACGAACACCGTGCGGGGAGTCTCGACATTGCGAGGAGGATTTGGCCGCGCCGGCGCCGTTCCCTTCTAACCGCAATCTCTTGAGGGTGGAGACAGAACGGGACTCCCCGTGGAGCGAGTTCAAGAGGGACAAGCCAGCAGCGTTCAGAGTTCTGCAATCTCGTCTAGGCCAAGATGTTGCCAACGGGCCCCCGGAGATCCTCTCGACTCGGCCTACCCGGAAGGCCAACGTACTTCTCCACTGGGCGGGGCCGTTAATAACCAAGGCAGCGACTCGGCGGTATCCCGAACCAGCATCCGGCCGAACAAACACTGGACACACCTAGTACCAGGACCCGCCGCGCAGAGAAGCCTCGCATATTCGAGGCTAGCTGGCGAGCGCCAAGGCCGAGAGTGGGTTCGGTCTGGTATCTCCATGGCACTGGGAGCTGCGACGGTCCGACGAGGGCTGCAGGACGGCGGGTTGCTTCAAGGCGGGTCCCCGCGCCATGTGCAAACAGTTGTAGACATCACTTGCAGAGTTTGCATTCGACCGTACTGTACACACATACATGTACCGGCGGGGGAGTCTTCCGCGATTAGAGTTTGACGGCGGCTAGATTCGAGGCAACGGTTTCAGGGAAGCAGCCTGCTCTCCTGTGGCTGCGCGTGTCAAGGACGGCGGCGGCGGTGACGCGCATGACAAGCCGGTGCCGCGCGCAGACTGCGCTTGACCCAACAGATGCGTGTCGGAGCAGGATTCGAGCAATAATCGTCTGTTAGTTCGTCATAGTCCATCACTGGTGCCTCTGTTCTTACGAATACCGGCTTCGCGGGTGGAGGAAGTGAACCCGGAGTTGTGTCCGCGTTGAATCCTTACCGAAGTCGTGTTCCGCAAAACGTGCCGTTCCGAGTCGGTAATGAAGCAGGCGATCGATCGGCGCAACCGCCCAAGGGATCGGCAGTGCCCAGTCAAGTGGAAGCTAGTGTAAGCAATACCGATAAAAATAGACAGCCTTATCGTCGAGATACTGCACAGTATCGATGGCAGAGGGTGGGGGCAATGCAAATCTTCACAGTGGGGCATCGATGCCTTCGAGTGGAGGATGTTCACTTGAACTTGGAAGGTAGGCCATCTGGAAGAAAATGTCCGTCTTCCCGTTGCGCTGGTATACATGCGTACACAGGATCAGCTTCCCAGTCGATGACCTTACTCGCATTTTCGCCAGTGAGAGCTGCAGTCTCGATATCAACACACACAACAGTGACCAGAGACTGGGTTCTGGGCGGGCCTGGGCTCGGTGGCCCACTCTCACCGGTTTGGTCATATCGGCTGTTGGACCCAGGATGGGACTTCGAGACCCTGGGAGGTTGCATTTCAGCACGGCATACGAATGGGGGTCAACCCATCGAGCTGGGACGGACGGGCGTGCTGTCACTTCATCCCCTAATTGCGAGCTTGTCAAGTTCCATACGCCACCGACGGGGCCAAAGTGGCATGGGCATGGGCATGTGCATGGGCAGACAGTAACTTCATCACTCGATAAAGCGGTCGGAAAGGCCTGTCAAGCCGCCTGGCGTTGACCGAATCTTGCTGTGGCCGCCAGCACGCATGACAGCGCCCAAATTCAGTTGTGGCTGACTTATTAGGGACAACATGCATGTCAAAGTATGCAGGATATCAATACCAAGCTTTCGAGGCCCAAGTTGGAGCCCAATAAGCTGTGTGGCCAGCTGGATAACAAAAGTTACTGGGGCTCGCAGGGATTCTGAGGGGCCCAGCACCTCGCCATACGCAGCGTTGTGCAAGATAACCTTCCCGCTGGGAGACAACAACCTAGTTTCGCTGGGTTAGCAAATATTCGGAGATGATGCCATGTCAGCCGCAGTGCCGACAACCATGGCATACCGCAGGCATACGAACGCAGTGGGAGTCTGGGCGAGCGAGAAAGGCCGGGCTTTGCTTCAGGGGGTTGTTTCTCGTATTCCCAGTTTCTTTACTGCGTAAGCGATGCCAGAGGTGCTAGCCCTCATTGTTCCGGGCGCCACCTAGGACCGGATCAAATTTGCCAACCTCCGTAGTAAAACTAGGCGCTTTGATCAGGCTAGGGGCAGATTGTGGAAATTACACGTGGGCTGTGCGAGACGCTCGAGGCAGGAGCCGCTGAGCGCTAGCTAATGGGCGCTTGGCATCAAACGATGGATAATGCCTAAAACGGAATAGATCGCTCTATGGATTGCTAGCTCGAAAGAGAAGGTATTCCCAGAGCTACAGTTGATTCGGTTAGTCCAAGAAGCTGCAGGCACTTAACAAGGCAAGAGCTGCAGGTACAGGGAGAGGCGCCCTAGATAGGTAAGCCAGGTACTCCATGCTCCGCATCGTCCGTCTCATCCCACAGTGGTCTGCACGAATACCAGCAAGAACGCCAGGGTCCCCTGGATTAGGACCGTCGATGCCCGGAAATCCGGGAATTGTTGGGGTCTGTCTGATTATTCTTATCCACCTTTTGGAACGATAGTTGGATTTGGCCAAGAAGATCCGGCACGGAGCGAGCAAATATCGCGTGGGAGATCAGGTAGAATATTGGAAGAAAAAGGTGCTGGCTGTTGGTTCATGACATAATTCTGTCCACGATCGAGGTTCGAGACTCGTCCAAATCTGCACTACCAACACAATATTGAAAAGTCCGAAGCCCAATGCGGTGACGGACGCCTCATTTGCCTCTGCAGTCAGAACGAACATGGGTGTTGACCCCACTGTGGTATGTAGGTATGCATGTGGGTACGGAGAGATAAGGAACCCCTGTGACGATTTCCAAGGCAAAATTTTGCGACTGAATGAGAAAGGCCTGCTCGACCGACCTGTCAGAGAGCATGCGTGCTGCATGTGGTCATCCACCACAGGTATCCTATTTAAGACCACATGTCATGAACTTCAGGGAAGGTGCCCTGCTCAATTGAGGCTACTGTACCGTGGTTGCAAGGCCAGGTCATAGCCAGAAGAATAGTTACTACAGGAACCCACTTGGCTCTACCTTAGCTTGCACCCGTCATGAACCTGGTTTCAAGTACCACAACTTCCGGCCGCTTAAGATCCGTCTGGACGCTGAAATCCACCCCCCTGTCTCGAGTTGCCTTGGTACTTTGTAGGCGGCATGACATTCAGCTGAAATGTACGTACGGTGTTGGGTGTTACGTATGTACGCAGTACAGATTAGTTAGTGCAGTGTACTTACGCCACTATGGCGCCGCGCTTGTGCGTGTTGGCGCTCTTCTGTTTCCTCCCACTTCAGCTTCCCATCTACCTATCTCACCACCAACCACTCGGCAGCTATGTTCATGCTCGTTTTTTCTCCCTTGCTAATTCTTGCTGGGACGACACTCTCGCTTACTTGATTTGGCCTGGTTAGCCTCTGAATTGGGTTTGGTAGCTGCTGTTGCGCCGTTGCATTCTACATAGCATCTCTCGCAAGCCCAGTCCTCCCACAATCGCTGCACTGCCCGTGTCGACCTCCCCCACCCCTTGCTGGAACACTCCGGCGTCGAGACCAACGTCGACCAACAACTGCGCATCAGCTGTAGCTACCTTTGCTGAGACTCAAACCGCCGCTCGTTCACCTGCCGCCTCACGCCCGGGCTTGTTTTCTCTCGTTAACTACCACGACAACCTGAACGATACCCCCTCACTTCTGGAGCTTCAACCCGGCTTGTAACCCCTTACGTCCTCTGTGCTCCCGCCCTTGGCCCCCATAGTCCGTATTCCCTGAAATGGAGCAAGACAACCAATACGCCCAGCAGGGCTACTTTGGCCGCCCCGTCGCAGGCGTCGGCGCCGGCGCACCGTCGGCGGCGTCAACCCAGGTGCCGACCCCCAACCGCCCCGGCACCCCGAACGAGTACAACGGCCGGAACCCCTTCGGCGACGGCCTCGAGTCCCAGGCGTCACATCGGAGCGGCACCGCGGCCAACAACACCAACCCCTTCGCTAGCCCCGCCGCCTCGAGGCCCGCCAGCAGCTTGGGCTCCTCCTCGGCCGCCCTCGGCGCCCGCTTCGACGAGCGCGCCCAGCGGTACTTCCACTCGCGCCGCGTGAAGAAGGGGGAGGTTGAGAAGCCGTGGCTGGAGAAGAAGGATCCGAAGGAGAAGTGGGTTACCATCCTGCCCATAGTGGGCATACTCATCGGTCTTGGCCTCTCTGGTTTCTTGGTCTGGGACGGCATCAGGAGCGTCGTCAAGCACAACTACTGCCTGGTGCTCAGCAATGACTTCTCCACCAGCGGCGGTCTTGATGACTCGGTGTGGACGAAGGAGGTCCAGGTTGGCGGGTTTGGGTGAGTTTATTGCCAGTTGGTTGTGTCTTTGGGAAACCGTCAAGCTAACAAGGTGCCTCCAGCAACGGCGAGTTTGAGGAGACTACCGGGGGTGACGAGAACGTCTACGTCGAGGACGGGCGCCTTGTTATCAAGCCGACCCTGCAGGACGCTGCCCTGATTGACAAGGACTCGGTCATCGACCTCCTGAAGGCCGGCACGTGCACGTCGGACCGGCCGAGCGACTGCATTGCTGCGACCAACACCACGGCCGGCAACGCGACCATCGTGCCGCCGACCAAGTCCGGGCGCATCCACACCAAGAAGGGCGCCAGCATCAAGTACGGGCGCGTCGAGGTCACGGCCCGGCTCCCCAAGGGTGACTGGCTGTGGCCGGCCATCTGGATGATGCCGGTCGAGGACACGTACGGGCCGTGGCCGGCGTCGGGGGAGATCGATATTACCGAATCGCGCGGCAACAACTACACGTTCCCGCAGGGGGGCAACAACATCATGTCGTCGGCGCTGCACTGGGGGCCCGACCCGGGCAGCGACGCCTGGTGGCGCACCAATGTGAAGCGGTCGGCCTTGCACACGACCTACGCGGACAAGTACCACACGTTCGGGCTCGAGTGGTCGCAGAAGTACCTCTTCACCTACGTCGACAGCCGCCTGCTGCAGGTCCTCTACACAAACTTCGACAAGCCCATGTGGCAGCGCGGCGACTTCCCCACCGCCACCGCCAACGGCACCCGCGTCCAGGACGTGTGGAGCCAGACGGGCCGCGACAACACCCCCTTCGACCAGCCCTTCTACCTAATCCTCAACGTCGCCGTCGGCGGCACCAACGGCTGGTTCGAGGACGGCTCCAGCGGGAAGCCATGGCTCGACGGCTCCGTCAACGCAAAGAAGGACTTCTGGAAGGCCCAGGACCAGTGGTTCCCCACCTGGACCAAGCCCGAGTTCGAGATCTCCCAGGTCATGATGTGGCAGCAGTGCGACGGCAACGAGGATCTCTGAGTTGGGGAGCTTCCTTTTCCCCATCTCCCCTGATCTCTCTCCCCCCTCTCTCACTCTCACTATCTTTTCCTGCAATGTTTTAAACCAGCACCCTGGGAATAGAAATGGTGTTCTCAGGCGTTTGTCATTCTCACGAATGGATGCCCCCTTCCTCCCCCCCTGTCTCGAATATTCTGGTTGGTTTTGGGTAATAGAAATTCTACGTCATTGGATGAGGAATTGGACCTGCTGGGGGCGGAACTTGCAGGACGTCGTCACCCGATTTATTGATACTTGGTGGCTTGGACATAATAATGTTCTCACATAACCCTCCCACTTCCACAACGTGGACACACCTACACACCCCTGGACTTCATTATTTGGGTGTTCGTCTGCCATTAAATAGGGCTGTCGATTGTCACTTGTCTTATAACCACGGCGTTTTGGTGGTGGGATACGCAAATATGATCGAGTTGGATAATTCATCGTCAAGATTTCCTCTATTTTGGCTCACAGCCGGTCCGCCCTCTCCGTGACTCTGTGATAAGTGTTCTGATCCTAACAGCTGCCCTGCATGCATACAATATTGGTTGACCGCCGTTTGCATTGGCAGGTCAGGCCACCGCCCTGCCAATTCCCGCTCCAGCCCCATCTATCGACGCCATCGACGCCTCATTTTGGCATTTTCCGCCCTCGCTTGCTCCTCCTCCTCCTTGTCTTGGCGTTGCCTTGTCTTCCCCCCGCCATCCCTTCATCTGTCCTTGGGCGATGAAACGATAATTCTAATGTACATAGAAAAAAGCGCCCCCAATTCACACCCTGCGCAGCCGCACACACACACTCCCGTGGCCCGATTCATCGACCGTTGAGTTTGAGCCCGGGCCAGCCTAGCGCAGCGTCCCTTGGTTGGCCGCACTCAACGGGGAGGGCTTGAACAAGACGAGCTGAAAACAAGGATGGGCGGGAAGCCGTTTACGGACGTATTGGCTCTGAGCTGAGTTGATACACGGGAGAGTTACCGCCTAGTGTTAGTCCCCCGGCAGTGGAGAGTGCAGGAAACATTCCGCACGAACGAACAGAGCTGTCCTGCCAGCGGGAGATCAGCCAGCCACCAGCCTCGACCGACCAGTGACGATTTCGGTCTTCTCTCCCACCTACCCACTTTCTTTAATAAAATCAACCCTCCTCTTCATGCGGTAGCCAGTCCGATAGGTTGGCCCCCGGCTCCCGATCCCGCAGCGGAAAAGCCGAGTGACCTCATCCCGTTAGGCTGCCACCATCCGAGGCTGGGCGAATCGCCAAAGGGCCAAGCGCTATTATTCAGCGACAGGGAGAACAAGATCACAAAGGGGCATTCGCATCACTGATGTGCACTTGCTTGGGTCGGCTGGCGTAGCTGGAGCAAGGAGTAGTAGTTGGTGGAGGCTGGGCAATTGACTACCTGTGCCAACGGACACCGAGAAGGGGCTAATCAACCACGTGACTGCCGTTGGAAGGTCATTCGAAGTTCTAGCGACAGTTTCACCCTCAGCCTCAGATCAAACGGGCTTTGAACGGCGCGGTCAGCAGTGGACCTCGCCTAGCTCTTTGGTTGAAGGGAGGGAGCGTTGGGCCTGGGTGGGGGGTTGATGAGTATCAACGGGAGAAAGGGAGGGCTGCCGAGGCAAAGCGAAGTAAGAGAGGTCTAGGCCAGGCTCGAGCTATTTCTCACCAAGCTCAAACAAACGACAATCCCACCGCACTACAGGACCGTAGGGGTTGTCCTCAGCCTCGGTTCGCAGCCAACCAGTCGAACAACTCAAGTTGGGCTTTCAAGGCGAGGGCTCCTCAGCTCTGTCGGCCGAGGTTTGTCACGGGGAGTTGGGCGATGTGCTTCCAACGTTACATGATACACCGCCTATTTTGCCAAGGTCTATTGACACCCAGACGGTGGCGAGACATGAGCGTAAAAGGTTCGAACACGAGCGCAATGGAAGAGTTTCTAGGGAGCTACAGTAGCATCGCAGCTGACGGACACATCCAGGAGGAGATTATGCAAGAATGCTAACAGGTAAGACAAAAAATCCCCCACTGGTTCGTGGCCGGCTTTTAGCCTGTCGATCCAAGACACGGAAACTTCTCTTATGTCACGTCATCGGCAAGCGGAGGGTCACCTTGATGATCGACAGTTACGGGGTGGTCACTGCTGGAGGCACGGGATGAATGCCCTGAATGAAGGATTCTGCCAGAAACGGGAGAATGCCTCAGTCCTGAACCAGAAGGATTCCCAGGATCCATGCCGTCGGGACATTCTCCAAGCCAGACAGACAGACGGAACGCGAAAAGGGACCAAGATCGGCGGTCTTGTTTGAGGTTTCAGATGCGCCTTCTCGATGGATCTCGGCTCGCTGCCGGATCGCTAACGGGGAAACAGTGAGTATCGCGTCAGCGGCTGCCAAGATTGCTTTGTGTAATGACCAAGATGGACGTGAGCAATTTGCATCGTCCATGATGACTGCTCGTATGACTGTGCCCTTTTGCCAGGCCTCGAAAGGGGGCTCCAGGACTGTCCGACGAATGGCAGGATCACACGCCGAAAGTACCCTGCTGGGATGGGTACCTGGGTAGGCGTGAAGATGTCTTCTAGAACCTATTTACCCCGCCGGCTGTGGGCGTCGTGTAACCAACCGGCTGTGGGCGTCGTGTAACCAACCTCTTCGAAATGCAGTTGTTACACCGCGAGCGGCAGTTTCTTGTCCGGAGTATTTGCGAAGACGAAGTGTGTTGGCTGGCGTTTTAGATGTTGCCCTCTTATGATGGCGGTCCAGCGGCCGGGAGGGGCCGCTCAGCGGGGGTTGTTGAGCTCCGGGGAGAGCGGTTAACAGAACTCTACCCGCCTTCCAAGTTCCAACTGTTGCTTCCGACTGTGCAGTACGGACCGTGCGGACAGGGCGATTGACAACAGTAAGCAAAACAGTGTGGTCTTCTCAACCAAACGAAGAGCAGGGGGGTCTGCAGGTGGAAAGTCTCGATCGTTTCCGCGGAACTGACAAAAACAGGCAATCGCCACAAATTTGGCCGGGATTTCGAGTTTTGTGAAGAATCAAATTCTTCGCCGAATAGCGAGGATCATACGGCGAGATCGTTCCAAGGAACATGGTGGCAGTGGGGGCATTTGGCATATGGAAGAGCGGAGTTTCTTTCAACCTTGTTTCCTCTTTCGTGGACGGAGTTCCCAATTGGAGGGACTATTCGCACGTTTCTTCCGGGGGGGAAGACGGCGATCTTTGCCAGCTTCCTAGGTTGGCAACTGGTAACTGGACCCTGGTCACAGAAAACAAAGGACGGAAGAAATACGAGGTGTGCTGCTGGACAAAAATAGATAAGCACTGAGACGACATGCGGCTAAACAGCGGGAAGGGACAACAACCACACACTTCCCGCCACTCAAGACGAAAAGAACTCTGCAGCCTCTTGCATAAGCTCCCACCTCCATGTGTAATTCGAGATAGCGTAGGATGCGTTGGCGACCCTGCTAGCCAACAATCTCGATCAGCCAAGCCTGGTTACGGGATTCCCAAGCGGAGCAAAAAGAAAGGAAAGCAAGAAGCAAAAAGATAGTTGCCAGCGCAGGGTTAAGATGAGAAAAGCCAAATACTATTGAGCTGTGGCTGATATCCAGGCGATACGCTGGGTTGAGCCTGGCCTTATCGAGAACACTTCAATTCATCAATTGGAGATGCGCAGCTGCGAAACCAGGGTACCATGGTACAGCACCTCTGATGGGGAAAGCGGTTGGAACGGCATCTGCTAGCCAGGGGCTGGATGTTCCTGGCCGATTTCGTCGATGCCTTGGTTAGGAGGTACGTATTCGTACATGACGGAGTAGGCACACAGTACCTACCTAGTTCTTTTATTTATTGTTTTTTTTTTTTTTTTTACGGACTCCATTATTTTCCGCTCTCTCTCCACATCAGACACTACTGCGTAGAACCCACTTTGGCGACATCGATCGGTCCCAAAAGCTCAGTAGGTACACTACTGGGACACTGGAGCGGTCTCGGACCTGACACTCCCTCGGGCAAAGAGCGTGCGATACACAGCTTCCGCGGCGCGTAAAACCCGAGGTTTCAGGTGGCCATCCGGTGAGAATGGGCGAGACAATCATGACCCAAGCGGTACGAGGTCGAACCACTGCCCCCCAACCGCGGCCCTCCTCCAATCCTTCCCCAGATTCACGGTGTTTCTGTATTGACCCGCCTGGAGCTGGCAACCTTAAAAGTACCAACTACCAAATCCCTTCCAATGCCTCGGGTTTGTGGTTGCCGTGAAGTAGATGGAAGACTTGAGTACTTGATGTACAGATCCGTACACTCCATCCTTCCGTTCTGCCTGAGCCTGGGTTTCCACCAACAAATTCCACTGTCACTTGCATGGCCATAGGACGACCTAAAAGACTTGGCCAGATCCTGATGAAGAAAGAGAGAGCGATGTGCAGGGATCTGCCAATCGCTCAGGCTTCAAGCGGAGGTACTGTAAAGACGGAGATATTGCGCCTCGAAAAAAAAGAGATACAAGAAATAGAAATAAATACCAAAATAAAATGAAATTGTAAGAAGGCTACTCAAACCCTTGTCCCCCTGTCGTAATTCCTGCATGGCGTCAGGGATGTGTGGTGGGTCCATTGCACCCCTGTCTCCTGCTCCAGAACCGCTGGAAGGGGAGAGTGGGGGAGAAATGGAAGACAGGCATAAGAAAAGCGCTTGAACCGAACGCCCAAGTCTGCATGAATGGGAATATTCAGCCCGCCACCCTGCTCCTACTATGGAGTACTTGGCTTGGGCTCTCTTATTAGCGTAGGTTGTTGTGTTGGGTAAGTTGTCTCCTTTTCCACCACTTGGCGCTAAGGTAGCCGACGGTTTGCCCATCGACCTGCTCAACAGCTCAACAGCTCAGCTTTGGCAGGTCTTCAGCTCGACCGTAGGAACACTGAAACTCGTCTTGGGTGGAAAGAGTCGGGCAAGTCGTAAACGTTACCTCCGTATCTTTACCGAGTACCACTGTGTACGTAAATACATATGTAATGTACTAGGAATAAGGAAGGGCCAACCTTGAATCCGTGCATGCACATGGGCTCGTACCGCCAACCGACCACCCCTTGTCGACTTCCAGCGAATTTCCACTATTTGCACTACCACCACTTACACCCAGACCTGGTCCCAGGCCGTGACCCTGGCAAGCTGCTAGGCAGGTAGGGGTACCAGGCCTGAGAGTGCCATCGCGAAGTGGATTGTCCCACCATGCACCACCACTCTCTTTACGATCATGCTTCCCCTCTCCAGGGCCTTTCCCTCCGTTGTCTGCTTTTCTTCTCCTCGAACCTCCTTCACCCCTCCCTCCGAGCCAGAGCTGAGCTTCGCCCTGCCGGTCTAGCCTCGCCGAATCTGCCCAACACAACGCCACAAGCAGCTCAACTCCGACTCTGCCGTTGGTCGCCTCTCTAGAGTCTAGGCCCCGTCTGCAAGGAGATCCTTTTGAAGGAGTCTCTTCTGGCCTCTGCGAAAGCGAGTGCCGTCCGTTCGCTACCGTCACTAATACTTTCTCGCGCCTCGGGGAGGATTCTCTTGGAAAGAACTCTCGGCCCTGAATTCACCTGGAACGCAACACACCATCCGCCCTACCAAGCATCCACGCGTCGGTGTTACAAATTACTCTTCCGAAGGTACGACCACGGGTGCTACCGCGGCATGTGCGCTGGAGTCAAGTAGACGGCATCGCTAACACGTGTGTCCTGGTTAGAACACTCTGAAGGGGGAAGACACACTCGATCGAACTGAGATAGCCTCCTCCCACGGATTCCCTTGCCGAAGGAGGATAACCGGAGTCAGGATGGGGATCGGAAACTATTTCAAGACGGAAAAGTCGGCACCTCCGTCAAGCAGCACGCCGCCGCACCAACAACAAGGCAGGAATGCCACGCCGTCGGTATCCGAGAAGCCGCCTTCGCAGAGAACGAGCGGCAATGACCTCGAGCTGCAGCCGCCGACCCCGCGGTACAGCTCGAGACCGCAGTCCGTCTCGGGTCGGTCGACGCGGTCGGCAGGCAGCTCCTTATTCCTCGACGACATCAAGCATGAAGTCATGGTCAACTACCTATACCAGCAGCAATGCTCGCACCTGTGGGTTTCGGATGGCAGTGGTGAGATCGAGGGCGTCCTCCTGCGCAAGTCCAGAGGACAATACATGGCCTGCCCGCCACAGCTGGGCAACTCCCCCTTCGCGATGGCTTGTGCCGCGCTTAATGTTCAGGTAAGGCGCATACATTGTGTGGTGGTGATGCGAGGCTCCGGTATTGGTGACCTCTCTGGCTAACATGACTGAACCCCCTCCAGTGCGCGATGACGGTTAATTCCAGAGTAATCAAGACCTTCTTACAGTGGTCGCCAGATGCGGTTGACGTACCCCTGATGAATGGCCTCCGTGTGCAGATTCTCCCCACAATTGACGACATTCCCCGCGCGAGGAAGCACCAGTTCGCTGCCTTCGTCGCGTCAGAGGGCCTGCTCGTTGTTTGGGATGACGATGCTCTGCACTTGGTGCAGAGGGCCAAGGCCATCGAGTCAGAGCTCATGGAGCTAGTATGGAAGGCCGGGACCGAGGAGGACGACGACGAGAAGGGGGGCCAGACGGTGGCCGAGGCCGAGATCGACGAGGAGAGTGGCGAAATCAAGCCCGAGAAGCGCCCCGTGCACCTGCAGAATGCTGTGCTGGTGACACTGACTCTCATCCTCGTCACCGTCTCGCTGGGAGCCGGCTGGAGACAGCTGGCCATTGAGGTTTCGGTCGACGGCAGTTACCTCCGCTTGGCACTCCTCGGTCTATTCCCGCTCCAGCTCTTCTTCACCCTCTTCTTTGCCCAGGTCATTATCGGATGCTTGGCCCAAATCTTCGGCCCTATCCGGCAGCTCACCATCAACTCCAAGTTCTACTCGGCCCGGCCCCCGCCAAGGCTGCAGTCTGCCGTATTGCCCCACATCACCGTCCAGTGCCCCGTGTACAAGGAGAGCCTCAACGCTGTGATTGCCCCGACCGTCAAGTCCATCAAGCAGGCCATGTCCACCTACGAGCTCCAGGGCGGATCCGCCAATATGTTCATCAACGACGATGGCCTGCAGCTGGTCTCGGAGGAGGACCGCCGTGCGCGTATCGAATTCTATGCCGATCACAGCATTGGCTGGGTCGCCCGCCCCAAGCACGGCGAGAATGGCTTCCTTCGTCGCGGCAAGTTCAAGAAGGCGTCCAACATGAACTTCGGCCTCATGATTTCCTGCAACGTCGAGGAGAAGCTTGCCGCTTACAACCGCGGCCCGGAGTGGTCGCAGCACGACGAGGCGCAGGCGTATGAGCGTGGTCTCAAGGAGGTCCTCGAGGAAGACGGCCGCGCCTGGGCCGACGGCAACATTCGCATTGGCGACTACATCCTCATCATCGATTCCGACACGCGTGTCCCAGCTGATTGCTTGCTCGATGCCGTGTCCGAGATGGAGCAGTCGCCCGATGTCGGCATCATGCAGTTCTCCTCGGGCGTCATGCAGGTCGTGCACACGTACTTTGAGAACGGCATCACCTTCTTCACGAACCTCATCTACAGTGCTATCCGGTACACCGTCTCCAACGGCGATGTGGCCCCCTTCGTCGGCCACAACGCCATCCTTCGCTGGTCTGCCATCCAACAGGTCTCGTTCTTTGACGAGGACGGCTATGAGAAGTTCTGGTCCGAGAGTCACGTGTCGGAGGATTTCGACATGTCCCTTCGCTTGCAGTGCAGCGGCTACATCATCCGACTGGCGGCCTGGGCCGGAGAAGGCTTCAAGGAGGGCGTGTCCCTGACTGTGTACGATGAGCTGGCCCGTTGGGAAAAGTACGCCTATGGCTGCAACGAGCTTCTCTTCCACCCCATCCGCACGTGGCTCTGGAGAGGCCCCTTCACGCCGTTGTTCCGGCGGTTCCTGTTCTCCAACATTCGCTTCACCTCCAAGATCACCATCATCTCGTACATCGGCACGTACTACGCCATCGGCGCTGCCTGGATCATGACGTCGATCAACTACTTCCTCATGGGCTGGTTCAACGGCTACCTCGACAAGTACTACGTCGACTCATGGAAGGTATGGTTCTCCATCATCATCGTCTTCAACGGCCTCGGCAACGTCGCTCTCGCCCTGATGCGCTACCGTATCGGCGAGCGGAATCTGCTGTACTCGCTGTTCGAGAACCTCAAGTGGACCTTCCTGCTGGCCATCTTCCTCGGTGGCCTCTCGCTACACGTGTCGCAGGCACTCTTAGCCCACATGTTCGAGATCGACATGACGTGGGGCGCAACAAGCAAGGAGGCCGAGTTCTCGAACTTCTTCATTGAGATCCCGAAGGTCTTGAAAAAGGTCAGTCCAGCTTATCTCTTCACCCGTCTCCCACAGTACACCCTGTTAACACAGTCACCCTTTTAGTTCAAATACTCGATGCTCTTCTCGCTCCTCTTCATTGCAGGGATGATCATCCTCGCCGTTGCGCCCTTCGTGCCATACGACTGGCGCATCAAGGACTTTGTGGCCATCCTCCCCATGGCCACTGTTGCGAGTTCCCACTTCCTCCTTCCGCTGGCCCTCAACCCGGCTTTGATGACCTTCTCATGGTAGTCAAGTCTGCCTATTGTGGTACATACACCCTCGGGAACATGTATGAGAAGACATGTGTCGTATTTTCTTTCTATGTGCCCCATTCTTTTGAAACCATCATTTTTTCCATATAACCTGTGTCGGGATCTTATGGAATCCCGCACCATACATAACTATTCAATGTCTACTACCTGCCTGAAGAGCACCATAGAGGAGGAGCAACACTATTTGGGATGGCTTATCGATGGCGAACAACGGTCTGTTATTGGAGATGGGGGGAATATGATGCCCATTTCCTTCCACGTACCCTTTTACTCGCGTCCCCTGTAACACTTACTGTATACGGGGCAACGCATATTATCACGATAGACTTGGGGGCGACTGGAGTTCTTTACGCTTCTTACACTTTTTTTTAGTTATCAGCTTGGGTAATCCTTGGACAAGGGACGAAGAGTTACGTGGTCGGCGACCGGGGACTGGATGGAGGGCTGGAGACGGAGAGACAGAGTCGACCGTTGGCAAGATGGACGGGATCAAGGGAAAAGAACGAGGGTGAAGGAACAGAATATTTGCAACGTACCTAGACACTGTCTTTACTCGTGTCTCTGTTTATAGCCAGGGGCTGCACACTCACCTACCTACCTACCTACCTCAATAGTCACCCCCGACACTTTTTTCTGACCAAGTCTGTATTGCTTGCTGCTTTGACCGAGTAGAGGGTGAGGCGCAGTGAGCACTCTGAGCCGGGTGAGTTTAAGGATACGACGTGATTCGGCCCAGTGAACCAAGTTTCCCTGCAGCGACAAAATCACAACGGACCCCGTGCTGAGCCGCAACGTCGACGGGCTGCTGCAAAATCAACAAACCCCTCGGCAGCTCGAGTCCGCGGCCATGGCCAAGGACGCAACGGCCTCACCCTCAACGCTTTCGCCTTCGAAGCCGTCGTCAACGGGGTTTGAATCCGTCACGTCGCCTATCCTCGACCCACGCGACAGACATGAAACCGACTCTTACTGGCCCGTATTCGAGACCAAAGACCAAATCCCCGCGTGGCTGCGCGACAATGATTACATCATGGGAAGCCACCCAATGCCAACCTATTCCTACAGACGCTTATGGCGTCTTTGGCGCTGTCTGCACATGGAGACCATGAACATCTGGACACACCTCCTCGGAGCCGCAGCCTTTTTGACAGCCGGCGTGACACTGTACAAGTACACCTCGGCCTCGGGCGCTTTCCGTCTCGCCGCAGGCGACAAGTTTGCATTCGGCGGCTTTCTCACCTCAGCCACCCTCTGCTTCGGGCTGAGCACCGCGTTCCACACTCTGAGGAGCCACTCGTACAACACCCATCACTTTTGGGGGAAGATGGATATCCTCGGCATCTGCGTGCTCGCCCTCGGCGCCGGGACTTCCATGACCTACTACGCGTTTTACTGCCGGCCGGTCGTGCAGCGGGTGTACTGGAGCCTCAACCTCTGCTCCGCCCTCGCCGCCGCGTTCACGCTCTTCGACACGGGCGGCGGGGGCAGCAAGATGAGGACCCTCCGCGGTGGGGTCTTCGGCCTACTCACCCTGTCGGCCATGCTGCCGCTGTTCCACGGCGCCGGCGAAATGGGCTGGGCCCTGGCATGCGAGGAGATCGGCGCCGCTTGGTACCTTGCCGAGGGACTGTCTCTCTTGGTCGGGGTGTGCCTGTTCGTGGGTCGGATCCCCGAGAGGTTTCGTCCCGGGCTCGTTCGACATCTGGGGTCATTCGCACCAGCTTTTCCACGTGTTTGCTGTGCTTGGTGGGGCTTTCCATGTTTGCGCTGGCGGCCGGGTACCGCTATCGCCAAGCGTTTCCTCAGTGCTGATGGCCTTACTATCGAACTTAGCCTTGTATCTAGTGCCAATCCCTAATTCCAGACCTCCTTTTCGTCCCCCTAGAGGAGGGAGGCCCAAAACCTGTCCCGTTAGAGAGTCGCGTAAAGTTGACAAGTTTCGTAGCATGGTGAGCCGGGGGCGAAGCGAGCCTGAGTTCTTGACTAACAAACCTGGGGCGCGAGACGAAGCTTTTTCGTGGCAGACTACCTAATAAGTAGTAAACAATAATGCCCAAGAAAGAGTCTAGACTCCAGGCCAAGTGAGAGCGGCCGCTCTCGATCGATCTCGAAACAGTGAGTGGCTGGTCGGCGGCCGCTCACCAGGTGTTCAGATGGCACCGGGCCGGTCAATTTTCTGCCAGATGCTAAATAGGTGCAGAGTTCCAAAGGATAGCACCTGGCATTTAGGTATCCGTCCGCTACCACCTGGAACGCACAGACCTCCTGATGCGCCTGTTTCCCCCCTGCATCCAGACAACGCTATCCTGCGTAAGAGAGCATAGTGGAGGGAAGCCTGATTCGATATCGGGAACGGGTCGCGAAAGACCGACATGCTCTTGGCTACAGGGCCCAGTGATTGGCATCGCTTACGCGCCCAGGTCCCCTGAGGCGGAGCAGTCCAGACCTTCATGATGCCTCTAATCCAAAATTTGGACTGAACCCTTCAGGTCTCATCCTCTCCGCGAAGCCTGACCGGGCTTGAGAGGCTCATGAAGGTTCAAGATGTCTATCTGGAGCGACAAACCCCGAACAATACTCGGACCTCTAACGACGACGTTCACGCCTCCACCGCAATGGTAAGCACATTTCCTCTCAGCGTCAAACTATGGCCCAGACATTTTCCCATTCGAAAGCCCCCTCGGCGGTCCCTCCTGAGAATACCACCACCATGATGCAGACCTGCCCCGGCCCTCACCGTCTCCCCCTCCCCATATCCTTTCGCCCGGCCCTACAACCATTCCTTTCCCCTTCCCTTCCTCACTCACCCTCACGATAACCCCCCGATGCAGCACCGACGTGGTAGCCTACTGCAGCACCTGCAACGTAGGCTGGCAGGCGCAGTCGTGCGCCGCCCGCGGCCCCGTCGACGCGACGACATGCTGGCCGCCCACGACCTCGGGCGTGGCCCCGCTGACGACGCCGCCCCTCTTCGGCTGGGGCTTCTACTCCCCCGGCACCCTGTGCCCCAGCGGATACGCGCCGGCCTGCGCCGCGACGGCGGGGGGCGCCACCGACCCCGCGTGGACGATGCAGTTCCGGATGGTGGCGGGGGAGACGGCCGTGGGGTGTTGTCCTAAGTGAGTTTTTGTCTGCCCCGGGTTGGGGGGGGGGGCGGGGGGAGAAAGGTGGAAAGAAGGAGAAGGGGGGGTGGAGGGGGTCCAGCAAACTGCTAACAATTGGGAAGTGGGTTCGGTTGCAGCAATCTGAATGGGCAGACGTGCGTCTCAACCGTGACGTCGACGACCATCGACGCGATTCTGTGCAAGAGCGGATTGACGACGGTTGCGCCGTTGACGGTCCCGAACACGGTGGTGTCGGTATTCGGCGTCTTTGCGCCCATGATACAGATCAACTGGCAGTCGACCGACAGGCCGGCTTCCAATACCGCGACGGCGACAACGGGCTCGGGCCCAAGCCCGACAAGGACTTCGGGGCAGACGGCGGATTCTCAGCTGGAGGATGGACCAACGGAAAGTTCGGGCGGGATTTCGGCCGGTGCGATTGCTGGTATCGTGGTCGGCGTCTTGGCGTTGGTGGGTACTTTGATACTCGGCGTCCTGGTGTGGAGGAGACGCAGGCAACTGAGCAGGCAGAATATAAGATATGTGCCTGCACATATCGAAACGGAAACCAAGTCGCCTGCATATGCGCAGGAGCTTCCCGGTAACATGTATAGGTTGTATGAGGCTCCTGGGGACAATACACCGGCAGTGGAGTTGCCATCTGGGCGGTATTGACGGATTGGATTATAGAGTATATCGAAGAATTATGCATTAGCAAGCGATAAGCGGTATTGTAACAATAGAGGAATCCTTAATATCTAGACTAGACCGTGGGAAGCAATACCTCGTATTTCGACATCGAGGTACATGACCCGGGGCGACTACACTACTGCGCGGACAGCTAGTCCGGGCTGAGGCCATTGCTGTCGATGAGTTGTCAAAAAGATTGACAGACAATTGGTCCTGATAGGCCAGCGGATCAGGAGACAACGAATAAATACACTAAATAAGTGTGTGTACCTTGCCTCCGTGGCCTGGTGCTCCGGGTACACGGCATTGCCAAGATTGCTTCAGTACAGGTCACCGCCGGAACAAAAATACATTGATTCGGGATTTCCTCACCTAGGTACCTTAGACTCTTCCTACCTGCCTTCCTATTTCGCATTCTATGCCAGAGCACCTGCAGCCTACAAACTCCCATGCTGTGTGCTGTACGCAGCAATTACGGATCGGGTAAAGGCGATCGTCCCTGCCTTAATGGTGGGGTGCCGAATGCCACTGGCTCTTGTAAATAAACCCTCTCTGTGCCGCCAAGGTGTGGGACGGGGAGGGATCTTTCCCAGTACCCCGTATCCCCCCTGTTGATCGGCACGGCGCTGCACAAGTTACTGCATGCAACGCAACCAGGGACCGGGAGTTTACTTAGCTGCTATATACCCGCGTAGACCTTTTGTCATCTTGAGAATGTTCGTGATCGCCTCACTCCTCTCTCCACCGTTGCTGTCCATTTCTCAGGCCGGATTGCAAGGTGAAGCATTGCGGGGGGAGTCCAAAATTGATGATAGCGACATCGACTCGGAAGAATGATGAGGCCATTTTGTGTAGTCTCGCCAGGCGTCGGGTTCCCAGCCCCTCTGCTGGGCCTCCTCGCCATCATCCTTTTATGTGCAACAGATGCTGTCGGGGCAGCTTCTACTCGGGATCTGGGGAGCGTCCTGGCTGACCATAAAGACCTGTCAACTTACTATAACTTGGTCAAGGTGAGGGCCAGTTTATGCTTGAGTGGCTGCGCCTTAGTGGATTGAGAGATGGGCTGACTCTCGCACCAAGGAATATCCCGACATCCTTCTTCAATTACCAAGCTATTCCGGGGTTACAGTAAGTTTGACGACCAGGGCAAGTCTCTTCCACTACTGGGCAGGCAAAACTCACCACCGTTTCCAGATCATCGCCCCCAACAATGATGCATTCGAGAAGCTTCAGGACTGGGACCCAAAGAACAAGACCTTGGTGACCAGCATCCTCGAGTACCACATCCTCCAAGGGACCGTGGCCACAAACGCCCTGCCCGAGGGCCCGTCGACGTTCGCCTCGACGCTCCTGACAAACCCAGCCTACACCAACGTGACGGGCGGCCAAAACGTCATCATCAACAAGCAGCCCGGCGACGTGGTAGTGCTCACCTCGGGCGGCGGGTCGCGGAGCACGCTCCTGGACGCCGACATCGCCTTCTCGGGTGGCCTAATCCAGGTCGTCGACACCCTTCTCGTGCCGCCTCCGCGCCTGGAGCCGACCTTCCGCGACGTCTACCCGCAGGACCTGACCGCCTTCCTGGGCGCCCTCTACGCGGCGGGGCTGGTGCCCCTCTTCGCCGACTCCGCCAACGTCACCGTCTTCGCGCCCCGTAATGCCGCCTTCCAGCTCGTCTCGGGCGCCCTCTCGACCCTGGACCGCGACGCCCTCGCCCGGGTCCTGCGCTACCACCTAGTCCCGGGCCGCATCCTCCCTTCCTCGGCCCTCTTCGCCCCGGATGGTCCCAACTCCACCGACACGGCAGCCACCAACACCACCACGGGCAACGCCACGAACGGCGCCGCGTCCCTCCGCATCTCCCGCGCGGGCAACAGCGTCTTCGTCGACGGCGCCCGCATTGTCCAGCCCGACGTCCTCCTCGCCAACGGCGTCGCGCACATCGTCGACGCAGTGCTGAATCCGGACGACGTGGGGCCCCCGCCGGACCCGGCGGAGCCGTCGCAGGCGCCAGCGTTCGCGCTGACGGGGGCCACATCGACGGGGGCGCGGGCGCCCACGCCGTTCACGTCGGCGCTGCCCTGCACAAGTGCTTGTCCTGTGACGGCGACGGCGGGGGGTGGGGACGGGGAGGGGGGACGGGGGAGTAGTAGTAGTAGTGGGGGCTCGGGGGTTAGGACGAGGTTGAGTAAGGGGGATGCGGCGGGGGCGAGGTGTACGGGGCTCGCGGGGATGGGGGTCGGGGCCGCTGCTGGGGTGGGGTTGGTTGGGGTTGGGATGCAGATGGGGATGTTTGGGGCTGCTTGAAGGGGTGGATGCAGATGAGGTAGGTTGTCGGGTTTGTTTGGGAGGAAGGGGGAGACAGGAAATCTTTTACGGGTGGGTGTTGGACGATGCGGACCATGAGAGCGTCGGATGGCAGGCAGAGTCCAGCTCCTGGAGCATGGAAGCGTTGTCTACGCCAAAGACTACCTACCCGACGGAGCCCTCGTTCGAGACGATTGTGTCCGGCATCCAGAACGAGCGCGACGGGGTCTAAACGGTACACGGGAAGGAAGGAGCCGGGATGTAATGATGGAGGGCGGCGGTAAGGGGGAAGGAAGAGAGATGGTGACAGCAAGAGATACCCCACGATGCTCGAAGACTTAGGTAGGTACCTTAGGTATTAGCTAGCATTGTGTTTAATCCGTAATGATATACCGAATTGCAGCAGCAGCGAGGGAGGTGGCGGCGGCGCTGATAGGCGGTGATGGCAACAGTGACGGCGATGGCGGCAGCGGCGATGATGACGGTGGCAGTGGCAATGACAACGATTAGCAACAGCGATTTAAGATTATAGCTGCATACAAGGAAAGCCATAGACGCCTTCGTTCCGCAACCCCTTCCCCAGGTAAGTGCCAAGCAACGACTTCAAAAATGAGCACTAATGATATACTCCCATCGTGCCTCCCTTGCTTCAAAGGTCCTTGGGCGTAACATTCCCACTCCTTCCCTCCACCCAATCCCCCCTTAGGCATCCTCAAGCGTTAAACGGGGTCTCCTGCCTCCAGGCCGGTTTGTGGTTTGTTGGCAAAGCGATGGGCGTGATTGGGAAAGAGAAGGAGACTGGCGGTTGTTCGAGAACGACATCAGATTGCAGACCGTCGAGAAAGCCGGATTCAGCCTGGATGGTGACCAATTCCAGAGGAATGAAGAAAGTACCGCCCACATAGGTTGTTGTGCTATCCATCTCGGTGTCGATTGACTGCTGCAAAACAGAGCCCTCCCTTACATGACCACACACCAGGCAGCAAGGTCGTCGTCGTCTTCCAGGAGCCAGTCAGTCCAAGTGCCCGAATAGCCAGAGTTCCAAGCTCGGTGAGATTGCGCCATGTGAACTTCTCCGGGTGCCGACTTTGCCATCTCTCCAACAGGCTCGCCCTCTTTGGAGGCACACGCTGACTGATGCTCGGACAATGGGGTGGTGGAAGCTCGGAGCTCGTTCAGATTTGTCGAGCTTGCTGTGCTCGACATCTTGTTGCTGTAGGGTCTTTGTGGGCGAATGATTTTCTGGCTGTGGGATCTTCTGGTTGTCGGATCTTCTGGCTGTAGGAGGGGAGACTGGAATGGCGCAGTGTTGAGACAGAAAAATGTAAATATCTGCTGGTCTCGATGAGAAATGAAGAGTTTTGGGGTAAAATATTTGCAAATCTCCTTCTCGAGTGATGTCCCTTGATATACACCAAGGTTGCCCTCGCCTTTATTCACTTGAACAGAACATTGGCGTGCGGCGATGGTGAAGGGGCTGTTCCTGTTGGATCCCTGTGGACCCTCGGCAGACCAACACAAAGAGCTCGACTTTCTTCTCAAAAGCAAAGGCAAACCTAGCACATGAGACGTGACGGCTGACCTTTCGCAATGAACCAACTTGGAGCTAAACCACAATCTCGACTCGAGTCGCACTCTGTCTCCCACGTCCAATGCCTTGGAAGACTAGCCAGATGTTGGTTCTTTGGTGGCTGACTAGTTGCCAACATCGAAAAGCCACAAACAATATGGAAAGCAACTACAAGATAGGAGATCATGATAGAAAAATGCAGCACTACTGTATAGCTAACGTTCGTACTTGAAGGTATCTGGCAAAGTCCTAGGGATAAGGTTGCTTCAATGTCTCTTGACTTCTCCCTTCGCTGGGAGGGGCTTGTCGATCAACTGAGAAGGGGGAATGGCGCCGGACATCTTCCCCTACAGTCCAACGTTGGCTAAGACAATGACAATACACACTTATGTAAGGCATAACGATTCTGGTGCCTGGCACCTGAACTTGGCAAACTTGAAGAAAAGTAGAAAAGGGTTGATACAACAACGATGGCTCCGTTGACTGCACACGACTAAAAGAACCAGAAATTATATCCAATAACAGCATATTTATGCAGGTACATGTATATATTCCTCCCATTCCCTGCATATCCTGGGTTAGGCCATTTCGAGGGGCGGGTTCCACCTGCTGTTGTTGTCTCGACCTCCTCCCTTGGAGAAACTGGCAGAAATATGCGAATTAAGCCTGCAATGTACTTGCCTCGATGCTGTTGCACAATGTATTCTCGCTCTCGGCAAGTCGCACTGGCCTGCCGGGACAACCGTCCAAGGTCGCCAACTTGACAATTCACCATATCGCTCCTTTGGTAAGAAGGATCGCACCCGCCAACCTTGGGTGAGATCCAAGTGGCCTCTCCCCCTTGGCTCTCGAGAGTTCTCTCCCTTATAGTATCTAGGTATACTTCCATGGGCGTCAAAGGCCTTGCAAGCCTTGCTGAGTCCCAGTACACTCCTTCCTGCTCGACCCTTCGAGCCAATGAAGAACAGAAAGAAGTGCATACATCTCGGTGCAGGATGCGCATAGCTCTTCAGTTGAGAGACTCCCACCACCACCCACACATTCCACCCCTCCCTTTCTGGCCCGTAATCAAGTTTCGACGCGTCCTCATTATCGCGTCTGCGCCATGTTGAGACCCTTTCTCAGTCCTTCTTAAACGTTCCCAGCCACCATCTGTATGCCCCTTTTGCATCCTTTGCTATCCTTGCCCTTGTCGCTCCTTCCATCACAGTCACGTTCTAGCCACCACCCAATGATTCATTTTTCCTCAACCCCCTCAGCCCCTTTACTATCGCAGTCTCCGTCTCGGGAGGTCACTTTGCCTACGACACCATGAAGGGCCAGTGGCTCTTGCTCGCCGCGGCGTCGACCGTCCGGGCGAGCTTCTGGATGGAAGAAATTGCCCACCAAGGGAAGGCTTCGTTCAATCCCGACACCAGCTACCAAGTATTTCGGAACGTGAAGGACTTTGGCGCCAGAGGAGACGGAGGTAGGTTAAGGGCTGGCACTCTTACCCCTTTTCCCGCATCACGTGTACTGACTTGAAGAAATCCTCAGTCACTGACGACACGGCTGCCATCAACAATGCTATCAGCTCCGGCAACAGATGTGGCGGGAACAGCTCCTGCGTCGGATCGACCATCACTCCCGCGGTGGTCTACTTCCCCGCGGGGACGTACAAGATCTCGGAATCGATTATCGACTATTACTACACCCAGATTATCGGCAACCCCAACGACATGCCGGTGATCAAGGGAACCGCCGACTTCCGGACCAACGCCACCCTCGCGCTCCTCGACGGCAACCCCTACACGGCTGGCGGCGGGCTCCGGTTCAAGAGCACCAACGTCTTCTTCCGCCAGGTCCGCAACCTCATCTTTGACACGACCGACATCCCAGGCACCGCGTACGGTATTCACTGGCCCTCGTCACAGGCGACGTCGATCCAGAACTGCGTCTTCCGGCTGTCCAGTCGGCCCGGGGATGTCCACACCGGTATCTTCATGGAGGAGGGCAGCGGTGGTCTGGTGAGCGACTTGGTCTTCCTTGGCGGGAGCTACGGCGCCCAGCTCGGCAACCAGCAGTACACGATGCGCAACCTGACCTTCGTTGGGTCGCGGATCGGCATCCAGCAGATCTGGGACTGGGGGTGGACGTACAAGTCGCTGGCCTTTGTCGGCTGCGAGGTTGGCATTAACATGTCCAGCACCAATGTCGGCTCTGTGGTACTGCTTGACAGCACCTTCACCAACGTCGCGACGGCCCTCCTCACTGGGCGGGACCCGACAAGCAACACCGGCCAAGGCTCGTTGGTTCTTGAGGGCGTCAAGTTCGTGAACGTCAAAACAGTGCTGGAGGGCCCAGGAGGGGCGGTCCTGCTCGCGGGGGATAGCTCCGGTGGCCTCTACGAACCGGGATATGTCATGGTAGGAACAAACCAAACCACACCCTCCCCCTCACCCCCCACACCATCACCAACTTCCAAGAGATTTTCAACCCACCTGGCATGTCATGACTGACTCTCATCCCAGGGCAACGTCTACGCGCCAAACGGACCATACCACTTCAACGGCCGCGACCCGGGCTTCTTCCCCCGGCCGCCGGCCCTCCTCGACTCCCGCGGCCGGTTCTACGAGCGCTCGAAGCCGCAGTACGACCACGTCCCGGCATCCAACTTCCTCTCCGCCCGCGCCTTCGGCGCTCGCGGCGACGGCGCCACCGACGACACGGCGGCCCTGAACGCGCTCTTCGCCGCCGCGGCCGCGGGGTTCGCGTCGGGGGCCGTCGCCTTCGTGGACGCGGGCTACTACCTCGTCAGCGACACCGTCTCCATTCCCCCGGACGTGCGCATCGTCGGCGAGGCCCTCGCGTCCGTCGTCCTCGGCTCCGGGCCGAACTTCTCGGACATGGGCAAACCGCGGCCCGTCGTCCGGGTGGGCCGGCCGGGGGACAGCGGATACGTCGAGGTCAGCGACCTGATCGTGTCCACGCGTGGAGGCACCGCGGGCGCCGTGCTGCTCGAGTACAACCTCGACACCCCCGCGGCGACGGCGTGCGGGCCCGGCAGCCCGCCGTCGGGGCTGTGGGATGTGCACGTGAGAGTGGGCGGCTTCGCGGGCTCGGAGCTGCAGGTGGTGCAGTGCCCCAAGGCGACGCCGGGGTCGGCGGCGGCGGCGGTGGTGGACCCGGCCTGCGTGGCGGCGTACCTGTCGATGCACGTCACGCGCAGCGCGGGCAACCTGTACGTGGAGAACGGCTGGGTGTGGGTGGCCGACCACGACGTGGACGACGCGGCGGAGACGCAGATCAGCGTCTACGCGGGCCGCGGCCTGCTGGTCGAGTCGGCCCGGGGGCGGGTCTGGCTCGTCGCCACGTCGGTCGAGCACCACGTGCTCTACCAGTACCAGCTCGTCGACACCCGCGACGTCTGGATGGGCCACATCCAATCCGAGACCCCTTACTTCCAGCCCAACCCGCCGGCGCCTCACCCGTTCGCCGCCCGCGACGTCGCCCGCCACGACCCAGATTTTGCGTCCGACTGCCGGGCCGCCACCGCCGGCAACGGTAACGGCACGTTGGGGGGCGCGCCGTGCTTCATGGCCTGGGGCCTGCGTGTGCTGGGTTCGCGCGACGTGGTCGTCTTCGGGGCGGGGCTGTACAGCTTCTTCAACGACTACAGCACCAACTGCAGCGCTCTCGGCGCCGGGTCGAGGTGTCAGGCCCGCATCTTCTGGGCCGGGCCGACGCCGCCGCCGGCGGGCTGGGACGCCACCGTCGATGCTGGCGCAGACGCAGAAAAGCTGACGTCGCTCCAGGTGTATACCCTCAACACTGTGGGGAGCGTAAGCGCGATCACGAGGCAGGGGGTCGACGTTGCGCTGTATAGCGATGGGGTGGCCACCTTTGCGAGCACGGTTGCGCTGTTTAGGTACTGATGGGGGTTGTTGGTGGCTTTTGCCTTTGATATTCTTCTGTTTTATTCTAGGGTTGGTATTGGGCGTCCTGGTGTTCGGAAGGGCAACTGGGCTTGCTGGTAGCTTGAGGATAACCTGTCGGAGGGAATAGGGGAACGGACCTGAAGGGAGAAAGGGATGGGACTGGTGCAAATAAGGGAGGGGTGAAACAAACACACTGACTGACAGGACACTGATAATGACTTGCTGAGCTGGTCAGAAAGGTGTGGTAGACACTAGTGTTCTATCTGAGATCAGGATCAACAAGTACCTAGAAAAGTTAATTGACATAATTAGCACTGGTCACTTTTTGGCTTGACAAACCTAAAGCTGTGATCCACAAATCCAGTTCGATCGATGCAAGGAGGAAACGCCTCAAAGTTGGTCTCGGGCAGATCCGAGCTTACGTGGTGGAACCACGACTCAGTTATGTAAGTTTGTGTTCAGGTCAACGTCGATCAGCCCGATCAGCGCTGTCAGGGAAACACGCAAATGCAACTGTGGGCTGAGACATGGACGGGGATGACGGGACGATCCCCTCCCGCGAGCTTAACAGACGGTCTGGTCTCAAGTTGAAGCGAACCTCTCTTTTCAATTGAACTCAATTCAAGCTGGAGCAACTAAAGTGCATTCCCTCATCACCAATAGACGTCCTCCGCCAACCAACGAAACATAAAACTACAAACCCCATCTTTGAAATGATATCGCATGTGAAACCAAATATAAGGATCTTAGGATCTCTTCTAGTCCTGCCGGCAGCCGTTCCAGTCGCATCCCCCACCCAGCCTGAATGCAGTAAAAGGGGGTCCAAGGACAAGCCTTGGGGGTCGAAGTATGGCACGAAGAAGGTCGAGATAAGGGTATCGGGGTGTGAGCCGCAAGCGGCAATAAGGGCTGGGCTGGAGGCGACGGTGGGAGCCGGAGTGGGTGAAATGAAACATTAATAGCGCGACCGAACGAAAATAGAGGCGAGAGTGGTGGACCTGGGAGTCTGGTTGTTGCTGTTCAGGTTGCCCCGCCACCAGGATCTCCTTTCTTTCAACGCCAGGAGATGACAACGGAGAAACATCGAATCAAAGCCTTCCCGACAATCCCAACACTGGCGACCAAGGCAATTCCCGGTCCAAATCGGGGCCAGGAGTTGATGCAGGCATCGGTTCTCTCAAGTTGCCGGAGCGCCGTGTTGGCGAGAAGCTGCAGGTGTTGTGACGTTCGTCCAGGGGTCGTTCCTCATGCATAATCGTCGAGAGGGACTGCGCCGAAATAGAAGGAAAAGAAGGGGCGAGTCCAAGAAACATGACGGATCCTCTCTCGTACTGACAAAGGAAATGATAGGATGATGATCGCATCGACGAGTTCGGGGATTGCCAGTGGAAAAGGGGGGGGAATGGTCAAGGTTCGTAGTGTTGCCAAAGGTGATATCTTCCAAGCCATCCATGCGGATATCCACCTGATCCCGCACTTACACCCCGCTCTCCATGGAGCTCCTCTCCCGGCAAGCCACATCACGATGCGGCCTACATCAGCGCAACAACGACCATCCCGGCGACTGCGGCAAAGGCAACATGCGCGACATCAAGCGCGGCGCCGGCGTTGATGGTGGGGCTGACCGACGGCTCTGCCGTGGTGGAAGGGAGGGTACTCGAGACAGTGGCCGCCGTTGGCAGGTAGCTCGCGGTGGCGTTGCTGTAAGTCATGGTGGTGGTGTGCACGCGCGCGAGGGTGATGGTCTTGGTGAGATACTGCGTCGAGGTGCAGGTGGTGGTGCTCTCGCCTTCTGCGACCGCCAGAAGAGGCAGGAGGAGAGCGGTGGCTATCGTAGAGAAATGCATCGTGGTGATAATCTTCTGATACCAAGTCGAAGATTCACAGTCGCATAAAGTTCTGGGTTGTTGAATGTAGTGTCGTAAGTCGTTTCACGTTTATATCGATCGTGTCGACGCTGTCAAAGCCTGATATGAGTGATGGAGTGATGAAGTGGCTCCTAGATATGCGCCCAAGGGCAAGGTGTCGTTGATGGTTCTGTTTGGATCGCGGTTGGATCGCTATGCGATGAGAACAAAATCTCTCAAGTGCTGCTGTGTATCGCAGGTGTCCCTGATATTGCTCAGTCGGGAATAATGAGTGTAGTTGTAGTGGTGGTTGTGGTGAGAATGAATGACAGACTGAATACTAGCTCGGCCGAGTATTCGAAGTTGAGATCGTAAGATCAAACACCGGTGTTGTAATAAGACTTTGCCAACGAAGCCTGTGTGGTGAAGGGTGTGTGTGAGGTGGAAGAGAGAGAAAAGAGAAAGGAGGGAAGAGCGAAGATGGGATCAAACCCATGATAGGTACCAACCCGGGGGGAGGGAGGGGGGGTTACCAGGCGGGAAACCTAATCGACGACCGAAATTGCCAAAATAAACGCCAAGTGACGAATGGAAGGGTACAACGCCAAGGTACGTACCCAAGTACCTCTTTTGGGTATCCAGGGCGTCCAATGGCGCAACGGTGTCAGTCGCAAGCCTGCAGGGTACCTGCATTCGCCTCTCTTCAAGTTAGGTGCGCTGGACCAAGCGAGCAGACCCCATGTGGTGAGACTGGCACAACCAGGTCATGGCCAGGCCTGACCGCAAGGCCAAGGAGGTTTCAAGAAGTTTCTCACCTTCTCGCCCACAGCAGTTGCCACAGTACCTACGGAGGGAATAGTGTGGAAGCGAGTACTACACTACTACTATAGGAGTCCTCGCGCCCGGGCAGCGGGGAGATCGTGCGGCGCCCCCCAGCAGTTTCAAGCGGGAAATTACAGGTACCATTTCAGGCACGTTTATGGTTGCACACTTGCGGTTGTGCCCCTCCAAACTTAAGACCCTGGAGGCTCAGATCGCCTGCATTGCGGCTTCCATTCCTTCACAGCTCACAGCCGCAAAAAGTTGCCATTTTTGGTTCAGCCTCTTCTGCTTCTTGCAAACAATGCCGCACAATGTGTTGTGCCACATAGTGGCTGGAATACCCGCCGCATTTTCTTTGAGTCATTACCAGCTGGAGGTACATGCAGCCCATCCCATCTCAGGTATCCGTCCATCCATCCATCCCCCCCCCCCCCCCCAGGACGAAATTTGCACAATCTCTGTCAATTACAGCCCATAGCCGCAACGCTGTTGATTGGTCCGTCTATCTGAGACAAGATTTAGTGTTTGCCCGCGCAGAAAATGCACGGGCTACGGCTGGTTCCTGCATATCAGAATGGCCACACTAGACTAAAGGCGGCAAGAGTTCTGACGACTTTTGCTAGCCCATCTGTACGCTAGGTTCTCACTCGGGAGTCAGAACCTGGGGTACGTATCTCTCAGATCGAATCAGGACGTCCCACCTCCGATCTTCATCTCGCAAGGCGCCTGCAAGAAACATTCCCAGCCAAAAGGAAAGTGAGCGAGGGAAAACGAAACGAAAAGAAAATGAGGCAATAAAAGCTTGTCAAGTTGTGGGGATCCCACTGGCATAGCGCCATGTGTACCCCGTTTATGGTTGCGACGTGGCAGGCAGACAGCCGCAAAACCTAACAAAGACAAGGACAGGAACAGCGAAGAAAACAGCTTCTGCTTTCGGCTTGCCACCCTGTCTCTTTGTTACATCTCGCATTCTCCAGCAATCCATTGTACTGCGGACGCGAACTCCTTTCGTATTATGCGGCTCTCCGGTAACCTTCACGCCTCAGGCCTTGTTCTGCTGGTTGCACCCGACTTCCAAGCATCTAGAAGACGTGATAGAAACCCGTCTGCTGCTGACAGTTGTAAAGTGGCGCCGCGGCATTGCATTTATGTGCCACACACAAGAGCAGGCAGCCGAGTATTCTTTTTCTCCCGCCGATGGGCCATGTCGAGAAGCCTTGGGTCGCTGCAGCCGGATTTGCATCGCTCAACTGGGGCATTTCCAATTGATCCCGTCGCCCATGGGGTCTATCGGTTCCTCATCCTGGACCCTTCCATTAGCAGAATGCGTGGCCAGGAACTAGTAATCCGGCACATCCGCTGGCCCACGGGTCGTGCCGTGGGCGAAGGTGACGAGAGCTGAAGTCGGGTTGCTGTCACCTGAACCTCGGGACCTTTAAATCCAGCTAAGCTATTCTCGTATTTTGAGCATAATGATCAACGATCGCCCGATGATTTCCAGGCGGTCACCGCGTGCCGGGAAACGGGTTGAGCAAGCTCCTGAAGCGGCTTCTGTTTCGAAAGTATTGCAGCCCGGAAGCTCGTTCAGCATTGATTGCTAGCTGGTGACGGCGTCTTGAGGCAAAGCTGCGAAGCGATGTCGCTTATCCCGCCTTCGCTTCTGGCATATGTATCGATAGAAGCCATGGTATTTCTCCCCCATGGTAGAGGTATTAGCCATGACAAACCTATGAAGTCTGTCGCATTGAGGCGAGGATGCCACAAGGCGTCTTATTCCTCGACAAGTTCAACCAACTTCGCAACACAAAACAAGGGTCAGGAGGATACAGAGACTAGACTTCATATCCGAAAACACAAGGAAGGCAGAGGATGCACCAAACTGGTCCTGATCCGTATTGCCTATTTTCCATTCCCATAGCCAGAGATTCAATGTCTGATATGAACAATCGCCTGTCTCCCCAAGCCCGACCTCGTGTGCATCGTCGAGATATGTGCCAATACCATGCAAAACGCCCAAACCGAGCCCTCCGTAAACGCCTAACAGCCATGCAGTAACTAGACAGGCACACTTTCCGCCATCGTCTCCTAGAGAGCATCCCTCCCACGGCCCCAAGCCGGCGCAGAGCATCAACCTAGCGTAGCCTGACCACAACCTCCAAGCAGCTAACCATCCGTACTCTCGCATGATCCCCCTCCTCCCCCTCCCCATCGCCGTCGTCGTCCTCCTCCCCCGCGCCTTCCACCCTCCCAACCACCACATCATCCACCGCCCCAATCGTCCTCGTCCGCAGGCTCACCCGGCAGTCCTTCTGCCGATCAAACCAAGCCGCCACATTCAGCGTCTTCTCGATCGCGCGCCCCGTACCCATCACCACGACCTCATCCCCCCCTCCACCTCCTCCTCCTCCTCCACCACCACCACCACCACCATCATCACCACCCGTGCTCAGCGCCGCCACGCGCGCCGCGAGCGGCAGCCCCCTCGTCCCCCGACCAGCGCCGGCAGAAGCAGGAGCGGCACCTCCGTCGAGCGCCTTGCGCACTCGCTTGACGACCGCCATGAACGGCGCGCGGGCCGAGACGTAGACGCACGTCGGGGCGCGGCCGCTCGCCGTCGCGGGGGTGCGGTACCCGTCGGCGTCGACGGCGGATGTTAGGTTGGATGTGGTCGCCGGGTTGCGGCGGGGGATGGGTCGCTTTTGGATGCGGGAGCCTGGTGGGGGGGAAGTTAGATGGAGGATCTATCTCGGGGGGAGGGAGGGGGATCGAACCTTTGGGGAGAGGAGGTAGTTTGGTTTGGGGCTGGTTAGGCAACGGGGTGGTTGCCTTGTTGAGATCCATGGCTTTGATATGGAGGGTCAAGGACACTTTTCGCAAGCCGGCTGGCCTCGTTGTCTGGTTGGGAGGGTGCTGGCTGTTCGATGCTGCAAGAAAGCTGCCTGCCAGCAGACGTGTGGACAAAGGGGTTGTACAATGTTGGAAGCAAATTCAGAAGCAAATACCAGTTTTGGTCTTGACCTCTTAATGATGAACGCTGAAATTGGAATTAAAAATCGTACCGACTATTAGGCTTTGAGTTTGGGGTGTCGTGAGCATCTTTGTACTGTTAGCTCGAGGTTGAATATCGAGGTGGGGCAGAATAGTATTCAAGCTAGGTAGAAAGAGCAGGTTGACATTTAGGCAACAATATGCAATGCTTTCACATTCACAAACAAGCCATCATTAGGTTTGACAATTGGTTAGATTGGATCGTCATATCCGTTCAAAACTTAGAGACAAGCTGAGGTCAAAAAAAGAACAAAAATATTCGCGATGGTGATGGGACTCGAACCCACAACCTCAGTCTTCGGTGACTCAAACTTGGTTTAGCAAGTAGGAGGACCGCACGCTACCTTTGCGCCACACCACCGTGATGCTAGAATCTTGTGCGAATTCTGCCTTAAAGTCAACCATGATTGTGGGATGAGCTGGTCAAACTCGGAGAAATATCGGAGATTTCTTCGGGGCCCAATCAAATCGAGTCATCGCTTTGCCAACTAGAGACATGACCTCACCAGCTCTCTAGCTCACCCAGCGTTAAGCTCCCCACTGGTTTCAGGCATACCATATGAGCAGCTCTACACTTCCAGAACAATCCAGCTTTGCCCTTTGTATCCCTTGTTCGAGAGCCTGAAATATGGCTGCCTGCGTAGCGCAAAGGGACAGCACAGCTTCATGAGTCTCAACCATGTCTGTCGAAATCTGGCCACCTATAGCTCCAGAGCAGCTTAATATCGCGAAGGAGACGGCGCTTGTAAGTTCGTCTTCATTTCCGGTTTCTAATATTACTATCATGGACTCGGATCTGTCTGCCTCTTGGGAAATGGTGCTGATCGATACCACGACCGGGCTGAAGAAGCGAGAGGTCGACTGGCTGCTCGAGGAGCTCCACGAGACACTGAAGTACCTCAAGCATGGACTTGAGGACTGTTACGCCTTGCTGGCACCGGTAGACCCTGGGAGCACACTGGTGCTCAGCACACCCCGGAATGAGGTTGTGAAGGGGACAGTTACCCGAGTAGGAACGAGGATCGTCAAAGGGGTTAGTTATCCTCCCCTCCTGCTCCCCCCCAAAAGCGGAACCCCTCCCAAAACTAATATTCGCATCCATCTGTCTCTCTTAGACCATCCACCTCCGATTACGCACCCTCCCAGCGCAAACCCTCACCCTCAATCCCGACCATCCGATCCATCTCGCCCCCTTGATGGGCCTCCATTCCCTCTTAACAGACTCCCTCAACCTCCTCAGCCTGACCCTCTCGTACTGCTACTCATCCGCCCCGACGACCCCCTCAGGACCACCGGCCGCCGCCCCGTCGGAACCGCCCATCTCCTCCCCACAATTTATATCCGCCCAGCTACGCCTCCTCTCCCAGCACCTAAGCGAGGCCTCTTCCCTCCTCAAGGGCCCGCCCCTGACGACGGCCGACCCGTCCTGGACGACCCGCAGCGCGGCGCCCTCGCACTTCCGCCCCCCGCTCGCCAGCCCGGCCAACGCGCCCCCGCCGCTGTCCTTCCACCTCGCCATCCAGGACGGCTGCCTCGTCCTCTGGCTGCGCCGCCTCGAGCCCGCCGCCGCACCCGTCAACCTCGGCACCAAGCTCGCCCTCGCCATCGGCACCACCCGCCGCCTCGAGCATGACGAGTCCGAGCGCATCTTCGGCTACTGCTGCACCGAGGCCGACGAGGGGGCCGGTGCCGGCAGCGGGCTTCAGAGGACGGGGACGGGGATGGGGTCCGGGGCGGCTGCGGCTAGGCTGAACAAGCCGGCCGTGACGGAGCCCGGCGCTGTCTCGGGGGACCGGAGGGAGGTGGAGGTCTTTGTGAGGGAGAAGGTCAGGGTCGAGAGCGCGGATCCCAGCCTGCTGTCGCTGACGGCGAAGTTGACAGCGTTGGCACATATCCTGGATCGGGCGCGGAGGAATCTGGCAATCGTCATGGGCGAGGAGCTAGAGGACTAGATGTCCTTTTATTGCTTGTTAATACCCTTTGGGATCTTTACCCGTGGCAGCGTTAGTGATCTGGACTAGCTGTTTTCCGTTGGGTGTGTTGGGTATGATAATGTCATACAAGAGGGTTGATGGTTTAACCGACTTTCGGACACTATCACGGAGCTGACTCGCCATTGATGTCTCGACAGGCAGAGTCATGTGTGTTCCACCTGGCACGCTTTGGAGGGTTAGCCATCACCCTAGCCTGGAATGCTGCAAATGTGAATTCCTTAATTTGGGGGACAATCTTCGCCCATATCCTTTAGCTGCACATTCTATCGGGTATAATACGCAAGGGCAATCAATCAATCAATCTCTCCCTCCCCTGATCCGCTCCCGCAGCATATCCTTCTGGAATGCAATCAGCTCCTTCGTCGAGATGGTCAACCGACCATCGCCTCCGGGCCTCCCCTCCCCCTCCTCCGGTATATTCCTATACACGTGGCCCGTGACGAGCCCCGCGAGCGTCTTGACGTCCCTCCCGTTAGACCAGCCCCTGGTCATGCCCAGCTTCCGGAACAGGCGCAGGACCGTCTCCTCCTCCTCGGCGGTGGGCCTGACCTCGTCGCGCACCTCGACCCCCTCCCTGCCGACGAGGTTGCGCAGGTGCTCGAGGCAGCGCGCCGGCTCCATGGCCGCGAAGGTCACCTCGGTGGCGAACCTGCCGCGCAGGCCCGCGTTCGACCGCGCCAGCGCGTCCATCTCGCGGTCGTACCCGGCCAGCACGATGATCATCTTGCGCAGGTACCGCGGCTTGGTCATGCAGTCGACCAGCTCGCCGATCGCCTCGTCGTTGAAGCTCCCCCCGCCGCCCTGCAGGCCCCGGCCCCCGCCCCCGCTGCCGGTGAGCCGGTACGCCTCGTCGATGAACAGGACCTTGCCCAGCGCCCGCTCGAACAGGGCCACGACCTTGGGCCCCGTGTGGCCCACCCACTGCCCCACCAGGTGCGTGGCCGAGCACTCGACGACGTCGCTGGTCGAGAGGAAGCCCATGTCGTAGAAGATCTGCCCGATGATGCGCGCCGTGTGCGTCTTGCCCGTCCCGGGCGGGCCCTTGAAGATGTACGTGAACGGGATGCTCTCCCTGGGGTCCTTGCCCTTGAGCCTCATGTTCGCCGCCATCCGCTGGTAGCCCTCGAACTGGTGGATGATGCCGTCGAACCCGATCAGTCCCTCGAACAGGCGCCGGCACCTCTGGCTGGCCCGCGCGCCGCGGTCGTAGTCCGGGTCGAAGTCCTCGGGCTCGAGGACGATGGCGGCGGCCGGCGCGTCATTCGCATCATCTGCCAAGCCCGGGAGATCGTTGTCGTCTGCCGCAGATGGGGCCACGTGGGAGTCGCGGTCGCCGACGTCGGCCACTTTCTCGCGGTCTGGACTCAGGCTCACACCCGAGCTTCCGGCCTTCTCCCGCTCCTTGGTCATCCTGTCGCGATAGCGGGCCTTGGCGAGGTTCAGGATGTTGACGACGTCGCCCCCGTTGCCAAAGTTCGGGCGGTCCCTCGCGCGGCGGAGCACCTCAGCGGCGGCCTCCTTGGCCGTGGCCGTGGCGGCGATGTCCTCTTCCGCCATCTTGGCCTCGAGGATCTCGTTGAGCTGCGCGTCGTCGTAGTCGGCAAAATGGAAGGCCTCCTCAGGCGGGAAGCGCCTCCGCAGGCCCGGGTTGCACTTCTGGAACATCTCCTCCATCATGTCCCGGTACCCAATCAAGATGACGCACGCGTCGTCGCCGGGCCGGTTGTGCACCATGGCCACCAGCACGTCGATGCAGCTCAGCCGGAACTCGTCCGACTCGTTCCCTGACCCTGCCCTGCTCCCGTGGTAGAACATGTGCGCGTCGTCTATGATCAGGACCTTGCCCTGGGCCGACTCGATGATGCCTCTGGTCCTCGCCTCCGAGTCGCCAAGGTGTTGCCCGATGAAGTCCGCAGGAGTCTTGTATATGACGTCTCGGGCCGACAAGAGTCCCGTCTCGGCCAGGATACGGCCGTAGAGCTTGGCCACGGTGGTCTTACCGGTGCCAGGGGGGCCCAGGAATACGCGGTTCAACGATGTCCGAATCGGGTCCTTTCCAAGGAGCTCCCTTTGGTAGTTGATCTTGGCGCGTCTCATGAGCTCTTCCAGAGCGTGTTTGATGTCCTTCAGCCCTACCATGTGCTGGAGCTCCTTCCACGCGTCGCTGCGGGAACGAGTGTCCTCGGGTTCGGGGCCAATCACGTCTTGCATCGTCAGCAGGTACTCATCGGGCGCCGCCGGCTCCTCCTCCTTGCTGATGGGCGCCGGCTCCTCCGCCTTGCTGAGGGACATCCTGGCCCGCTCCTCCCGAAGCCGCGTGGCCTGCCGGTTGAGCATCTTCGCAAACGAGGCTTCCACCTCGTGCACGTTTCCGAACCCAGCCGCATCTCGGCAGCGGCCCACACGCCGGGCAGCGATGCGAGGATAGGGCCCGTTGATGCCGTCTTCGACTTTCAGGGAGTGGCGGGCGATCATCCGGACCAGGATGCGGCGGAGCTGCTCGTCGTCGTAGTCCTTCATGCGTATCCTTCGCGGGAAGACTAGCCTGGCCTGTGGCCCCTTCCCTAGCACCGCTGTCGTGCCCTCGACAGAGCCTGCGAGAACCATGACGACGTCCTTTTTGAAACAGTCACAAACGTGCATGAGGTAATTGCCGTTCTTGGGCTTCACGGCGTCTACGTTGTCGATGAAGAGAAGCTGTACGAGAACAGCAAACCGACCAGTCAGCGAAGCAAACATTATTATTGATGTTGTCCAACATACATCGTCGAGTTGCAGGTTGTTATTGTAATAGAGTTCGGCGATATCGGTGCGCTCGTGAAGTGCGAATCCCGACTTTTGGAAAAACCGATATCTCTCCTTGTCTGCCCAAACGTCACATGCTGTGAGGAAGTCCCCATAGAGTTTCGTCACTGTCCTCATACCTGCATGAAGGGAGAACTGTCAGTAAATATTGAGTTGCCCTTAGCTCTATCAGTCTCGAGGGGAGTCCCTTGAGACTTTGACGACGACAGGATCATTGAAAAGGCAGTACCTGTCCCAGGGTTCCCCATGAGAACCAGATTAAGCTGGTGTCGTTTCAGCACGCCCTTCCGGAGTCGTGCCGCATCTATTATTGCTTTGATTGTCATGATCTCGGCCTTCAAGTCGTCAAGGCCCACCAGCGACATGATATGGTCCAGTGGCTCGTTCTTCTCATCGGACTCTTGCTTCTGTCGCTCCCACTCCTGTTCAGGAGTTGGTTGGGCATTGGCTCCAACATGGTTCTCGTCGTCTAATCTCGGAAGAAGAGATAACATAGAGCTTCGACGAGAGCTGCTAGGGCTTTCATGAAAGGGATTGAACTCCCGTGGCGGCTTGTAGGGTGGGATCTCGACATCAACATCTTCCTCCGTGCCCTCTGCACCGTCTGCATCCCCTGGGTCCCCTGCTTCGTCACCGAATAAGCCTTCCCAGTTCTCCCAAAGAGCAGAATGCGGGCCTGCGTCAAAGCCTGGCGTTGATACATCAGGGCTTCCGTCATCTGGGCTTGTATCATCATCGTCATTGGGAGGGGAATGGGGGCCTTCATCAGAGCCCGGCGTTGGTGCATCTGGCGACGGCGTCAGGCCGGGGCTCTGGGGGCCACCATCACCACCGCCATCACCACTGCCATGACCACCGCCGTCACCACCGCCGTCACCACCGCCGTCACCACCACCCCCTGGAAACACAGCAGAACTTTCAGCTAGCTCAATCATCCGCATCGAGCACATAGACATTACCGCCCGCTTGCTCTTCGAGAGCGGGTTTCTCTTCCGTCGAACCAGTGATACGTCCACTCCTCTGCTTCTGGACGACTGTGAGTCTTGGTAACTGCCACCAGATAAGCAGAACTAAGAAAGGAAGAGAACCGTTATGTCAGAATCAGATGAGGTTTCAATGTCAGGCAGAGAGGCGACAGAGTAATCGATTCCGAGAGTACCTATCTGAAGTTGCTTGACCCTTGGTGCTTGCCAAGAGGTACTGTACATAATTCATCCTAGATAGGTAGGCTCTGGGCCCTGCAATGAGGTGGATTCATCCCAGGCAGAAGTGATAAGTTCTCATTTCGTTTCCAGTAGCCTGATAAGGCGGCGCTCCCCTACATGAGCACATTGGGAATGGAAGGGGTGGCTTGAAGAAAAGGGGGGTGGGCTTGATGGGTGAACTTGACGGGTGAGCTAATTAAGGGCTGAGCCTTACCTCTACTAGGCAAATGCTCCACCGGAATTTGGGCCTCAATGCATACCCCTACTAAGACTGATAAGACTGCAGCTCAGCAAGACAGGGGTGGGAGAGCTCGCATCTTTGGTCAAAAGATACTGCATTTTGCGTCGACACTCACGTCACATGGCATGGTAACACCTGGATATAGTGTTGTGTCTGCGCCTTGAGGACAATGTCGTCGTCCAAAAAGAATACTGCAGACCGGTTGAAACCCTCCTAATTTTGGGGTAGGTTGTCGTCGAGCTTGATGGGAAGGACGGGAACTTTCAGACGAGGGATACAAAACAAGCCCTCTTTTTGCAGGGTTAGATCACGCTCGTAGGCTTCGATTGTATCCATGTCGTGTGCTTTGGTCAATGAAGGCCGAGAGGAGAAAAATGATGTGGTGGATGAAGCCGTAAAGTCGATATTCATCGTCGATGGGCAGCCTGGAGTATGTACAATACTTATCAAGACATATCCACACGCCCAGTCGCAACTACTCGAAAACAATATCCACCCCATTAAACGCATATAGCCCCTGGACCCGCTTCCACTTGAAGTTCTCCACCTCGGCCAGGCGCAGCCTCACGGGCGCCGGTCCGGTCTTCCAGCCACCGTCCGCAGCGGGGATGTGCTTCTTGTCGCGCGGCAGCACGCGGCCGAGGTCCTCGCACACGAGCCGGGCATTGTCCTGCCTGCCCTGGTGCTCGACGACGACGAGCGTCGTGCCGCGCCGGTAGTCGAGGCAGACAATGGCGTGCCCGCGCGGCGTCACCACCTTGAGCGGCGCCAGGCCGCTGAGCATCAGCGTCTCAGCGCTCATGGGCCGGTCGATGGAGAACCCGTCGCCGCCGTCCTTGGCCCGCCGCCGGAACACCGAGTTGTACGGGCCCCGCGTCACCAGGATGGTGCCGCCGCAGTCGTCGTGCAGGAGCTTGGCCATGACGAGCTGCTCGTCGATGCCCGTCGCGGCCGCGAGCTCCGACACGGACCGGCACCGCACCCGGCAGCGGAGGAAGTCGCTCCACGTCCAGTGCTCGACGAGGATGCTCTTGCAGATGAGGATGACGAACGCCGCCAGCACCCATGTGTACGTCGCTAGGTTGAACGGGTCGACGCCCTCCACCCGGTTGCCCAGCGTGAACCCAATGGCCAGCCCGCCGCCGCCTAACATCCCGGCCACGCTCATGATGCTCCAGACGTAGAACCGACACGAGATGGTCACCGACGTCTCGTCCACCACCCACTCCTGCATGTCCTCCGCGTGCTCGTCCAGCCTCTCCTGCGTCTCCTGCCTCGGCTCGCGCGCGCTCGCCGGTGCGTGGCTTTGGTGGTGGTGGTTCCATATCTTGGCCCCCCACTTGCTCTTGCCCTCGGTCAGCAGGCGGCAGCGCGAGAAGCGCTGCTCCCGGAACGCCTCGGACAGCCGGAGGATCTCCCGCCCGTCGGCCTCGGGTTCGAACTGGTTCGTGTACAGCCTGCAGAAGGCGCCGAACTGGCCCTCGGCGAACGGCCTCACAACGTCCTCGACGCCGCCCGTGAGCGCGATCATGGTGCGGAAGTTGGAGAAGTTGGAGAGGAAGATGGGGCTCGTCGTGATGAGCGGCACCATGGCCGTGATGATGTCGGCCATGCACCCGAGCCGCACGCTCCTCATGGATCGGGAAAGCTCGTAGTAGTCGACGCCACTTGCGTGTGAGCAGGGGGAGCCGTCAGGGGCTTTCTCTAGATAGGCCCATTCGACGAGCGTCTCGAGCCCATTTTCCAGGCCCTTTTCTCGATGGGGTATCTTCCCCTTGAGATGGCGTAGAGTCTGGTCCAGGATGAGCAGGGCCGGTTGCGCGGTATTGAGGATGACACGGTCGGATGAGGCCGAGTATTCGAGGTCCCTGTCCTGGAACAGAACGGTCTAATATACGAGATTTCAGTTCTGAACTCTTGATGTAAAACTCCAGTCGGGATGTGTCTTACCCTGAAGCCCTCGAACCCGATTTCATAGACAACAACACACATCTCGTACATCGTCGGGGGAAGCCCAGATCGGTTCATGAGGCGGAGTGAGAGAAGGATGTACTTCAGCGAAGCATTGATTCCGGACCGGAACTTGTTCTGATTGACGCAGTACGAACCCACATCGGTCTCCTCTTCCGATGTCAGGCCTTCTTTGGCGTTGGCGTCGATGATCCGCAGGGCTTCCTCGCACTCCTCCTCCTCGTCTGCGAGACTGGCCGCGAAATCGCCGGATTCCCGAGTCTTCTCCAGGGCCTCCTCGCCGGCGTCAGCAGCGACCGTTGCGCTCAGGGCGAGATTCATCAAAAGGACCTTGATTTTGGTGACCCTGGCTACGAGGACTGCCATGACGTTGGTCAGCCAGTAGTCTCCCATTGCTGTCTGGCTGATGAGTCTGGCAAGGATGGCGGACATGTAGTTGACGAGCTCGAACATGGCCTCGAGCTTGTGCTCCAAGGGATCATCGTCTACGTCTACTTCGGCGTCGTGAGCAGTCGGCCTCGTTGATTTCGCCGCTGTTCGAGCCTGTTGTACCAGCTTCTGGAGCCGCTCACGGTTGGCAAGGCGAGAGCAGAACTCGACGTTGATGCACTCATTGTCGAGGAGGCACAGGGAGAGCGCTGTCGATATACTATTTGACAGTCTCGAGAGCTTCCGGTATCCGTTTTCATCGCCCTCCGTATTCGAGAAGAGGACGGTCGACCCCAAAGCCAAGGGACGGTCTGGCTCTTCGATGAAGGCTAAGAGTCTCTCGGTCTCGGCCCTCCGCAGATTCTCGGCGGTTCGATCGCTAACCGCATATGCGCTCAGGCTGTCGAACTCCGGGTATTTCCGTTGCGGCTTCTTCTTCGCCGTGATTTTGCGCATGATCGAGTCAACCGAGCATGTGACTGGCGCTCCTCGACTCACCGGAGCCCCCTCATCCCTTGGGAGGGTCTCGGGCTTTCCGGTGCCCGTAACCGCCGGATGGTCGGGATGTCGTCGCCGGGGACGCCAATGTCGTCGCCAGCGGCGTCCCAAGAGCCGGCCGGTTGCGGGAAAGGTGTGCTTTCTGGACAGCATCGCACTCGAGTTTCGCCGGATCGGCGGGGGGTGGTTGACGACATACTCAGGTGGATCAATCGATCGCAAACCCTTCGACGATGCATGTGAGGGGGTGGAGTTTTGCTCTTCGGCCATGGTTCCGTTCTCGAGCCCGGATCAAGATGGGCAAGTTATAACAATTCCTCTTCGGCTTCCTCTTTAACAATCCAGTTCGGCCGCGTTCAGACGAGGCTCTGTGAGCAGACGCGGAGTGGCCGTGACGGCTTCAAGTTGCCGAGAACCCGTCACACTGCAGACCAGCAATCGCATTCCATCACATTCTACATGCCCGCGACATGGCCATCACATTGGTATCGGCCAACGCGAGGCTCAGAGTGGCAGAGCCAGCCCCCGACCGACTGCCCATGTGCACTAAAGGATTGGGCAAATCTTCGCTACAAAGCAGCCAAGGCCCTATGGCTCAGCTACTCGTCAGGTCTAAAAATCGACTTCTGACGTTGGGTGGGGCCTGCGGCACCAACGTCAGGGACATCTATCGCAAAATCCAAGGGTACCTAGTAACCCCACCAAAATACACTAAAATTGAAAGTACTTTACGTTTCTTGCATTTCATAATCTAACTGCATAACATTTTCAACCCTATTAACCAAACTAATATGCATAACTATAGCTAGCAATAAGTAGTTGTTTTGTTTTAAATGATAAGATAAGTAATCTTACTTAGAGAAAATTAGAAAACAATAATTTTTTTTACCAAAAGATGTAAAGCAAAGGTTATTCTAGCAATTAAAGTTTTATATGTTTTGTCGCATTATAGTGCATAGATGTAGTGTTTATTAATTTATAAGGTACTGTGGATGCAAATAGACTGGCGTATGCTGAAAACAGAGAGTACTTCCTGGATTTGGTGCATTTTGGCGGAGTTACCAGGTACCCTTGGATTTTGCGAATAGAAGGTAAATTTGCGAATAGATGTCCCTGACGTTGGTGCCGCAGGCCCCACCCATCGTCAGAAGTCGATTTTTAGACCTGACGAGTATCCCTTTTCAACGCAGCTGCCAGCGGGAAAACGGGGTAGCGTTGCATTGTGGCGCTTCGGGCCTTCGCACAGGGCGTGCCGTTATCAACGGCTAGGCTGAGCTCGTATTGACTACCACGGCGGCCTCACACGTCAGACGTAGATTCACGGAAGCTTGGTTGTGGGGAGAGGATGGGAATGACAGGGCTCATCGCTTAGATTTGGCGTTGCATCTCGACTTGTTGGTCCTCCCGTCGAGCAGTGACCTTCTCTGAGCCCGACTCGGCTTGGAAGCACGTTGCTCTACGAGTAAACCAGCTGCAACGCGTGCAACTCGCACAATGACTCGAAAACGGAATGGCGAAGATGCCTGCAGCCTTGCAGCGTATCGAGAGTCCTTACTGATGTCCCAAGGCGGACAAGAAGGTGGCTCTCGGCCACCAAACTGTCGTCAATCAAGCATTCCTGATGTTGGATATTGTGATATCGACCCGTCCCCTGATGAGAGGGCGCCTAATGTACCCTACATCCAGACGTGGGAGCCGCCTTCTTTCGCAGAAGAATCGAAACCGCTCGTTCGACTTTTCGTCACCGAGCCCCAGAATGACCAGATCGACGACGGGACCTCGCCTACGTGTCTCGACGACAATTGCGGAGCGGGTGCTTCTCAGGGCAAAGACCAGACCCTGCATATCGTCAAGGAGGTCGACGACGCCTATTCGGATGCTGAGCAGAGCTTCCTGGAGCGCGGGGCTATTGCCCCGAGCTGGGCTAGGGGCCGGCCCGGCAACTTCGATGACGACTCCGACAAGAGCAACCGAGACCCGCCTGCCTATGGAGACGCTGACGACTTCTACGACAGCGATCTCGACTCCGTTGCCTCCCGGACAGGTCGCGTTGTGCGTGAGCATCACAAGAAGATGAGAAAGTGGCGCTCGATGGCAACGAGCCGATTTGAAAATATGCTGCTCGAGTGCATCGTCAACATAGATAGCATTCCTCCAAACTATGAGAACATCTTCGTCAACCGCAACATCATCGACCAGCTCGAAAAGGTCACCCGTCTATCACTCAACCGGCCCAAGGCATTCAGCCACGGCGTGCTCAAGGGGAACAGGGTTACCGGCGCCGTGCTCTACGGACCACCTGGTACCGGGAAGACGCTCCTAGCCAAGGGTCTCGCCAAGGAGTCCCGGTTCAACATGCTTGCCATCTCCACCGCCGAGCTGTGGCAAAAGTGCCACGGCGAAGACGAGAAGGTTATCAAGGCCCTGTTTTCCCTTGGCCGGAAGCTCAACCCCTGTATCATCTTCCTGGACGAGGCGGATGCCATGCTCGGCGCCCGCAAGGCCGGCGAGAAGCGGCACATCCGCTCCATGCTCAACCAGTTCCTCATGGAGTGGGACGGGCTCACGAGCGGGCTCAACTCGCCCTTCATGCTGCTGGCCACGAACCGGCCCTTTGATCTCGACCCGGCCGTCCTCCGACGAGCCCCCGTGCACATCCACCTCGACATTCCCACGCTCTGGGAGAGGCAGAAAATCCTCGAGTTGCTACTCAAGGGCGAGACCCTGGGCCGCGACGTCGACTGCAGCACCCTGGCCCAGTACACCCACAGGTTCACCGGCTCCGACCTCAAGAACCTCTGCGTCAGCGCCGCGACCAACTGCGTCAGCGAGCAGGAGTCCGACACCGCCCGCCGGGTCCTGTGGCTCAGGCATTTCAGGCAGGCCATGGCCACCATCAAGGCGACGGCCCTGAGCAGCACCATGAAGAACGAGTTTCAGAAATTCCAGGGGACCGCGCGTCATGACGACGTAGATGCCGAGAAGGAGTGAAAGCCCGTGGTCACGCCCTACCACCCTCCCGGCCCGAAAGCGTCGACAACGACGATGTGCCACAAACAGACTTGTGAGGAGCAAGAGAAGGACCGCCCATCACCTCATCAAATGGACAATGAATATGCCCCGAGCACCGTCGAGACCTCCGACAACTCACCAAACATCTTGTTTCCCGGCAAGGTAGAAGGGAAGAAAAGCAAGTCCGTGGCGGATCGCAGATCCACCCATGACCCCTAAAGAGCTCAAGCTCGAGGAAGAGAGACCCAAGGCTCAGTGAGTGCCGCCACCTCAGATACAAGTACTTTCCTATTCTCATTCCAACATTCCTAACCCATCATATCCAGACACCGTCGGCGTCGTCAACAACTTACCTCCGCTACTCTCGCGCCCCCTTATGTTAGCCCCATTACCTTCCCCGGCTAGTTCAGCCCGGCCGCCACGGAGGTGTCCTACCTATAAACCTGTATCTACTATCATCATGTCCAGAATTGTTTACCTGCGAGCTCCCACGGCCCAAAGGGCGAGATAGGGAGAGGGAGTGAGTAGGAATCAGACACCGCACAGTCAAGTAGGTCGCTCATCAAAAGCCGTGTCGATAACCGAAACACATTTTAAACAATAAAACAATATTGAGATTCTCACAATCTTGACCTCCACAATCTGGACCTCTCCAAACTTCCTCATATCAGTCCGTCCCTCTCCAGCTCAAGTCATACCATCCGTGTTAGAGTGTACACCAGCATCCCGCACCAGAACCGCAGTCTCCTGGAACTAAACAAAAGAAACCCAGCCAGCCAGCCACCAACCCCCAGCCCATCATCCAACCCTCCAAACAAACAAATTCTCGACTCACCCATGAAGATGGTAGCCAGAAATCCGCGGCGGTCAAGATTCGGCAGCCAGGAGGACGGGGCCATCTCGAGTTGTTGTGCAAATATCTCGGCATTTGACTCCCCTAATGCTGTGATAGATCCCCCGCAGGCTCTGCTCTGCGTTGATGACCGTTTCGAATATAAACACCCGAATGCTCTGAACTGCCCCTACATCGAACGGGGCACACCAAAACCTTGCCACACACATCGACCATCATCTCCACGATCCCGCCCCAACTCTGCTCCCGCACCTTTGCACGGCAGAGCCTACGCAACCGGCGACCACGGCATGGGGATGAGGATCCTGCTCTTCATCTCCTGGATCAGCGGCACCGTCTTGTGCACCGTCTCGCTCCACCCCTTGATGCTCCAGCTCTGCTCCCTGCGGACCTTGCGCTCCTCGAGGTTGGCGAATTGCCACAGATGATGCACCGTGTTGAGGTCTCCGATCTGCACGAACCACGCCCCGACACCCTCCATCACCTCACGCCGCGCCTTGAGCCCGCGCCGCCAGTGCGTCTCCCACTCCAGCAGGTTGCCCGGATGCAGCGTGTACGACCGGAGCTCGAAGAGCCCGCCCAGCTGCCGCGGCGGCGTCGTCGGCCAGAAGCTGAACTCCTGCATGAGGGACGTGCTCTTGCCCTTGATGAGCGACCTGAGCTTCTTGTCGTAGGCGGCGTACTCGGGGTGCTGGGAGACGGAATGAAGAGAGGCGTGGAAGCCTTGATAGCGTTGGTATTCCCAGATGTGGACTGGGCAGATGTCGTCAGCAAGGAGGAACCATTTGTCATTGTAGGGGATGGCAGGGACACTCACCGAATGTGTCGCAGTCGCCCACCTCGGTGCGCCAGCTTCCAACCAGATGAACCTTATTCTCCGGGTTGCTCGCTATGCGGGGGTACCACTTCCCCACCAAGTCCACGTACTCGTCCACGGAGTCCGACTTGACATCGTGGAACACGATCGAGTGCACATACTTGCCGCGGGCCAAGACCTGACTGAAGCTCGCCTCGATCTGGGCATCCAGCTCGCGGCCCTCCTTGGTCCCGTAGATCAGGTTGGTCAATGGGCCCTGCTTCCGTTGGGGCTCGGTCTCGGCGGCCTTCGCCGCATTTCCTGTACCACGGGCGGTGCTTAGTGAGCCCAGGCCTTGGGCGACTCCTGGTTCAGGAGACGAGCCAGGCGGAGCGGCGGAGGTGGAGGAAGGGGTGGATTTCAACGCACTGGCTTCCCGCTGTTTCTGCGCCTCTACTAACTGCTCACGGAATGTCTTCTGCCGGCTGTTGAACGAGTCCTGGTTATCGGGCACGATATCGGCAAGCGAAGGCGGCCGTGTTTGCCGTAGGGCGGTAGTGCTGATTGCCCGGATGGAGGAGAGCGGGGTGGCCACCGCCGTTGCAGCTCCGACGACTCGTCGGCTCAGCATTGCGGGCGACCGTGGGGGCGGAAGGGTGAGGTTGTTGACGGGGATGAGACGTTGGGGTAATTATTATTGTCCGACTTGTTGACCGAGTCCGGACAAGGTCGAGCTCAGATGGTGTGAAGTCGATGTATGTGACAGTAATGGTGGTTGGCTGGTAACACAGAGGTGGTGGCTTCGAGGTACCGAGTCGGATGGCAGGGTCGCGCGGCAGAAGACAATGCGTATTTGTTCCGTTGGCAGCAGTAGAAGAGCAGTTATCGCAGGAAGCGACGCAGTACGCAGTACACGGAGGGGATGAAGGAGGGCAGCTCTGATGGCTAATTGGGCGGATCTGGGTTCAGAACGATGCAGGAGGTTCACCCCGCACTCAGGCAAATGAATAAGGGCGGGAGAGCTTGGTGAGCAGGATTGCTCTGATGGTGGTTGGCTGTCCCAGAAAGCAGCTCTGCCTACTTGGATGCTTGGACCATCAGGGGAATGCGGGGATGATGTCACATGGCGGGCACGTGGACTGGAAGATGGGGATGGACGGATAAATAATCCGGCTTTTCCGATGCAGTCCTTAATTAGGTGCCTACCATGGATGTGGTGCCTGAGATTCCAGGCATCAATTTTCTCGGTTGCGGCTCATTCTCACCGAAGCCTCCAAACCCTTCCGAAAAAGGCTCGTGGTAGATAGACCTTGGACTTTCCTTAGAACCACATCAATCCCCCCCAACCCACCCAACCCCGTCACCGTCAATCGCTCGCGACACCGCTCAAGATGTCTTGGCTCGGACTTACACCGTTGAAGAAGTTCCCGGCGCCCGTGTGTAAGTTAATTGCCTCCCGGACTCTCCCGCATGCTCGCGATGCACCCCACTGACTACTCTTATTCTGCAGTGCGACCAATGGCCCCCTTCTTCATTGCCGGTATGTCTAACTTGCGAGAATTATCGACTCGGTCTTGAGATGGTCGCCAAATTGCGAACTCTGGAAGGAGATAAAGCTCTGACAATTGCGTCACAGGGCTCGTTATCGCCTATGGCGTCAACGCGGCACAGAACACCATGATGAAGTGTAAGAATATCCCGGGAGTCATGGGGGGTCTGACTTCTTGCTGACTTTATATCTCTAGCCGATGAGTGGAAGAACGACCCGCGGAACGTCTACGCGAAATCGAGCCAGCATTAAAGGATCGTGCATGGCGGGTGGAAGCGAATATAGATCGACCAGCGCGACAACGAACATACCCCGACGCATGGGATATCAAACTTCGGGCGGAATTGTATCATAGAGCACCAATCGAGATGAATTGAGCTGTGTCAGGATATCGTTTCCGGGCTGTGCGAGAGATATTGTTTGAAAGCGCCCATTGCCGAGGGCAAGCTCAAACGAAGGCATAGTTGAACGACCCGAGGACGAGCCTATCTCCTACAACGCGCACTCGCAATTCCTGGCCCTACGTACGTATCACGAGCTTTGCGTCCGTCATATGCTCCAGTGCCAGGCTATTGCGTAGCCGGCTGGAGGCGTCACCAACCCGCTTCAACGAGACTACGAGGAAGAACCCACGCCAATTTAGGGCCGTAAGAAGGATATATGACAGTGGGCTCGCCTATTTTGAATTGTTGTCGCCTTTCAAGTTGTCATCTAAGAGCAAGGGATGGTCATCCTAGGCCCTTGTGACAACATCTCCGACCCTGATGTTGCAGTGGTAAGGGTAGATCGTAGATCATCTAGCAGCTGCTATATTCTTGATGTAGGACTTCTCATCTACCTCAGGAGAAGCATCTAACAAACAGAAACTAGACCACATGTTGAAGAAAATGTCAAGGAGTCGAATGAGTATGGTTATCGACCTTTTGCGGTTTTTCTCACAAACTATCTAAGCCATCACAAGTGAACAACATATTTAATTCATGTATATGCAGTTCTATCTTTTTATCCCAGTCATTAGTGGTTGAAAGGGGGCTGCGTGGAGTCCCTTCCCGGCTGGTTGTTGAGCGGAGTTGATATTTTCGGCATCAGTTGGTAAGCTTAGAATTGCTTCCGGTTCTTGAACCTCGCAACCTGATAACTCCGACGTCAGCTGTAGATGGTCCGACGGTCTTTTCCGGCTCTGCTCAAGCAATTACGACTTCAACAGCAACGGGCGGTGTTCTGTACGAGGATCTACTCGACCATGACAGACAGCGGGCAACAGAGCTCAAGTGAGTCAAGTGCCGCGGATAAGAAGAGAGCGACGAACAATGGCAGTAGCAAGAAGGAACTCAGGATTTTGATGCTTCATGGTCAGCAACTACCCCTTCCAGTCATCTCAACACCTGCATTTCGACATATCATCAGACCACGCCTACCCAAATAATTGCCCTCGTTCCCGCATGAAAGGGTTTCCCAACGAGACACATAACCCCCCTCCCCCCTTTCACCCTCCTCAACCCCCAACTAACTCCCCTTCCAGGATACACCCAATCCGGCCCCCTCTTCCGCGCCAAGACCCGCGCCCTCGAGAAGCTCCTCCAAAAGGCCCTCTCCCCGCTCGGCCTGGTCCCCACGCTGATCTACCCGACGGCGCCGAACCGGCTCTCCGCCCGCGACGTGCCGGGCTACGTACCACCACCGCCGGCGGACGAGGGCGGCTCGGCCGAGGCCGAGGCTGAGGCCGACGACTCCGACTCCTGGGCTTGGTACCGCAAGGACGAGGCCACGGGCGCGTACCGCCTCCTCGACGCGGGCATGCGGCGCCTGGCCGAGACGATGCGCGACGTCGTCGGCCGGGCACAACCGCCGCCGGAGCCCTCCTCCTCCTCATCCCCCCCGGGAGTCGGCTGGGGCGGCATCGACGGCGTCGTGGGCTTCAGCCAGGGCGGCAGCATGGCGGCGATGCTAGCGGCGGCGATGGAGACGCTCCCCCCCCCCGCCGCCGCGGCAGGTTCCGGTCCAGGTCCGGGTTCGGATCCGGCCCCGCCGCCGCGGGAGGCGCCACTGGGCGCGGACTGGGACTGGGTTGGCGCGGTGCGCGAGGCGAACGGCGGGGTGCCGCTGAGGTTCGCCGTCGTGTACAGCGGCTTCTACGCGCCTCCGGCGGAGCTGGCGTGGCTCTACGAGCCCCCGATCTCGACGCCGACGCTGCACTTCATCGGGAGCCTCGACACCGTGGTGGACGAGTCGCGGAGCCAGGGTTTGGTGGCGAGGTGCGAGGACCCCGTCGTCGCGGTGCATCCCGGCGGGCACTACGTCCCCATATCGAAGCAGTGGGTCATGCCACTGGTTGGCTTTATCCAGAAGTGTGTTTCCTGAGGGGGTTGGACTTTGCCTTGGATGCACTTGCCTACGGGTAAAGGCGAGCAAGATTTGCTATTAGTAACCCGACTTGGGGGTGCCTTGTACTGCATGGCGGAGAATTTAGAGGACAGGAGAGTGGTAGAGCGATGGGTGGATGAGATACCAATGCGATGTATCGATTTTACACTGCTCCATCTTCCGAGAGCATTGTCTAGCGCATACAATTACAATCCGTTAACGAGCCCACCTTCGGGCGATCTCCAGTTAAGGCCCTGGGCGTTCTAACGCGCCTTGACCTCCTTGGCCTCCTTGCCCTTCTTCGACTTGCCTGGCTGGATCCGAGCCATCATCTCCTCCTTTGTAATGAGGTGGTCAATCCTCTCAAGAAGGCCGAGTAGGCTCTTCATGTTGGAGCTCCATTCATTCAGGACATCATCCACATCTCTAGGCCTGGCAAAGTTGACCATGCGCGCTGGCCGGTCGATCCTTGCATATACCGTCTTGGAAGTCACCAGGTCGCTGATGTACTTCTCGGTCTCGTCCTCGGTAAGATCGAGGAGCTGGGTAAGGCGACCCATCTGGATGCGAGTATAGTACTTGGCCACGACACGCACGTTGTGCTCAATGACCCGCTTGCGCAGGTCTTGCCAGCGCTGGAAAGCCTTCTCATCTCCTGACTGGCCCTTATCCGCGTCGAATATCTCGGTGCCGCATAGATGAGGGCCAAACATCTTGGAGACCTCGGGCCATCGCATGAGCTCATGGACGGTGAAGAGCTTGAGCAGCTCAGCGTCCAAGGGGATCTGGGTATTCCGGGTGTCGCGATGGATTCTGTGGAGGAGGTCATGCTGTTCGTTGTCGTGGGGTGCAAGGATGACAAAGTAGATGACGCGCTGGAGAACCTGTACTCGTTGTCAGCTGGAGATGGAAAACACGTTGCAACATGTAGGCAACATACAGCTCGAAGCTTCTCCGGGTCCTCCTCGACGGCTTCAGTGTCCAAGACCTGTCTGTAGTGCTTGCACACATCGAGGTATTTGTCATCATGCTTCGCCAGGATGATTTGCTGCTCGTAATACCGGAGCTTCAGGTCGGTAACGTCGTCCTCCTTCTCTTCCTGCACTTCCTCGCCTCTCTCCCTCTTCTTCTCGCGTTCTTTTTGTTCCTTCTCTAGCTGTTCGGCGGTCTTCTTGGGTTTCCTCGACAAGTATCTGGTGCTTATCTTCCGGCTTAAAATGCCGGCTTGTGTCCAGTCCCCATTCTCAATGCAGAGCGCCACCTGGGCCAGAATGAACTCAACCTTCTCTCGTCGCTCCATAGACCCGAAGGTCTCAACTTGTAGCTCGCAGAGGATGTCAGCAGCCGCCTTGAGGTCGCCTTGCTGCTTCTTGATATCCGAGAGGACCTTGGTAACGCGGGCACGTTCGACTTCGACGAATATCTTGCCCTCGGTGACAGTTCGGAGGGTTTCAATGATGGACAGCTTAGTCTCTAGGTTGGGAGTGTCGTCGAGGAATCCCATGACAGTCTGTACCATCCGGGTGATAGCTTGCTTGAGCTGGCCATGTTTTTTGGATAGCACCAAGGTTTGGTCGTTGAGCAAGCTCCAGTTACCGGCATTCTTGCAAATCGTGATGATGGCGATCAATATCCGTGACGTGGAGGCGAGATCTGAGGCCTGAAAAGGTGTGAGCTGCCAGTCTTAGCAGAATCGCGGCGGAGACCCATACCTGACGCGTCTGTTTCTCGAGGCCAGAAAGCTTCTCAATAGCGGCTTGAATATCAGACTGCCCAAAAATGAAATGGTCAGTTAACTTCCATTGTCATAGCGCTTTAAAATAATAACCTTCGCAAGCTCTTCGGCCTCTGGGATCTGCTTGTCAGCGTCCTTAGTGTAGTCCTTCTCAGGCTTAAACGCTGCTTCGGCCATGTTGACGTTGGCAGTGAGGGAATCGGAACAAAATCTCCCAATCAATAATTAGCAGAGGTTATTCTCTCTCCGTATTTGTCGTATTTGTGGTTTCGTGGATGGTGGTTGACTGGAAGGAGGGAGGGCAGAGACGGAGCTGGATTCTGGATACGCAACTTGCTCCTGCCTTGCGAGGCTGGACTGAGAGGTAGCTCAGATTTGGCACACGGACCACATCTACAAGCTCCTGTCTCTTTGATATCACGTGCTCATTAACGTGACCTCCCCAATGGCCACCACTCACCACCCTGGCACCATCCTTGACAATTTTGGTACAGTAATGAAAACAAAGGTCTTGCAAAACTTACAGGCCTTGTATATTTACCTTTGCCTGTTTAAAGAACTTCAAATCCTCTGCTGCCAAGTCACCAGATTTCCCTCACAGTAATACGCTCCAGTTACCTACCTAGTCTAACCACTATCATGCCGTCTTGACGCTGTCTTCTCTCGCAGTACTGCTGACGCCGAACTAGTAGTTGAGCCACTAAAACATGCCGCTCCAACTTCATCGTTGCTGGATGCCAACAGATCAGCAAAGGTGACGCACAGCAAGACCCTGGTTTTGGACTGACGACAGGATAGATTGGCTTCTTGAGTAGTTGCCACATTTACAGTCAGCTTGAACTGACACTGAACTGCCACAGTGATGAATTGGCAGTGTCTAGTCCCACCTAGAACGTGGGGTACCCTTTCTGAGCTTCCAAATGCCAGATGCCTCCAGGACAGCCATTTTAGCTGAGACACACCTCGAAGTAACCCAGGAGCTTGTCTCAGAGCTGCTTAAGCTGCAGCCAAGTCCATATACCTAGCTAGATATGCTCCATGAAATTGTGGGGTGATAGAGAGGCTGTGTGCGGGTGGCTGCTCAGACCTCTTCGGATTCTGGCAGAAGTATACCCACTGCGGCCATGGAAGTCAAAGGAGACAAAAGATGGACATTAAAGAGAAGTACTGCATACAATAAATAGTTGCCAAAGTCAAAGAAACGACAAACAGTGCAAAGTGATGGACGACTTCTACCCATCGGATTGGTAAACAGTATAGTGACAATGACATACCACGAATAGTCGAGGTGGTTCCATCCAAGACCGATGTTCCTGGCTTTCTGTGTAGAATAGAGCTCATAGACCAAATACGTTTGACCACAATATTCGCGGAGCTGCCTAGAGAGAGCTAGAGTCAGTATCGGCCAAGAACTGAAGGCGACCTTGATCAGAGCCCTCCTTCTGTCAACCAGCTGCATGGAGGGCGAACAACAGACTCCTGCAAACCGTTGAAGAAAACTGGCTTCGATCCCTTTACTACCAGTCTCCAGAACCTGTATGCCCACTTCAAATTCCACTACCTTCTACCCCATTACGCAGGCATCCATAATCCGGAAAGGTATTTATCTGCAGCCCAGAGGCTCATCACAAGCTCAGAGGCCCATCACAGGAAGAGCAGTTCCATCTTTTATGACGCCAGCCCGCCTCTTCTTGGCTCAACTCACCTGGCCTTGACCATCCGACCGGCACGACAAAAAGAAAAAAAGAAGAAGAAGAAAAAAAGATGACAGCACGCAAACATACGACCGTAAGCGTAAGCGTCGCGGAGAAAAATGGCGTCAAGACCGAAACGGCGATCCTGACCATCCATTCCGATGGAGACACCACAGCAGATGACTCGAGCGACTCGAGCGGTAGCGGATCCGGCCTGCCGCGCCTCACCCCTGACGGGGGGCTAAGCGAGTATGGATCGAACGCCGCCACTGATAAGGGGGCAAACGAGGAGCAGTCGAATGACGCCGCCAAACCCAGGGGCCCCTGTGTCTCTCCCGAGACAACTCCTCCAGGAGACACCGACCGACAAGCCCACCACCGGGAGCAGGTGACCACCACCGGCTTTGGAGACGGCCCCACGGCCCATCACCTCACCATCGAAAACCTGCACTCCGAGCTAGCCCGCCAGTCCGCGATCCGCGCGCGCGGCCACGAGCTAGCGGCCAAGGGCCAGCGGGCCACCTTCTCGGCCTCGGCACGTCTCGACGCGGCGCAGGAGATGGTGGAGGAGGGCCGGCGGCAGACAGAGCGGGCGCGGCGGGCCCTCCGCCGCGGCCGCCAGGTGGAGCGCCGCGGCCTCAGCTATGTGCGCATCGCGGAGCGGGAGGAGCGGCGCTTGTGGCGCGAGCTGTCGTCGGAGACGACCGCGGCGGGCCGGTGGGGGGCCGGTGGGGAGGCAGCGGTCGGGCACGATTATGCCGCTCCGTGGGCGGCTGAGGTGGCGACGATACCGGGCGAGGTGATGGAGGTGTGGCGAGAAAGGTTGCGACGGAATAAGGCGTAACGGGATGTTGGCTGCCCGCTGGCGAACTGCTCCCGGGGCTAGCAGCTCGGCAAAAAGAACCCGCAAGGTTACATACCTGGTTCTGGCATGTAACATGAGGAACCAAAAAAAAACCTCTCGGGTATTCGGACGAGCGAACGGTAGTGGGCCAGCATAGGGCGTTGCTTGTTGGAGAATTGGCGTCGCTTAACCTGTCTTCCCGGAGCAATAATGGATGGTTTTTCCAGATCCACGTAAGCCCCTGCTTGATTGAGCTACACTTTGTCGTCCTCGTGCCAAACTGCCAATTGATATTGCCCAATGGGGTCCGCAGGTAGGGGAGCGCGATGAGGCGCGCGACATAACTCCTCTGCCGATCACAGATGGTCTATCAGCCAGTTGCGAGCACTGGATGGACCTCTGGGATAACCTGTATGGCGAATCCCAGCAAGCGTGGCAACGTGTCGGGCATCCTTGGAATAGGGATGTATGTATTCCGTATGACAATTGCAGTATAAAAAGGGTCTAGATCGACGGTCACCTGGCACATCACACATCCCAAAAAGGAAATGTATAGATATACATTGGAAGTGAAATCAAGCAACCAGCGGCGATGTTGGGTTCTCGAAACTGGAAATCTGGATGAGGTGAAGTGGAGGTTGTGTCGATCAAAAGGAGGCTCAATCAAGTCATCACTACGTTGTGCATACATTCCATACATCTTCTGCAACCTGGGCAAGGAAGGAGGGATATGTGGCAGTGGGACCAATCAGAGTGGCACCAGAAGCACCCAGTAGCCACGATGTGGCAAAAGCTCCTGCTGTGGCTGAGGTTGAAGGGCAGTAACCAATCGGGAATGTTGCTTTGCTGAATTGCGTCAGGAGTCCAGAACGGTCTGGAATCAATTTTTCGCCTTGTCCCGCTTCCCTGGGTTGTACTATGAACGATGGGGAAACGCGAACTAGGAGCTTTCTTTCCTTGCGCGCATTATACAGTACAATCCAATAGGTAGAAGTGGGAGGAAGAATTAAATGAAGCCCTAAGGCCCAAAGTGCTCTAGAGAGAGACTGGGCGGGAGCAGTTTGGCGAGGCGGGTTATCCATTGAATTGGAGCGGGGGCATACCCATCCATGGGTGCTCCGTATCGCGTGGGTAGAGGGGTACCAACCTACCTACTATGTATTTAGCAGGGTCTAGGGTGGCCCAACTTTCCTCGCAAGTGCTTCAAGGGTTGCCCACTCCCGTCAGAACCTGGACTTTTGATCCACCATTGAAGTTCGTACGGGATGTGTATCGGTGATCCGTCGCAATTGGTTCTTCAGTCTTTTGGAAATAAATGTTTGGCCGCCAAGCAACGGCCAGGTAGAATATTGCCCTCGCAACTGATCGTTGCCGCTGCACCCGTTCGCCGAGAAAATTACTTATACTGGTGGAGTACTGCAGTGATGTATCGATGTTAGTGTACTGTACAACCACCTATACCGCGTACTAGGGAAAGAAGGCAGGGGACCTTCCCGACCTGGGTAACCCCCGTCGTCCCAGCTCCCTAGGTAGGTAGCTAGCTCGCCTCCCGGAGCGCCCCGCCGAGGCAACTAAATGGCGTCCGCCGCTCGCATGATACACAGTACACTGCCGCGGAACGCACACGACCACGGGCTTCTTCCCTTGGGTCCTGGTATTTTCCAACCACACAGGCTGTGTGGCCGGAGCAAAACAGAAGAAGCAAGGGTTGGAGTCGGGCAGATACCCAATTATTTCCCAATGTCCAACTACCTGCCATATCCTGCCATATCCCATCATGCTAATCCTGTGGCGCACATGGTCGGCCGGCGCCCAGCATGCAAGCTGTGCAAGCAAGAGAAGGCGGGTGCAACCGAGAGTCAAAAAACGGCGCAGCCATTCGTTCTTCATTCCCCGTGTTAAAAGCCCCATGTACTTACTGCACGTAAACATGCCTTATTACTGATTGCTGTGAGTGTGGCGCAAGGCTGGGCTACGTTGTTAGCAATAGTTGTCCCGGCTGCCAACACAGGAGGGTATTGCGACTGACTGACTGACTGACTGACTGCTTGACTGCCGTACTGACTGGCCGACTCGTGCCACAAAATTGTCTAGACCCCTTACCAATGCCCACATGACATGAGTTTGAAAGACACACTTACCTAGACATGACCGTTGGAGACCGTTTTTGGGATTCTGGTGGTTAAGCCACATCGGCTCCAAGGCCAAGCTAGGCTTGATCAAGACCTAAAAGGTACTACGTAGTAGGCTTGTGTGGCCTCGAATCGCTCAAGCCTCGTGGCAAAGGAGCAGTGGGGTGGGCTAGGGTTTTTGATGCCATGTCGTTGTCGATAAAATCGACAAGTCGACAAACCAACATGGACGAAGGGTGAATAGGCAGTGACTAATTTGGTTAGAGGATGAGAAAAGATTAGCCCTTGGTTCCGTGAGCTCTCCAGTACATCAAGTAAGCGCCGCCTGCCGCCCCAGCCTATCACACGCGCTAAGGAGCTTTTCCTCCGGCCAGATGCCCGTAAGGTACTCCATTTTGGGTATGCCTGGGGGGGAGCGCAAGTCTAGGTAAGGTGGCAGAGGGACGAATTTATACCGCACATCCATTCCGTTTCTTCCATTCCAATCAAAATGCTAACTGCTGCCTTGTTGTTCCTTGCCAGGCTGGCATGCACCCCCCCCGTCCAGCAATAGTACCGGATCCCTTCCTCTTTCAGTGCCCGTCTTTCTCTTTCGTGTGTGCCACCATGCTCCAGCGTCCGGTTTGTCATCAGAGAGCTCCGCCAGGCCCCTGCTGATCCGAGGGAGACGAGACGGACCAGGACTGGCTCAAAGTGGCGAAGGAGGGGAGCGCCATACAAGCTTTGCTATCAGACAAGTTAAGCAGCCAGGGAACATCTGCTTCCCCAAGACCCAAAGCGCACCACATCCAGGGCGGGCCGGTGCAGCCACATCTCTCCCTATACCAAGCCACACTGGGACCGCTGACAAGAGACGCCCAAATGCAAATGCCCATGCCGCCAAAACATCACCGCATAGAACCCCAACCCCGACGAGCCTCATCTCCTTCGAGCCCTGTGTCGGACACACGAGGACCGCGGTTTTAATGTGCACTGAGCACACCGCTGACTGCCCTGTCTGCGGGAAACAGTACCTTGTTTTTGTCGAGTTCTGCTCTGAATATCACCCCCCACTACTAGCCTGCCCAGGCGGGAGAGTGTGCGACACGATCGACATGAACGAGGGCTCCTGTCCGAGTCCCGTGTGCCCAAACAGTCGTACAGGAGGCTGTGCCGTTATCTGATGCTTGTGCTCGGCGGTGGCCAGTTTGAACCGGCACCTGGCCCGGAGCCCGTGGCCTCCCCAGTGGCCTCAGAGCTTCTGTCCGCCAGCTCCTACCTCGACGACCTGATCGATCCCCTCATACTCTGGAAGCTCAAAGTCGTACTTTTTCGCAATCGTTGGACTGACGAATCTGATTGTTTGGACAAGGTTAGTCAGTGGCTTGGATTTGGGCGAGAACTTGCACATGGCGGTTTTCGGACCTTCCGCCGATAAAGTGTCGCCCCTTGAAGTGCTTAACCAGGGGTTTCGGGGCCGTCAGGCTGACCAGGACATCAGGGTTGAAGGCGCTCCCAACGCCGGACTTTGGCGGCCCCTCTTCGATATTCCAGGATGAAGGAGCGTCAACAGCCGTCACAGGGAGTTTCGTCTCCCCGAGAGCCTGGATCACGGCAGGAAACGGCTCCCGAACCTCACCGGAGAAGCTGAACCCTGTGGGATGATCAGTCTGGATTCCCTGGACGGACGGCAATCGAGAGAACGAACCGAAAATGGCGTCCACGATGTGATCGGCGGACTTCAGGGCAGACGGAAAGTCGTCGGCAAAAGGGATTTCGAGGTCTTCGAGTTGCTTCACCAGTCGCTGCGAACACGATGAGTGACTTGGCGGAAGAAGAAAATAAAAGAAGGAAGAAAAAGCCAGCCGGACTGGAGAGCAATGATAGCACCATAATATACACGATAAGCTGGTCTGGAGCTCCAAGAAGAATTGTCTCTCAGGTGTCGTATAGAGCGAAGACAGCGAGGAGAAAAGGAGACAGAATGAGAAACAATAACCAGCCCCTTTTCCGAATCATGACATTCGAAAAAGTTGGCAGATAAGCCAACTGGTATGGACGATCTCCCTGTTACGAAGCTCGAGACGAGGCCGTCTCATGTGAGCTCATAGAGTGGAAAGGACAAATAGAGAACATATCTCACCTCGTACAAATCATTCTTACTCCGCTTCGGGTAATATATGGTGGGCTGGTAGCCATAGTGGCGTAAATGACGGGCAGCGACGAGGCCATCACCACCTGACTCGGTGAGCAAACTTGTGCCAACCTCCCCCGTTCCCACGATGATTACTGACCATTGTTGCCGGGACCACAAGCAACTAGAATTCTACGACCTCTGCTTGGCGGATGAACACGATAGACTGCAGATCAGATTGAGTCAGTGCGAGAAATAGATGCCAAGACTCGGCATTCCACGTTGGAGCCACAAGAAGACGTTGAGGCCGTAAAAACAAGACTACAGAGAATAGTAAACAGAAGGTACGGAGGCAACGGACCCGCCTGCGAGACAGAGAGGCCAGCGAGTTCCATCAGTTGATCAATGGAGAACGCGCCGGTACTCATGAGCTCCTTATCCAAGGCAGCTGCGGCTTTCGCGGAGAGCGTCTGTGAAGTGAATGTCGATCAGCCAATGGTCTTGAAACCATGGAGGCCACCTGAACTCCTGAGGTTGGAGTGTTGTGTCCCGAGACAAACATAAGTCACCGTCACCTCACCTTGAGAGCCATGGCGAAAATTGAATGAGTTTAATAAAATAATAACGCAAGTGGGATGGCAAGATGCTGGAGTGAGAATTAGCAGGTCGGCTGCTGACGAAGACCTCGTCTGTTCATTTCGACTTGCAGGGTGAAAGTCGACTGACATCATTGGGGATTCTTAACAAAGCACGGACCCCAAGTATGGACGACGGGATGGAACCCGACTCGGCCTCCCAACGGGGGTGACTAATCCGGCGCGGAAAAGCCCAAGAGCCGACTCCAAATTTCCGTGCCTGTGTTCGATCCCTACAAGCTTCAAGCAGCTGCAAGTTCAACAAGATCCACCGCTTCAACCAATGTCCAAGACACAATGGTAGTCCGCATCCGACTGGCGCGCTTCGGCCGCACCAATGCGCCGTTCTACAACATCGTCGTTTCACATGCAAGGTACGGCCCCAACATCGTGAGCTGCCCGGAGACGGCAGGGCGCAGACATCGCTGACATTTGCTTCTCTCGCCAGGACCGCGAGGAACAGCAGACCGCTCGAGGTGATCGGCACCTACGACCCGATCCCGAAGAAGGACACGTACGACGAGTCCGGGAGGCTGCACAAGGACGTCAAGCTGGACGTGCTGAGGGCCAAGTACTGGATAGGCGTGGGGGCACAGCCGTCCGATACGGTCTGGAGGCTATTGTCCATGGTACGCACCGGGTCCTTCCCCTCCCTAAGCACGCGCTCGAAGCTCTGCTCTGCGCTTTTTTGAAGGAGGAATAGGAAGCTAACACAGGCGCCACAAAGGTTGGCATTTTGGAGCCGAAGCAACGCCCTGACCAGCAACGCCAACCACCCCCGACTCTTTCTCCCCCGGCCGAAGCGAGCGAGGGCGGGGCGTCGACATGACGCCTCTCCCATGTGGTTGGATTCTGTTTGTTTGGCAATCCGTGTATAAAAAGCATATGGACGGCGTTATGTAAAAAAGGTGAATTTGCTTGCTTGTATCATAGGGAACTCAGAAAGGGGCAAGTCTCCAAAGATGCGATGTCACCGTTTCGAAGACCCAAGCGAAAGTGTTCTTCTTATGTAAGCCCCGTTGGTGAAAGTTCACCTCTTCTAGGTATGCCGTTTCGCCCCGTGGGCCTGGGCTTTGGCCGGTAAGCACCATAAAGGACGCCCCATGGAACATATCCGTGGACCGATGCTGGTTTATGGCTGGGAAGAATACAGTCGCCCAAGATGTACTGCTAGGATCAAGACGACGATATCCATTAGCAGACTGTTGCGTATGCTAGCGAAGGCAGCGAAGGCGGAACGGTCGGAATCTCTCTCGGCGAGAAGGGGGGAGAGGGGGGTATTTGCAACAATGCCACGAAGTTCCCGTTACTTGAATCAATATGGGTGTTGCAGAAGATAAGAAAGTCTGTTACTCTTGAGTTGGAAGTGAGTTTCTTGATATGAAAGACCATTTGCCGGACCAACTTTCTCAAGGCAGAGCTCTAAATCGCCAACATATATCCCGGTTACCTTCAGCTGTTTGTGATTCTTGTGCTTTGAAAATCTACTCGACTGGTAATCATTAGGTATGCCTCGGTGAATCCAACCCTAAATAACGCGCTGGTGATAATGCTATATGAAACAGGTGCTTGTTTGCACCTCCCATCCTCTACCCCTCTAGTCTCTATGCCCAACCTAGTCCTACTAGACCTCCACTAGACAACCCTTTAGTGTGACGACACTGAGACGAATGCGTTCATGGAAAGACAGACAACCATGATGCAAACGCCGTATATCGCCAAGGACAGGGCGAGTTTCCGCAATAGGAAAGTCTCGATGTGTTCAAGATCCCACCTCCACTTCCTCCGCCATCGTGAAAATAGCCGGCTGCCAGTGGCACTGATATTGCTGGCCAGGCTCGCCGTGCTGTCTAACATCCGGGAGCCACCTGCTTCTGGTCCGTCTTCAAGGCCAGGGTCGGACGAAGTCTCGAAGTCAGCATCGTCATCCTCCTTGGATAGACGTTGATGGTGTGGACTATCGGGGTCGCTGATCTTGTAGTAGAAAAGGCCGGGTAAGATGAAGCTGATGGCAGTCGAACCAGTGCTACCGACATAAGCAAGCACGCGGTCGAGACTAGAGACAGTGAGAGCTGTCACGTAGCTCAGCACCAAGATGACAGTGGTGATGACCGCGAAACGGAGGTCCGACATGGGAGCCGTTGTCGGTCCATGGTCATGACCGCCGGGTGCATTTGGCGTAGGAAGGAGTGACTGGCTCGCGGACGACGAAGGCCGACCTGGACTGCCAGTCTGGGTACGTGAATTCCCGTTGGGGCGCCAGCTCAGGACAGCATCGAGAGAAGCCCGGCACGGATGCACCTGAAGGGGAATACTGAAAGTGACCAGTACAACGATAGCCGCCTTTGCAATTGTTGAAGCAACCGACGGAGCATCTAGCAAGTATGTCTGTCAGATAGATGGGCTAGGCATTGTGCAGGCAGCGAGACTTACACATCGAGACAATGTTACCCACGACGCTGTTGCCGAATGTGAGATACCCGGTGATTGCCACCAGGATATAGATAGACGCCGCTGAGCCGATGCTCGCACTGATTACTCCAACAATGCTGTGTTGCGTGAGTTGCTAGTGCCAGGCAATTGAGACAGGTTGCGAAAACTCACCTCGCGGGGGAATAGTCCTTGATCTCATTGAGAATAGAAAACATCTGGCAGGGTTTTAGAAACCTCCGTGTCTCGTTCGAGGAAGAGAACTTACGTTTTGATGGCAGGTGTAGGCAAAAATAATGACTGAGAGATTGCCCAAGGCGGCGATTGGGCCCTCCCAAGTAATCACCCGGATGTCGCCCCTGTCTGGGTGGGAGGAAGCGGCGAAATGGTAGACGACTAAGATGATGAGATAACCAATGGACACCAATGCCACAATGCTGGTGTACTTGAGGGAATCGAGTCTCCTCAGGAAGCTCAGGGGTATGATGAGAAGCATGAAGGCTGTGATCCAGAAATTGCGATCCACCAAGAACGGCACATCGTCGGCGCCGCTGTCGAAACCCCTTACAACTCCCGGCATCAAGTCGCCAATGATAATGAGATAGGAAACGCCGACGCCGAAGCACTTGATGGCAATGGCGGCATCAAAAATGACGGCCGCATTCGGATAGGTTATCTGCGATAGGGCGAAGAAGGAGGAGGATCCTCGGTCGAGATATCGGGCGCATCGAGACTGGAGGTAAAGCCCGAATGCGGAGGTTAGACCACACCACAGGATCAAGATGACACCGAGGACGATTCCGAAGTGCGAAAGGGCAGCCGGCATCGCCAGAGTTCCGGCTCCAACAACTGTCACCGTACGTCAGCATACGGACCTTCCTAGCCCTTTTCCTGACCCCCCAAAAATAACCTACTTGTGTTTAAGAGATTGACATTGCTGCTCATCATCGAGGCCTGGCCTCCTGCATCCTTTGGGCTTCGCCCTCTTCGTGGTCTGGTCATCTCGCCGAGGCTGTCACTCCCTGCCGATGTTCCATCCGGAATGGCCGAGTACTGCGTCATATGCCGGAGGGAGGTCTCCTATACGAGCGAAGTGGTCGATGCTGAAGGCCAGCCAGGTCGGCGATTGGCAATGCGACGGGGCCAGGCAGGCACCGTGCGGCTCGGACAGGCAGTGCGAGTGTGAAACCGAACTTCGTCCTTCTTTCCTCCAGTAGCCGTACGTTAATGTCGGCAAGTCGATGTCGGGGCGGGTGCGCTGTCCGAAGGGATGCTGAAGATGAAGCCAGATGCTCGTGTGACGTTTGCCACCCAGGTGCGAAAGTAGAGGCCTGGCGGGAGCCACCAATCAACTGTCCGCTGTCCCTTTTGAGATTAATCCGTATCCGACGTCTTGGCACCCCCCGTTTTCTGATTCCTAGGTTCCACGCCACTGACGCGATATAGGTTCCTCGACCAGCCAATCATGACCCTGGCACCTAACTTTCGGGTGTGCTAACCCAATTAGGATTGGGCTACGTACAGAAGGGTCAGAATCTCAGGGTTGCCGATATTTTTTTCCTTTCGAGTTGATCTTGTTCTAAGTATTTTGTCGACAGTTTTGATCTTTTTGGCTATGGTATCCTGTTAAGAGTATTGAGCAAGTCTTCATGGTAGGTATACCGTCGGATTGGTGCTGTTGTATCTCTGTCTCCCCTTGTTGAGATTATGTCATACCAAACGAAGGCGCAGCAAGGGGCGAAGCTTGCAAATAATCTGTCAAAAGACGGTTGATTGGCAGTTACTACAGTAGTATCATCTGCCAATACCGGTGCTGTGTGCCATTCCTTCACAGCTCTGCTACTGTAGACCTATCCGACGCCCGTTGAAGAGGCTTTCGTTCCCAACTGGGAAGTTGTTCATAAGGTCCGCGAGTGCCTGAACCACCGCCGAATCGATGCCCTTGAGGCTCAGATTTGACTCTGGGAAAGGCGCAAATAACTTGTTGACCCTCACGAGGACCAAATCGTCATACGCGGGAACGTCTAGTCTGAAAAGATCTCTTGGCTGTGTATAAGAGAAATGGACTGAAACGCCGAGTTAAAGGTCACCGTTATGGGTTGACGCGACGAGAGTCCCTTTTTGACAGAGATCTCTCTAACATTGCAATTATGGTATTTCACCACGATAGCTGTAGGGTCCGCCCGGTCCTGGACTTCGCTGGTCAATGGCCGGAGATGGCCAATGCCTTGGAATTGTAATAGAAACAAACTTGCTCGGCTGGTCCCCTTTTTTTGCGGTAGGTACTCCGGGGTCGGCAAGGTGGTCTGTGCTCGGGACCTCGATAGCCACCTTCGACTCTCCTTGTCCTCGACATTGCATCAGAACCTTGCTCTTCATAACCACTATTCAGAGGAATAGACACAGCACAGCCAATTGTCTTTGTAAACCAGACCCCTAAAAGCAGGAAGACTAGGTCGCCGGGGAAGTCGGCGGCAAAAAGAACATAACAAAACAGACGAGCATCATCAAAGCTACACGCTCTTCCAAGTCCCCGCAGCAATGGACCAAACATTAGATAAAACCTCCCTCGACACTATCTCCCTCCTCGAAGAACGCCTTCTACGCATTGAGCATCTCCTCTACGGTCCATCAGCACCATCAGCTGCCCCTTCAGCCGACTCAGCAATCCACTCGCTAGAAGGCCTCGAACGCCGTTTCTCGCAGCTCCTATCCCGCGTCCGCGTTTACGCCGAGCTCCTAAAGATTTGTACGCCGCCTACCTAACCCACCTACATACCTAATACCAAAGCCCTCACGGCCCCCATCTCGCCCTCCCCTCGCCCTCACCAACCACAACCACAGCCCACCCAAAGAAGACCAAGCTAACCAAACGCCCTCCGCCAACACAGACAAAGCCCACCCCTCCCTCTTCCAGCCTACCTCCCCCTCCCAACCGCCCTCCCAGCTCCCCGCCGAGTCCCTCCGCTCGACCGTCCTCGCGCACGCGACCTCGTTCCCGGGCACGGCGTCGGCCCTCACGGCCGTGACGGCCGACACGCCGGTGCCCGACGCGTCGGCCAGCGCGGCGCTGGCGGCCCTGCTGCCGCGCGCCCGCGGCGTCGAGGCCCTGCAGCTCGCGCAGGCCGCCGAGGTGGCGCGGCTGCGCGCCCGCAGCGAGGCCGCGCTGAGGGGCTGGCACGAGGGCCGCGTGCTGAGGTACGGCGGGTGGGTTGCGGGCGTGGAGGGGCGCGTCGGGGTCGTCGAGACGGGGGTCAGGAGGGCGGAGAGGAGGGCGGTCGAGGAGGCGAGTTCGGTTTGAGGGGAGTGTTCCTGGCACATCGAAACTCGGCTGGGAATGGTGAGCTGGGACGCCATCGTGCTGAGAGCTATGGGCGGTGAAGACTGGTCGGTTCTCCCCTGCCATGTCTGCAGCCGATCTGAGGGAGCCTCCCGGCGAGGCTATGTCGCCGGGTGATCTCGATGTGTGTGTCTCATTGCCCCAGACATTCTGGCAATCCCCTCTACGGCAATTGGATTCTCAGCTGTTCTGTTCTGTTCTGTTCTCGGTTTACGAGCCTCCGTTTGGTTTCCATCACTAGGCAAGGTCTTGGACGGCAATCCACCTTAGCCGATATGGGGTGGGTGCTGTTAACGAAACGCAACAAACCCTGCCCCCGAAACCGGGCGATCAGAAGGCCCGCAGAAGGATTTACAGTTTGGTTGGGACGGGGATGGCCAGCCAGGTGGCCGGTGTGACTACTGAGAAAAGGACGACTTTGGCCATCCTGACAGTCGATGTTTCTCGGTTACTGGGAGTGGGAGACCATGCCTCGGCCCCCACCAACATTTCTGGATTAAATAACCTGGTGCCTACAGCCGGGAAACGCTGTGTGTCGATCCCTCTCTCGCCATGCCTAGTTCTGAGGGGAAGCGACGTGCTCGGGGATCGGGCCCTCCAAGGTTGGACTACAGCCTTGCTGTCCAGGCAGGATGAGGCTCCTAGGCAGAGATTAAAGGTTGTGCACCGGTTCTAGAGGTCAGGACTAGTGTTGCGGTTGTCCAACAATCGAATCATGGCCGGGATGTGCGTCTCCGTGTTTCGGGGGCCATTTAGCCCAGGATATGCCGCGCGACGCAGGTTCACGTCAGGGCAGCTGGAGCTGGTTAAGGCGATCAGGGTGTGGGAAAATGCATCTTGTAGCGTTTGGGCGAAGTGCCCTCTCTACCCACTGGGAAAGTGGCATGTCACGGCGAGCAACACATTCTGGCAGACGATTGAGATACGCGTAAACAGATAACCTGATTGTCTTGTTCACGAGGTGAATCCCTTCAGTTCCACCAGTCCAACAGTGTCTGCGGAAAAGAAAATGGGAAAGCGTCGTGGGGGCCGTTTCCTTGAGATGTGGACACTTAACAGCACACTTCATAATAACCCATGCGTCACTCGGCGAATGTGACGTTTCCTCTTCCCCATTCAATATTCAATCCAGACGGTGATGCGGATGCTAGATTAGAACTGGCCTTGGCTGGGGCTTATCAATCACGAGTCACTATCTGCGCTGGGCGGAAATGAATTAATTTGTCTCTGGAGGCGGGAACCCTTCTTGCCCACACCATAATCGATGGCGCATAATGGGAGGGGATGGAGCGAAAGTCAATCGGACAATTCGCTGCGACAGGGGTAGTTCCGCTTCAGCTCTTCTGGGCACCATGAGCGTAGATGGAATTCCTCCAGATGCCATGTATGTACGCATATGGTAATGAATATCCCCTGGTCGAAACTCTCCGCACACACATGTGGCGCCTAGACCACCGCCTAAGCGTCCACGCTCGTCCTGTGCGATGCGTTTCCCCTCCTCCAAGCGAGGATCATGAGAACGGATTCACGGTCAGAGCCAAGGGGCATCAGGCATCAGGGGCCACAGGGGGTGTCCGTGTGGTGGCAGCTCACAGCACCTTCTGCAGGTTTGAAGGCCGACGGGACTTGCTCAACGGCAACCGTCATCGGCCTGCAGGGCTGTCGATGGCGGCTGCGCTATAAGGATGATCTCCTGCACCGATGGTGAAACTTCGATTATCGTCCCTGCATATCGCCAAAGACATCAGACAGTTCTCTGCACCAGTTCTCTGTAGAGAAGTGACAGAGACGAATGAGGGCTGAGGAGAGCGAATACTAATTTTAATTTCACATCTAGTGCTTCGAGGGAAGGACATATTCGGGAACGGCGTGGCTGATAGGACACCAATATAGCACCTGCAAAGCAATCTACCATACCTATTGTCTGTGGCTGGACTATTGGATTTGACTTGCTTGTAAGCTTGGAGAATTCTACCGCCGTCAATGCCTATACAATCACAGGGGTTATGTTGCTTCTCTAAGCCGGGACACTCGCACCACCTCCGAAGACACCGGCCCCGGGTCCGTGAGAGTAGCGGCCTGCCCGCCGCCCGCGGTTGAATGCGTAGCCGAGGGTCAGGATCGTCTAGACAATCCTATGATGATTATGTTTATCGGCGTCTCTGCATCCACCGCAGCACTGCAAGCAAGTTCGGTTAAGCAGAACTAGGTTCCGTGACTCGGCTCGAGCCGAGCGGAAAGATGCATAACTCTCTCAATTACAGATCGTGGGCCTACCATAAATTCGTCCCAAGTTGGATTCGAAGGTTACTCCAGCTGTAGGTGGTTAAGGTTCACAGATGCCACCCTTAAGCAGTGCCCTCCGAGGACAAGACAAGCCGACAGCTGGGATCTAACTGGGCCCTTGGAGATACGGCTGGGAGTAAGGGTCTGAAAACAATAGGTATGAAGCAACAATTAAGTACACCAAGCAACTCTCAGCGGTCAACGGTAGCCTGTATCGAGCTCTGCTGATATGAAAGAGATTTGGTAACAATGCACCGCAATCACATGACTCCAAGTGTGGGGGAGCGTCGAACCTCAGATTGCCGGAGGTGCGGAACGAAGCTGATTTGGTATTGCCGACCTATCAGAAGCTAGGGAGTCCTGGAAGAGTTCGCGACGGCCAATCAACCTTGCACACATCCCCCTTTCGGCAGGGAATTGAAACCCCGTCGAATCTCAAACTGTGGAAATGGAATCTAAGCCTAACTGTGCTCTTTTTCCCTGTACATCCGGAGCGCGGAGAGCGTACAGGCGCCACAGAGCACACAGCATAGGTTGACGGGGGACTATGAGCGTTGCGATGTCTCGAGGCCAGTGTTGATAGCCACCCCGGAAACTCGCCCACCAACCCCAAATAGCCCTCCTCCACTCATCAATGTCTTGGTTGCTTGAGGCCTCACAAAGTGCCCCTTCCCACACTCTGGCTTGGCTTCCGTCGTTGGCTGCTACGGGCCCGTCATAGGCGCGGATTGACAACGCGACAGTGGAGAAAGATGCAGCCTGAGATCTTTAGGTAGGTATATGTAGTAGATCGGTACGGACTACGAGAAGCTCCATGTTATACAAATTGGGCGATGCCCACTCCATCAATGTTCATGCAACAAGATGATGGTCCAGCGCAAAAAACGAACGGACTGACTCAAACTCTCAAACCTGACCACCACCCCCTTGACTCCCTGACTCCCTGACTCCCCTGACTCCCTGCCCACTCCGGCCACTGCGAGTCACCCGGGCATCAGCCACCCGCCATCAGCCAATGCCAGACAGCCCCACTTCTTCTCCGGCTGTGCGCTGCAGAACTGTAGTGCATAGTACCTAGGTAGGTACCTCGTAGAGTGGTGTCTGCAAGGAGTCCTGCACGCACTCGTTCCTTTCCCGCCCCATCCCATCCATTCCCCTTCCTCACCTCCTCTTTTCCCGCCCGCCTCCGACCCTCAATTCCCTCTTTTTAGCACCGCCAACATATCTCCACCGTTTTCTATTCTCGACACGAACCTTCACGACGATTAGAATACGCTGGCTGGAACTGCGATTTGAGAACTAAGAGTTGGGATTTTAGGAGAGACCGAGGGACGGAATTCGGAACTAGGTCGAACGATTGACTAAGTGCTGTACTACGAGAAAAAGAAGGAACCTCTAGGCTCGACAACCAAATCCCTACCGAACCAGACCAGCGAGACGAACAAAGAATCTCTCGAACCGAGTCCATTCGCGCATTTTCCCCTTCATTTCACGACAATCGTTCAGTCACCTGCTTCCATCTTTGCAATCGTTCTGTCTCTCATTTTCAGCGTCTTGCTTGGCTGCCAGCCGCCTAGAGACATTCTTGACACCCGGACGCACGCAGTCCTTCATTCCTTTGCCTGCCCGCCTTTTTACTCGACTCACCAACCACGCACCCAATCGCCTCCAAGTTAGAAGACGACACTCACACATTACATCGCCTCCCCTATGACCCTGCTTCGTAGGACTGTCGATTGAATCGCCCCGTCTTCAACCTTGGACCTCACCTAATAATTGTCACCCTCAACAACACTTGCCCTTATGCCCTCCTACGGATCCCTCCATTCCCCATCGCTCAGGAAAATGGAACACTCACGGGTGCAATATGGCTCTGCCCATAGGGGCATCAACTTTGGGAATGTCGTGGGCGACCCATTCGCCCTGGCCACCATCTCAATCTCAGCAGTAAGCATCCCAACCAGTCCTGCTCTTGGTGCTGCCTTGCCGCAATCTCCTCGCAATGTCACGGTGGGATTTGGACTCTGAACCTTTCGCTAATTGTCCAACTTAGTTGGCATGGATTATCGCCTTCTTCGCCTCTATTTTTGCGCAGATCCAGACCGGTTCTTCCTTCCCGACATACTCATGGTGGGCTGTTGTCTACTATTTCTTCCTCGTCGGCGGCATCTTCGTTGTCGTAGCATCAGACACCACCCAGACGTACCATGTGGCTGTAGTAGGATATCTTGCTTGTGGCCTGGTCCTCTCGACATCCTCCGTCAATGGCCTGGTTTATTCGTCCAACGGTGCTAAGGAAGCCGCTGCGGCTGGATTCATCTTGCTCTCCATGGTGACGGTGCGTTCCAGTCCTTCCTTATACCCCCTCTCAACCTGTGGCCTTGGCTAATTCTGTTTTGATCAGGTCGTCTGGATCTTCTACTTCGGCTCGGCACCGTCGGCTGTCCCTCGTGCCTATATTGACTCTTTTGCCCTGAGCAAGGAATCCACCATGAACGGGCAGACCCTGAACGGTGGCTACACCGGTGGTCGACCCGAGACTTCCACATCTGTCCAGCCTCCGCAAATGTACACGTCGGCTCAGTTGAACGGATTTGAAAACCCCTCTCCAGTTGGGGGCATGACTACGACTCAGCGCAACTCGACAATGAACCCCGGCTTTGGTCCAGCCAATCCCCCCAAGCCAGCAGGTGCTCCACCCACCGAGGGGGAGATTGTACCCCCTACCGAGTACCCCTACCGGGCAAAGGCTATCTACAGCTACGAGGCCAACCCAGACGATGCCAACGAGATTTCCTTCTCAAAACACGAGATCCTCGAGGTCAGCGATGTTAGCGGAAGGTGGTGGCAGGCACGCAAGGAGAGCGGCGAGACCGGCATTGCCCCCAGCAATTACCTCATCCTGCTGTAGGAAGCCTACCAAGTCTGCTAGCTTCAGGATTCTCGGGCCCAAGAGTGGCCCTCCCTGCTGCATTGACCTGTCGGCATGTTGCAGGCATTGCGCTTGGGTTTTATGTGAATGTCTCATCGGGATGACGTTCTTTATACCCTAACAGAACGAATCAGCCCGGAAGCTGTGTTACAAGTGCTTATTAGAGGACAGGCTCAGGCCTGGGCCGACCTTTCGACTGAGAGTCTCACTGAACAGGATGGACAGGCGTGTGCCATCAGTGTCTTCAGACAAACGCCCGGCCACCTGGATTGCTTTTGGAGGTGTTGGAGTAAAAAGCTTTTGGGTCATTTGGGCGGATCTCGAGTCATTTCCGGGCCGGGATCTGCGTCTCTGGACGCCTTCTTCTATTCTGCTTCTATGTTGTGTGTTGAGAGTTACCCACTGTATATCTGTGTGAACCAGCACTACCCCTTAGTACCCTTTTTCTTCACAGCACCTTATTCCCCTTTGTGTTTTGAGTTTCCTTTGTTAGCTGGGACGGGTTCATGAATCACGGCAAGAGGAAAGGGATCTGGCTGCGATGGGACCATGGAGGACATTCCAAATTCAAACTGTTGAAACTGATGACATCTTGCCCATCTGTGTCCACCATCAATTATGATGGTATTGCCATTGCATGAGTCCTCTCTCTCTCAGTTTCTCAGCTAACCAGTTCTGCCTCTGACAGAACTATCATTCTGACTGGCTTCCTGAAATGCTTTGAACAGCTCCAACAAGCTATAGACAACAGGGATTATTGGGCACATTGACCAGACCGTTTTCTTAGAGAGCTCTTCCATACCACAGAGTTAGGCAAATATCAAAGCCGCTCCCCATGCGCACGTCCCCCGTACCTAAACCTAGGTATATAGGCAAGATCCTCGTCTGCAGATCTTGTTCCTTGGCCTAAGAGGCCCTCCAAACTGCTCTTCCATCATCGAAAGGTACCCAGTAGAGTGAGACTGAACCTGAACGAGGCCTGAAGATACCTCGGATGTCTCCTAGCATCTTTCCAGAACAGCCAAACAAGGAGACCAAAGCCACCAACGGCCACGCAGCAGCCAGCACCTCCACCCAACACTACCGCAGCGCCACCAGCCAGCTGTGCGAACCTTCCTCCTCTCCTCCAGTAGGTGAAACACCCGACGTCCCTCGCGCCCCTCCCCACCCCCCCCGCCTTTTCAGGCCTTAGCCTTATCCAACCTCAACCTCAACTCCCTCTCCTTCTGCAACACCTCCAACTCAAGCCTCTCAACGCTATACTTGAGCGCCTCCCTCCTCTGCCTCGCCACCTTCCCCCTGAGCGCCGCCTCCGACCCGCCGCCGCCTGCCGCGCCAAGCCTCTGCAGCCTCCTATCCTCGCGGGCCCGCGCCGCCGCGGACGCCGCCGCGGCCGACGGCTCCACCGTGGCGGTGGTGGCGGCGGACAGGCGGCCGGCGATGAGGTCCGAGCGCGCCTTGAGGGTCTCGATGCGGCGCGCCTGGCGCTCCAGCTGGCGGTCGGCGCGGTCGAGGAGGGCGGCGATGAAGGGGGCTATGTCGTCGCGGAGGGAGGACTCGGCGGCTGCTAGGGTGGGCTGGGGGATGAGTTCGTAGTGCTGGGGGGGCATGCGGTTAGTTGGTTCGTTTTGGAACGGGGGGGCTTGCGCTGGTAGGAGGAATTAGGAGGGGAAGGGGGAGATTCGTACTCGGACGGTCTTTAGGACCGAGATCAGGCGGGGGAAGTCGGCGACGCCATTTCCCAGGGTTGCGACGGAGGACTCAAGGAAGGAGAGAGAGGTGCGCAGCGAGGTGACGCAGTCGTTGTACGTCGATGTGTTTGGGTTTGATGTTGACATTGTCGCTGCGGTGGGTGTTCGCTTGATTCTACAGAGTTACTGAGGCTCTGCGGCAGTCGAATCGTCTATCACGCGAGCAGCCGCTCCATGAATGTGTTTGGGTCGGCCTGTTGGTCGTGGATCGAAGTGCATGTCGCTCTGATCGCGACTGGGGAGTCGCCAGTCGCGATGTAAATAATCGCATTGCTTGGAAGTGGGAGGTGGCCCGTGCGCTGCCCCTCCTCCTTGAACGATAAGCGCAACCCCACTTTGGGATCAACACCCAGGTTGCTAGCCCCTGAATCCTCCGCTCATCGTCAACATCCACAGGTGTTGGTCGTGATCGTTCAACAGAAGATTAGGTTGAGACTATGCCGCTTTTTCTCTCCTCTTCTGAATCGATAAAATATCCTGTGGGGCTTGAACTGGACTAAATTGCATTTCTCAAGCACACTTGTACGGAAGGATATGCCGTCATTCTGTCAATCCAGTGGTAGCCATTACTGCTTCAAGAGGAGAATAGAAACAACAGATATCTTGTGTGGCTTGTCAAACTCCTTCTTCCGTCACTAGCACGAGCTCGATAACCGCCTAACTTTGGTGAGCTTGAAGTCAACGAGAAAGTCAACGAGGTAAACTTCGTACTAGTAGCCTAATGCTTGGGAATGCAAACACATTCAGAGGTCATTCTCCCTAACTCACAAGTCGCAATGCTACTTCTCGGCGATTGTCACCCATCTACTTGATACGTGCCGTCGCGATGAAGTTCTGACCAGACAAGCTCGGCAAGGCCATCGTATTGCGGATTGTGCACCCTGCCGGGGTATCCTCTTGGTTTGTCGTTGAATTGGCACAGAAAGAGTTACACCATGATTATCTCCAGCCATCAGCTCGTCTGTGTATCCGAGGGTCCTGAATAATCCGCCTGCATCTGACGCCTTGCATTGAACTGTGTTCGCAATACATTAGTCGACGAGAGCAGCCTGTGAGCATTTATCCTCGGTCGCCAATTTATTTTCTCCTATTAGGGCCCATGTCCTCAGCTTGCAGGGTGCTAAAGTCATGATTGTCGATGTCGGCTCTGCGCGAGGGGGAGGCAATATGTGCTGTCTATAATGTAAAAGATTATGTTATCTCTTAGCTCGTCACACAAGATTTACGCCTCCCGTTCAGTCACGATCCTTCGAGAACAGTCGTGTTGAAGTTGCATTAAGCCCTTTCCCATTCTCCGGCTTCAAAGTCGTTATGTTGCCATGATCATCTCGATCAGCTCCGGAACTGATCTTCTACTCAATTCAACACCACGGCCTTCCCTGGACGTCAGGCGCTCCCAACGAAATGAATTGTCTGTTGACAGTTTGCCTGACCCAAAGAAATCTCAATGCCTTCTCCCAAGTCAACAACCCAAACCAACAACTTAAATCAACAACACCTCCTATACCCGGTAGCTGTCATGTAACAGGGGCGACTAGCTCGTTTCGCTGAGAAATGGAAATTACTTGCTTGGATAATAGACAATACCTTCCCTTTCCCCTAGATCACTTATATTAGCTATGGAACGATGCGATATTTGCCATATTGGTGGCTAGACCATGCAGGCTTACGAGTTGTAAGCTCGCTTCCCAAATCCAAGCAACATCTAGAGGCCAGCTGATTGCCAACCTCACTGTGGCCGAACGATTGATTAAAACGAAGGCCATTTCTCACATCAGCACAAATAGGAAAGTGGTGTTTTATCGACTTGCATGGCGACGTTCCCAGCTCCGAACAGTGAGAGAAACCGATGCTTCTCAATCAAATGATAGCGCCATACGAAGCCATTCGTATAAGATGCCGCGCTTACGATTATGAAAGAGGCTATGCGAGGACTCGCCGGGCGGGTTGGGCAATGAGCATGGAAAGCGAGTAAGTCACTGGATGGACGGTGTCTGAAGCCAAGACTCGGATTGGGGGATGGAGATATTCCCGGTTTTCGGTCTAGCTGCCAATCAATGGCCCTGCCCGAAGTGTTGAGGGGCTTCGAGAGGGATGACACCCTGGGCTGCGGGTGGACGGTGGATATAAAAGGGGCAGGATATCCCGTCGTTGTCCGCTCGAGGCTGCTGGCACTCGAGTCTCTCATCGTCAAGTCACACAGGCCACATTCTCTTCCCCAAGAGTTGTTGTTGTCAGACAAAACATGTTCACTAAACCCATCCTCGCAACGGTCGTGGCCACCCTCGTCACGGCCACCCAGGCCACTCAAAGCTTCGGCAACAAGGGCACTCTGGCCGGGTGGGACAGCATCCTCAAGGAGAACAAGGGCACGGTGGAGGAGGTGACCAACGTGGTCCGCGAGGGCCCCACGGCGATCAAGGTGACGCAGACGTACGACCCCAACTGGAAGGGGCGGTACCACTCCGAGGTTCACCGGGGCAAGGGCTACCGGCGGGGCGAGACGGGCTTCTACGGCTGGGCGTTCCGGCTGCAGGAGGACTGGCAGTTCTCGCCGGCGCAGGGCTACAACCTGGGGCAGTTCATCGCCGACTTCACCGACACGGGCTGCGACGACTGGATGCCCAGCTCCATGGTGTGGATCGAGGGAAACCAGCTAGCGAGCCGGGTCAAGTACGGCAACATCTGCGCCCAGCACACGCGCGAGTTCAAGGGCCTGGCCACCGTGTCGGCGGGCGTGTGGCACAAGGTCGAGATCCAGGCGAACTGGCAGAGCGACGGAACGGGCTTCTACAAGCTCTGGTTCGACGGCGTCAAGGTGCTCGAGCAGTACAACCTCGCCACGACCATCGACGACTCGCGCGAGTTCGGGTTCCACCTTGGCCTGTATGCCAACGGCTGGCACGACGACAACGGCGGCATGAAGGGCACGCAGCCCTTCCGCCAGGTCTGGTATGACGAGATTGGCATTGGCTCTACGTTTGCCGATGCCGACCCCGACCAGTGGTGATGGGGAGGGGGGTTATCACGGAGGAGGAGCACTGTGGTCTCATTTCTCGATTCTCAAGCTGCACCCTCTCAAGTTCATGTTTGGTGCTGGGATTTTGCGGGTACTCGATGACATGTACCAGGATCTCATACCTCCACCCCCTACTCAAGCCAATTAAATGCACTCACACCTTCCAGAAGGGGAAGTAGACGTCCGGATGCATATCATGTGACACCCAGTCGACCAGGTAAGTAAACACTAAAGCTCCACTCAGGTATTTAAATGGGGTTGTGTGTCTTGCTTGGTCTGCAACACCAGCGTTCCAAGCCATCGAGACGGGCCGATACGTGTAATTGAGCATATTCCACGCGGAGTTGAAGAAGAATGGCAGGGAGCACGAGGCAACGTGGTTAACAAGCAAACGGACTCGCATGGACGGGATCAAAATTTGTTTTTGAAAATCCAGAAACACCAAGTTTATTAACTCTACCACATCACATGGGGCTAGTGAGTATTAAGGCCTCTCTCCGCGCCAGCCAGCCCCTGACATTAAAGACTCCAATCCGCACCATTAAAAAGCCGATGGCAAGAAACCAAGAAAAATAAAACTACCTCGCACCCATCCGCCAGTACAGTTGACATGCTGGTAGGCTCCTATAGATATAACTCGATGCCGAGGGTAGTTCTCTTCCCCGCCGCAGTGAAGATAAAAACATGATTTGGCGGCAAATCTTCACGCTCAGGACATAGACACCATTTCCTACCTTACGGGAGGAGGGTAGTCTGGCCCTGGATCCACGACTCAGTAGCAGTAACGCAGATGGCGGCGGCGGAGGGATCGCCAGTGACGGGGAACGAGTAGGTGCCCGGCCCGAGGATGAGGCTGCCGTTGTTCGGGGGGACGACAGGGTTGACGATCTCGCCATTGACGCAGTCAGAAGCTGCAAAAGGATTGTCAGCAATGGTTCACATCGTATCATAAGCCACAAAATAGGGAACATGGAGGAGAATAGGACTTACCAGGATACGCAATGAGGGTAACCGGGAAGCAGGCAAATGGCGGCGGCAGGCCATTAAAGACAATGAAGACCTGTCCATCGTCGTCCTGGCAGAAGCCGGCCTCGCCGTTGGCGAAGTCGAGGTTGGCCCAGATGAGCGACCTGCCGGGTCCGAGGCCAAAGACGGTGCTGATGTCGCCGAGGAGGGCGCTGGTGCGGAACGGCTCGTACGGGACGCCGAGGTCGGTGGAGACGAACTGACCTCCGCTCTCGAGCCGGCCGCCAATGATGTGGAAGACGGTCGCGAAGGTGCAGATGGCCGGGTTGACCGGGCCCGCGTCGCCGACGAAACCACCGAGAGCCTGGCGCTTGGTGTAGCGGTCCCGGCGCAGCACGCTGTTGCGGACGACTTCGAAGATCAAGGCCACGTCCGCGGGGACGGAGGAGGGGATGATGGTTGGAGGAGAGGTGGTGGAGCTCGAGACAGTGGTAGACGAAAGCTCCGTGGTGGAGTGCTCCGTGGTGGAGTGCTCCGTGGTGGAGGACGAGGTGGTGGCTACAGTGGTGGAGCTAGAGGGCTCTATGGTGGTGGAGGGCTCAATAGTGGTAGACGGCAGAATGGTGGTCGAGGGCAGAATGGTGGTCGAGGGCTCAATGGTGGTCGAGGGCTCAATGGTGGTTGAGGGCTCAATGGTAGTAGAGGGCTCGATGGTGGTCGAGGGCTCAATGGTGGTCGAGGGCTCAATGGTGGTAGAGGGCTCGATGGTAGTCGAGGGCTCGACAGTTGTAGTAGTGCCACCAGTAGTAGTAGACTGGGCACTGACGACTTGCGCGAAGCCGACCAGAGCCAGCATGGCGAGGCTGGACCTGAGAGACCAGGCCCCCTGACGGTGCGTTGTCTTGCCCATCTTGTCTGGTTTGTCAAATGCTTCTCGTCCTGATGGAAGAAAAGAGTATGCCTGACGTCTGGTAGTGAAGAAAAACACACACACAAAGAAGTCTTTGGTGAGTTATTGATGGACAAGCTTGAAGAACGAGTGACTGGTGGGAGTATCGAATGATCGGATTGAGGGGAGAAGGAGGCGGTATTTGAAGACGAGGGAAACGAGACGGATCAATCCTGGCCTCTAGGGGGTGATGTCATGTTGATCTGAAAGGAGAGAAAATAATCAAACCTTATGGAATGCTCATTAGACATCTGCTAGTGGTCTGGATGTGAATCTCCGAGCCCAACTTACAGAATAGAGGGACAGAGGGACCGAGGAAAACACAAGTGCGCCGGCGTAGAGTAAAAGTGCCATTCCTCTCGTGTTTCACACTCTGACGATGTCGATATGCCGATCCCCTCTTGGCCAGCCAACTGAAAGCGGAAAACACCGACACCGCTAACAATAGCGTCTCTTCAGTGGGAATGTTGGTGTCTGTCATTTTCGCGAAGATGCCTGGCGTGGTGAGACAGCCAAGAGTCCGCAGCTTGGCCCGGCGCATGCGTGGTCAAGCTAGGTCGTTAGGACAAAAACAAAATAAACAAAAACAAGAAAACATGGCACGGCGTGGGAATTTAGGAAAGGACCGCCAAGTTAGGCTGACATTCCCCATCTCCCCGGGTTTGAAGGGTTTGGCACGAGGGAAGGGGGGATGGCGGATGCGGCAACGGGGCGAACCGAAGAGGCAAACATCCGGCAGCGTGGCAGGCCGACTGGCTTCTGAACAACAGGTCTCATTCGCGACAGACCTCAGAGAGAGAGGGGGAGAGAGATTTTTACCCGCTTTCGACATGATCCGCCATGGGCCCTTCGTCAAGGCGTAACAAATGCCGGATTCGCCAAAATGGTGATGACGCCCTCATGATATTTCTCCACTGCACCGTTCATTCCCCCAAAAGTAAAATATGCCAGAAACCGCATGCCCGCCTCCCTTCCCCAATTCAGAATAGCGCAGCACGAACTCCCTGGGAACAAAGCACGACATTTGCAGGCCCGCGGGGCCCCATTGGCCCAAACAAGCTGAGTTGAGGTGGATAGGCGAGCCAGATGTCTCACTTCTTCGCCCTCAGGCTCCCTCAAACTCCACCTCGACGACCTTACCACCCCCACTGCCGTCCCCATTCGCGCCCCCGTCGCTCGTTCCTACGACGCGTCTCCCACCAATGCTTGCGTCGCTGCTCTCCCTGCCGGCTCCGGCCTCAGCGTCCGCCCCTTCCAACAAGTCTCTATCCGAGCTAAGGACGCTCCTCCTCTCAGCGTCTCCGCCGTATCCGGCACTAGCCCCTCTACCGCCGGAAGAAGCTCCGCCGGCACCCTTTTCGAAGCCAGGGACATCCTCGTCCTCGTCGTCTTCGTCATCCCTCTGCCCGGGTAGCGCATTCTTCTCCAGCTCGCGCTGGGCCTCCTCCATACGCCTCCGGACCTCGGCAGCCACCCGCATGCCGTCCGTTACGATGTTGTCGAGAACGCCTCGCAGGCCCTTGCCCCCAGCGGGCCCAGCCGCTGGACCCGCTCCTGCGCCAAGAGCCGCCCCGACAGCCCGGCCGGCGCCCATGCCGAGGCTCGAGAAGGTGGTGAGTGACGAGCCGGCCATGGGCGCGGCCGAGGAGGGCAGGCCTTCAATGATGTGGAAGGAGGCCGGGAATGAGGACTCGAAGAACTGCTCCAGGAGCTCGTCCGCCAGGACTACCATTCGGAAGGTCGGCAAAGTGATGTGCAGCGGGTTGGCAGGGTCGAGAGCAGCGTTGGCCTTCTCGGACTGGGCCTTGGAGACACGGCGGCGGTTAAATAGCTTGTCGTCGGCGGCTGGTACCGAGGAGGAGGGGGACGAGGAGCCGTTGTTGCCGGTGGTTTCTGGCGGTGTAGCTGTAGGCTTTATGGCTGCTCTGGGACTTCCCGTAGGAGAGTCAGGAGGGTCCATGGTAAGAAGATCGTCGTCGTCGTCATCGTCATCGCCAATGGAGAATGCGTCCGGGTTGGCGAGCTGCGACTCGCTCTCGTTTGCCTCTCCGGGTGGTGCGTGGCCACTTTCTTTTGCTATGGCTCTCTTGTTCTTGGGGTGATCTGGGTCGGCGTATTCAAAGCACCTCCTGATAAATGCACTGACGCTTCCGAGGAATCTCTCATTGACAGAACCTCCGGCCGCTGCGCCCAGGGGGTTTGCCGTGTCGTCCGTAAAGCCATTCAGAGCCACGCTCGAAGCCGAGGGGCTCAAGCTTCCTTCCAGACCACGACGTGACAGGAACAACAGGGCTTCTGACATCCGCAAGATGCCTTCGCGGTCGACCCTGCCGTCGCCGTCATCGTCGTGGAGGTCGAAGAAGTAGTTGATTGCGCCCATTATGTCCCGTTTGCCCTTGATTCGCGCCAATCCGGTTACCACGTTCTGGAGCGTCAGAGTGCCGGTCAAGTCGACATCCCACTTCCGGAACAACCTCTGCAGAAACTCGTGGTCTGCGGGCTCCGGCCCTGGGCCCCATGGAGACAGAAGACCGTCGGATCGCCTGTAGCTGCTGAACTGCAGGCTCCTGTCCCTTTCCGCAAAGGTATCCAGGCGAGGCGTTGTTGGAGCATCCGAGACGGCCCATTTCGCCATGCCAGCCAAAAATTCTCGGAAAGCATCATAATCCATCAGGCTTGTGCTGGGTCCCAGGCCAACCCTTCCCTTCTCAATGCCGTGGCTGTCGTCGCCCGCCGCTTCGGTGACGCGCGGCCTGCTGCTCTTGGCTCGGCGAGCCTGGTCTTGTTTTATGATGCGATCCCTTTGTTGTCGTTCGTACAGGACGGTGTAGAATCTGTCATAGAGCGCCCCAAGCTCGTCTGTTCCCAGGAGCTTGCTGTCGGGTCCCAGGTTTCTGATCGAAGTCCGCTTGGCGAAGTTCTCGATATTGTTTAGCACCGAGTTCTTGTTCTTCAGCCGCAGTTCCGCGATGCTGCCATGTGTGATTCCTGAGAACTCTTTGAACGCCACGACCATCAACTCCTGGAACCGAGTCACCGCCCGCAGCTTTGGATTTTCCGACTTGGGGTGTGCAGATTCGTCAAGCCGAGCGAAGTAGGACTTGAGGACGGAAATAAAGGCGCCATCGTCTGTGGCATCCAGCAGTTCTTCGCCATTTATCCTCAAAATGGCCAGGCCGACCTGAAACAGAACCTTCGGGCCTTCGACGAAGAAGACGTCGAGAACGCGGAAGGCAAATACCAGGGGCATCGAATTGACGTAGAGGGATAAGAACCAGGGCAGCGATACGACAGAGAGCTGCACGTCGCTCTTCACCAAATGTTCCCAGAGGATGGGCATGGTCTTCTCAACAAGGGCCTCGAAGACTTTCTGGTCGAGAAGAGTGCCGTACATGGTGGTGGAGTAGTATCCGGGCACAAGCCTGTCACACAGGGCGGAGAGCAGGAAGAAGGCCTGGGCTTCGGACATGTAGATGAGCAGCGCGGCAACGACTATGTTCATAGCCTGGCAATAGCCGACGTCGGCGTTAAACCAGCTGTATGCGGTCAGGACTCTTCGGAGACGGCCGATGCCTTCTTCACTCTGGAAGCCGGGATACTCGGGAAGGCTCCGGTTTAGGTCCTTCTCGATCTCGTCTATTGCGAGTGACTCTTTGCCCGAGTGCTTCGCCAGGGTCTCGGCATAGAGATTCGGGCTTTCCAACCTTAGGTAGATCGACCCCGACGTCAGCTCCCAAATCTCACCCCTCAGCCTGTTGGGGAGGCCGACTCGGATCAGTTTGTGGAAAGTAGGCTGGCGGACAAGGGTAACATTTCTGCCGTTGTCGCGGAGGTATTCGCCCCAGAGTCGCATCTTGGCCCGGTCTCGGAGCTTCTTGGCGTCGCCTGGATACTTGAAGAGCATGCCTAGGCCGGCATCTGGAGGAGTGGCGTTCTTCTTGTCTTCGGGACGAAGTAGGTATTCCGAGTAGCATTCGCCCACGACCCTTCTGAGCCTCGCGACGTTGCCGACGGCACCCCGGAGGCCCTTCTTGAGGCCATCGCAAAAGCGCTCGCAGGCTTGCCTCTGGCCGGCGAGCTGAACTGTGATGCGTTGCTCCCCGGCGTCTTTCTTGTCCTTGGCCGCGTCTTTGTCCTTGCCGGGGTCTTGGGTGATGCCGTTCCAGGTCGTGATGGCTAGAGCAAACTGGGATCACACGACACGTCAGTCCTTGGCCGTAGCCAGTGGGTAAATCTAGTCTCCTCTCACCTGGAAGTTCTGGCTATGTAGGCGCTCAACCCTCCTTATGGAGCACAGGGGGAATGTGAAGCCATTGCCGCTGGGACCACCGCCATGTGTCTGGCCGGTGAATGCCGACGAGTTGGAGGCGCTCGCCGACTGTAGAAAGCTGGTGGGTGTGGACGAGAAGCAGAGGTAGGCCTCGGACAGGTGCAATCTTCCAACATAGTGATAGCCTCGGTCTCGGTCCTTGTCGCTCTGGGTGGCATTGGAGGGCGGGATCGTCAACTCAGCTGTGATCTCGTAGAGCGGGTGCTGCGAGGCGGGGAGACGGAATTGGTTCTGGAACAACGATGCCTTGGAAGGGTTCTTGTCGGGATCGCTCAAGGACAGGCTTTGTGTGGGATCCAGCAGCTGCTGTGCCCTCTGTACGAAGCTGGAGAGGCTCAACATGGCTGATGTCGTTGATCTAACGGAGCGAGTCCCATCCACCGGGTTCCTAGCTTCAGGTGAGGTAAGTGGTGGGGGGGGGGGGGGGGGGGGGGGGGGGGCGGACCCCCCACCGGGGGCATTGGGGGTTTGGAAAACAAAAGACTAAAAGGTGGGGATGATAAAAAA